ATTAAATATGCATGCCACTGGCTGCCAAGGTTATATCAACTACCCTTGGAGGTTATTTGCTGATCAAAAAAGATGTTAATCTCATCACAGACTGCGGTGGAGGAAAAAAAAACACACTGCTCTCCATCACTGGGCATTTAAAAAGTTATTTAGTCAGATTTACAAATATTGACACATGAGTCATTGAAGACTAGAACTTTTTGCCTTTTTTTAGATAAGGGTATTTATAATGTTCTTCTATAATTTAGCTAATGTAAATTATGACTCCTCAATTCAATTGTGTGCCGCTTGCATCATTCACTCTGACATTATTGAATGTTAAAATATGAAAATGAATTACTTAAAGAATGAATTCAGAATCATTGGATTTGGGAGCTGAAAGAGACCTTTGAAATCAGATCCACTTCAGCTCGGGGAAGCCAAGGGTCTAGGCCAGCACACCATCACCAAGAAGAGGAAATTGGAGCTTCTTTCAAAAAGACATATGGCTCTGTCATCTTATATACACAGCCCTATGTATCTGAAAATTTTCATGATGCGTTTTCCTATAAGCTCTGGAGACCAAAATCCCCCCTGAAATTTTCCTCTAGAGGTTACATAAGAAGGTATGAAAACAGTGCAAAGATACTCTGTTGTTACTCAGTTCTTACTACCTAAGCTTACTCTGTTGATTCAATTATTTCAGCTAGACACTGATATTACACATCATCTTTCACCCTCGCCAGCTGCTCTATTTTCCATCAAAGCACAATGATGAGATGAAAATAGCACTTGCTATCAGTATTGTGATTGGAGAATTGTTGGCATTGCTCCCCCAGAATGGAAACCTCGGGAGGGTAAGTCATCATGTCCCCAGTTCATTGGATGTCCCGATATTGGATGGAGAAAATGAGGACCATGAGCCCTCCATGGTGCACATTTCAGCAGAGATAGATGACTTACCTTCAGTGTTTAGCCCTGAAAGATGGAAGATCAACCCAGGAGAGAGAGAGTTTTTCTCTGGTTCTATAACTAAGAGGAGTGATGTAGACAGAGGCTGCCTGCTGCCTGCTACCTTCCCTTTACCAACAAGAGTGAGAAGAACTTGATAAAGAAGCCAAGGGAGAAAAGTACCCAAGAAGGAATGGTACTGATAGCACGATTCATGGGAATGGAAGGCCAAGCTTTACCCGCCAGCCCTCTGAGTTTTTCAACTGGGTTCTAACAAAACCAACAAGAAAAAACACATTAAGAAAAGAAAAACAGAGGCTGGAGTGACAGCACAGTGGGTAGGGTGTTTGTCTTGCATGCGGTCAACCCGGGTTTGATTCCCAGCATCCTATATGGTCCCTTGAGCACTGCCAGGAGTAATTCCTGAGTGCATGAGCCAGGAGTAACCCCTGTGCATCACCGGGTGTGACCCAAAAGTAAAAAAAAAAGAGAAAAACAAGCAGATTGTGAGCTATCACTGCCTAAGCACACATGACGTGGAAGAAACCTGTGCCCACAGCAACTCAGAACTGGCAGCTGAGAATGCCTTCATCAAAGAGCATGCTTTCTCCAGAACTCCCCCAGGGGGCTCTCTGGGGTTGGGGGTGGAGGGGGATTAACAGAGGTTTGGTGGGGGAGTTCTCTGGGCTGATAAGAGTATATCCACATAAAAGAATTTATTTCCTGCCTTTTGGCAGGCAGTAAAGAGAGATTTTTCCCAGGTTGTCTGCTTCTGAATCACTTTCAGCTCAAACTCTTTTTTGTATCAAAGCACTGTCTGGGATGACACCGTATGGTTTCCTTCACCAGATGCATTCTCAGTTGCAGGAGTTCTAAAATGTCCCCAGCTGCTTGCTTTCTGGGTTTTTTGGTTGGTTTGTTTGTTATCGATTTTGGTAATTCATTTGGCTTTGGGGCTACACTGGGTGGAGTTCAAGGCTTACTTCTGATTTTTTTGCTCAGGGATCACTCCTGGTAGGGCTTGAAAAACCTTGTAGAGATCAAATCAAAGTTCTTCTGCATACAAGGCAACCTCACTACACCTGGCCATGCTCAGAGGTTACTCCTAGCTCCTTGCTCGGGGATTACTTCTGGCACGCTCTGGGGGCCATATGGGATGCTGAGGATGGAAGCCTGTTTGGAATTGCGAGGCAAGAGACCTGCGCCCTGTACTCTGACTCTAGCCTCTTAAACTGTGTTATTACTGTGGTATTTTAGCAGATGGAGTTTCAAGAGTTCTTCTAATTTTCTTCAGGTTTTTAATTACAGAGGAACAAAATCAAAAAGAAGGAACACTTATTAATCACCAAAATGGCTCATTTATTACTGAGACACTGTCTGGAAAAATATATGTATTGCAAATGTTTCTGCAGGTTTGGAGATTTTAGGGAATTAACAAAAACTTCTATAATTCACACAAAGAGAATATGCCTTGTGTTGCCAATAATATATTTTGATAAATTAGGCCCTAAATGTGTTGAGTTCAGGGGAAAGTGCAGATTCAACACTGGCCGCTGTAAGAGAGGCACAAGCAGTATTTGCAATGATGACCCCACTGACAGGGAGCAACAGCTCAAAAGTTGCCAGCGCCACCCAGAGGTGTGTGTTTGAGATTTCTGGCGGGAACTAGGTATTTCTGATTAAGGATAATGTGGATATTAAACAATAGCAAGAGCATATCTTGTCAGAAATGAAAAGAGGTCATATAAATTCATAAAACTTGTCTCTCGTGACCCTGGACAGGCCAGTGTCTAATTGATGTGTGTCCTGCACACTTAGATGTCCAGCACAAAAGCACACCCACAAAAAGGGCTCCCCAATCTCTGTCATAGGAGGAGACACCAACCTTCACCACCCTTTCTGGCTGAGCCATCAGTTTCCCTGATTCTGCCTCCTGGAGTAGTTGAAATGGAGCAGACCAGAGCTTGCAATCAGGCATGGCCCCAAACTTCTGTTCCTGCCACCTGCCTCTTCCTGTTCCCTCTTCCTGGACTGTTCTAAGAAAGAGGGTTAGAAGCACCTGACTAGAGGAAGGATGGCACTGGGAAATGAACTGCGGGAAAGAGAAGATAGAATGGCAGGAGGAGGGCCCAAGGGTGTGCCCGCTAATCTGTACCAGCCAGAAGATCATCCTCTGGACATCCTGCTCTCCCTGCCTCCCTCTCTCTCACCAGACCATCTGTGGTAAACCCACTGAAAGGAGCTCACCCATTGTCCCTTAATTAAAAAGACAGAAAAGGTGAAGGATGGGTGCCCACACAAGACCATCCCCTTACTAAGGGAGTTTTCCTCCCTCTTGTCCTCTTACCTAGCCCCTTAAATAAATTCTCTTCTAAATTTGACCATTTTGTCTCCACTCCCTTGCTTACGATTTTGGCTACTGAGGACAAGGACTGGGGTGTCCTGTTAGCCTTGGTGGTGCTCCCAGGTCCCTGCCCCCAAACATTGCACAGAACAGTCCATCCACGCTGGAGGGAGCCCCAACTCCAATACTCTCAAAGGAGAAAGTTACACGCAGTGATGTTCAAGCCCTGTGTGAGCTGCTGTGTGCCAGAGCCCCTGACTTCTCTAGCAGGAGTTGTCCAGGGACTCCTGCTGAAGGGAGAGCACCACAATTCACCTCTCACCTCTTACACAGGGCAGTGGAGAAACCTACTCTGCACTCTGTAGGAGTGCGCTCGGCAGCTGAGCATTGTGCAAACACCCGGTCTCTCTCTCTCAGGACCTGGAATCAAAGGTTTGCATCCTTTGCCTATAGTTTTAGGCTCATACCAGCACCAAGTAGTCCTTTGAGCACTGCCAGGAATTCCAGAAGGCAAGTTCCATGGGCAACTTCTGTAACTCTGTAACTGTCATGGATTTAAAAGTAACATCTAATACTCAGTTTTTCTTTTCTTTTTCACATCTATTACTATTATGTAGCAGTAAGTCTCAAGGAACAATATAAAAAAATTGCCACTCAAATTTGGCACTGAGCCATCCAGACACCTAAAATCACCAAACTAATAAATGACAGCAGTGAGATTTGACCTCAAGTCTTGTTACTGCAAATCCAAATGATTTTCTGTTGGGTCATAGCTTTTTGCCACCTCAAACTCTCTTTCTCCCTGTGAGTTCCATGTTTGATCTTTCTAGATTTTTGTTTTGACTTTGTTTTTCCAGGCCACACCTGACAGCATTCAGAAGCTACTCCCGGCTCTATGCTCAGGAATCTCTCCTGATGGTGCTCAGGAACATATATGCTGCCAGGGATCAAACTGGGGTTGGCCACATGCAAGGCAAGCAAGTACCTTACCTCCTGTGCTATCTCTCCAGCTTTTCCAAGTTTTCTAAACATGTTAGCAGATGAAGGAGGTGGGGGGGAAATTGTGATTTTTCTGGAGTTTAGATTGTTTTTTTTTATTCAGAGAAAATAAGGGTGATTAATTCCAAAAGACATTGATATATTGGAACAGGACTGTTTGCAGCCAGTGTTTATTGTAAAATACTCCAAGTATGCTTGCAGAGGGACACACTTGGTACCAAGTGCTAACAAGGTCCTGAGTTAGACTTTGCAGTGTCCACCCTTCCTTCTGGGAACACAGCTCTTGTCCTGCACCCTGAACACAGATCAAAGTGTTCCAGCCCAAAATATACATGCCCGAAGTTCCTTAGGCATTATTTTTGCGAAGTAAAAGACAGACCACAATGAACAGAACTTGCTTCCCTGGGGTACAGTTGAGTTTGGAGCTTAGAAATAAAACTTTATGTTGTTACTGTGTTTGGCATATCGAATACTCTCGGTAGCTTGCCGGGCTCTCCGAGAGGGGCGGAGGAATCGAACTCGGGTCGGCCATGTTGGCCGCTTGTAAGGCGAATGCCCTACCCGCTGTGCTGAGAAAGAAAAATCCCAACTTGTTCTCCTCATCACTTGCAATGTTATCACAAAATTAAGATCAGAAATGACCCAGGGACTGGGGGGCAGGTGCTATTGCCGCCAGGAAAATCCATGGCCCAGGAACCAAGATCTGGGAACTTGGCACAGCTGCCCATTAGGAATCTACCTCTGGGTTCCCCCTGAAACAGGAATTCTCATGGGGGGGTTCCCTCTGTAATGTCCCATACTCTTGACCTCCAAGCTCCAAACGACTCTCTTCGTTACCACCTCTGGCCGGCAGGGCCTGACACCCATTCCTTCCGCTTTGCTCATCAATTTTCTGGAATGAAGAGAAAATGGAGAAAGTTCTCATGGTAAACATAACGCCACAGCCCCGCTTCCTTGCCACAAAAGGTCTTCAGAAGGAGTTTTTTTAAGTCAGCTCAGATTTCAAACTTTGACAGCCCTATTGGTTGGAGCATTAGAAAATAAGTCATTCTGACCAGCGGGCCTCAGAGATATGGTAGCACATGATTGCAAGGTAGGAAAGTATATAGGAGCAGCAGAAATCCTTCTTTCAGGTTCTCTGACACCACGTACCTTCTCCTGGTTTTTATGGTACTCATCCAACACAAACTGATATTTGGGTTGATCGAGGCCCAAGAAGACAGCGATTCTTCCACCAAGGAATTCACATGCTGAAAGAAAGAACAAGCACTTTGAGAAACTGAATTCAGAAATATAAGCTTAGATTGCTGAGGGGTGAAGAGTTTAAACCTGTCTGCAAGTGATCATTTATGCCAGTTCAAGCCTCAGCCCCCAAAATGTCAATGAGCCTGAATTCACAACCAGTTCCAGGACTCAAAGGAGGATTATTCGTTCAACCTGCTGCCCTCTGTCTTTTGGGATTATACCTGAAAGATCCTCAGCAGATGAAGAGATCAGAAAAGGGATCCGCCTGCCCACTGAGAGGCCCAGCCTGGTTCCTGAGCAGGTCAGAGACAATGCTTTCACAGGTGAAGAGCAGATCTCCAGCCAGAGCATACTCCAAATCAGTCCCCAAATTCCATCCTGTGTTACCATCAGCAGCGTGAAACTGATTTGAGTTCCTGAGTAGTTGGGTCCTTGAGTACTGGAGAGAAGATTTGCATCCAAACTCCAGATGTTGAAGTTTGAGTTGTGGGGAGAGAGCCATAGTACAGCAGGTGGGGTGCTTGCCTTGCACGTGAATTAGCGAGGTTCAATCCCCAGCAACCCAGATGGTCCTCCAAGCCTGTTAGGAGTAGTTTCTGAGCACAGAGCCAGGAGCAACCCCTGAGCACATTGCTAAATGTGGCCCAAAAAAACAAAAGCAAGAGTGAAGTTTGAGTTATTTATGGAGCTGCTTGAAGGCGGTGGTTTGGAATCCCCACTGTTCTGTGTCCGAGCCCTGTTCCCTCACAGGCTTCTCATGCTACTGCATGTCCAGGGTCTGTGTTGATCCCTCACTGCTTACACCCAGCTAGGACAGTGCAGGCTGCATCTCACAGCCAGTGCCAGTGGCATTTCATCCCCTTAGTACAGTGGATAGGTTGTTTACCTTGCACGCGGCCGACCCAGTTTCAATTCCTCTGTACCTCTTGGAGAGCCCGGCAAGCTACAGAGAGTATCTCGGCCACATGACAAAGCCTGGCATGCTCCCCGTGGCGCATTTGATATGCCAAGAACAGTAACAACAAGTCTCACAATGGAGACGTTACTGGTACCCGCTCAAGCAAATCAATGAACAACTGGACGACAGTGCTACAGTGATTTCCTTTCGTGACACTCCAGCCACATGTGTGGATGAAAATGGGCGTTTCACAAAAGGAGACAAAGAAAGAAGAAAAGGAAGGTCTGCCATGGGAAGGAAAGGGGGGTGCAGTGTTGGGGAATGGTGGGAGGGAAATGGGGGACACTGCTGTTGGAAATGTACAATGGTGGAGGGATGAATGTTGGATCATTGTATAACTGAAACCCAATCATGAACAGCTTTGTAGTGGTCTATCTTATGAATATTCAATTAAAAAGTTAAACACAGAGACACACACACAGAGCTGTTTCCTGCCCTCTGCTCCACAGAGATGAGGACTCAGAGAGAAACTATCACCCTGGGCCAAGTGTGGGGTCCACACATACTTTATACTTTACCGTTTCCACTCCAGCCATTTCCAGTATCTATAGAACTGACTACCTTGAGATTTCAAAAGACCCATGAAATAACAGATGACATGAACCCCGCCCACATCAGAAATTCTTCCCTGCACAACATTCTCCTTACAAACAGCCTCAGGCCACAGTCAGAGTCCAGGATGAAGGTTCTGCATGAGCACTTTTCCCCAAGATGTCTGCGGGAAATCCTTTCTCAAATGATCGGGATGGCAGGTGTTGGAGTATTTGAGAATTTGTCCTGCAGGTTTTCTGGACTTTTCTGTAGTACCCCCTGAGGTTAATAAATAAGTCAAAAGAAGGGCTTTGCTTTCAGCGTTTTCTAAAGACAGGCGCTCCTTCGGCTCCTGTGAGGAGTCAGGGGCATTTCTGGTTTATGATAATACGATCAGGCCCAGGGAACTGGGAAGTGTATCATGTAGATGCAGTTTCCAAGTCTTTCAGGTGTTCAAGAGAAGAATCAAGCCAGGGAGCATCTGCATGATAAAAGAAGAATCCAAGATGCTAGTCTCTGTTTTTTTTTAAAGCCCTGAGGGGGCCCAGAGATGGCTGAGAGTCAAAGAATTCAGCACTCAACACCAAGCACCAAGTTGGTCATAACTCAGAGTCTAAAACACCAAGGCTGCCAGGTTGACCCCTGGTGCCACTGGCAACAGCAAGCAAAATCCTGGCACCTCTATTCACTGTGATTCCCCGACCCTACAAATGAATCCAGCTACCCCACAACCAGTGGGCGGATGACACAACTTGAGGCGTTGATACAAAAATGTTGTGCAAGCCCATAGCCAGGACCAGTTGGTGAATGGGTGTATGAGCACTACAAAAAACTGTGCAACTGCTGGCTTGTGCCACAACACGCATGCATACAAGTGCCATAAGTAAAGGGTATATCCTGATCCCCAACCCTGCAGGCTCATTTGCAAGTATGACAGCTAACCCAGGTAAGCCCAGCACTTGAGATCAAGTGTGTGCTCTTCAATCAGACATGTGACACCCCCCAAGGAATGAGTGCAACCCCCAACTTGGAAACAGCATCAGCAGAGCAAGTGGATGACAACTGGAATCAGTGTGAAACACCTTAAATGAAGACAGTAAACGAGTAAGATATATTTGCTAACAGAAGTTGGGGGGAAGATGGATCTGTGAGGTTCAATGTCTTCAGTCCGACTAGAGGTCCTCACTTCCCTGGAGTCCCTGGAAAGGACGGAACCACTGGAAATTCTGTTGGAGAGTTTGGAAATAAATCTCCCTTCAGGACAGAAAAATCTCTGGGGTACTTACTAGAAAAGGAGGCGCTTGTTACTCGCCCTGCCCAGAATCGGAGGTAGGGACCCCATGGAAGCTGAGACTGAAAGAAAAAAAAATCAACTTAGAGAAATTAATAGCAGTGTGAGCCACAGTCTCTCAGGTATGTGAAGTGGTCTGGCACAAACTCCCTTCAGTACCACCCCCTGAAGTTACCTAGTTTAATCCCCTTATCTACAAGGCCTGGTGCGCTGGGAGAGTCCCTGCCGGCACCATATGCTGTGCCTGGAAGACTCTAGAAGCCCTGCCTAGTGCTACTGCTCAGTTTCCAGAATAAGCTAGACACCCGCCTCACAGAGTGGGCTGAGCATGACAGTCTGGGACCTGCCACTCACAGCCTCTAGCTGGATGAGCTCCAATTACTCTATGGACACTCCACTGACTTCACATGGTTATAGACACAACTGTATTTTACAGGCTCAGAGCATCATACAGACACCATTTCCCACAACTGGCTACATGTGTCCTACTCACCCTCATCCCAGAATTAACTCATCCCAGAATTAACTCATCCTAGAAAGTAGAACCTCCCCACCAAAGCAGCCCAGACACAGAAAAGAAGAAACTGCCTAGACTTTCTCTGGAGACCGCGCCAGTCACAGTCCCAAGAGTAGGCTCATTTCTCTTTAACAAACTCGCTTTGCTCTGGCCTAAACCACCTTCACTCTTCTGATAAATTCTTCTACCATCCCATGACTCAAACCCAGCAGGCCTGGCTTGAAGCTCTTTCCCCATCAGTGCAGGCTTCATGTAGAATATATTCCCATTTCTTTCTCTCAGATGAGAAAGCTACGATTTTCCAAATCCAGGATTAAGTATGCATGGATCAAGAGAGCCAACCACTGAAAACAAGGAATCAGCTCAGAAGTGTTTTCCATTTCTTCTCCTGGATAAAGATACTATGGTACATCTATACAATGGAATACTACACAACCACCAGGGAAACCGAAATAATAAAATTCGCATATAAATGGATGGATGTGCTGAGTTGAAATGAATCAGAAGAAGAGGGACCTACATGGAACGAATTGGACACATTTGTGGAATATAAAAACACAGAAGGAGACTAATATTCAAAAACTGTGGAAACAAGGGCCAGGACGAAAGGTCCATGGTTGGAAGCTTACCACAAGTGCTAGTGGGGGAGGATAGGATAGAGAAGGGACCACTGTGACAAAGAGTCAGAAATGATCACTGTGAACTGAAAGTAGATAAGCAATAAATATGATAACCTCTCAGAACCTGTATTACCCATAAGGGGGGGGGGGAGAGAGAGAGAGAGAGAGAGAAACAGACAGACAGACAGAGACAGAGAGACAGAGAGAGAGATAGAGTCAGAGAGAGAGAGAGGAAAAACGCCTGTCATAGAGGTCGGCTGCGGGAAGGGGGCCAGGAGGGAACTGGGGAGATTGGTGGTGGGAAATGTACACTGGTGAAGGGACAGATGAAGAAACATTGTATGACTGAAACCCAATCATGAACAATCTTGTAACTGTGTATCTCACAATCATTCGATAAGAATTAAAAACAAACAAAGCACCCCGTTTTCCATAAACCTTGTCTGGCTTCCTCTTGCTCATATCACTCAGCTGCCACGTGCTCTAAGATCAATGTCCTACACTTACTGGGTCCAGGGCTGGCTTCCTTCTCTCTTCTTCTGTCTCATCCTCTTCTTCCTCTGTGCTATATTCTTCCAAGATGTCTCCATCAGCAAAGTGGATGATTCTTCTGGGAGTCGGCCTTGGGGAAGGTTCATGCTTTCCTGGTGGCAGCTGTTGGAAACTGTCTCCTTCCATCAGGAGCCAAAGAACTCAGAAACTCAGAAATGCATCTCAGGGTGGATGACCCAGGGCAGTGTGGGTGTCTCACTCTCCCCGGTGGATGGACAGACAGAGGACAGTGCTACTCACAGTGGGTAGCTCATTCGTTCTCCAAATTCAAGAGAGTACTGTTCAGTCCTGGACCCAAATGGGAAAGATTCACTGTCACTGTCACTGTCCTCCTGTTGTTCATCAATTTTGCTCGAGCGGGCCCAGTAACATCTCCATTGGAGACTTTGTTGTTACTGTGTTTGGCATATCCAATACATCACGGGTAGCTTGCCAGGCTCTGCCATGCGGGCGAGATACTCTCAGTAGCTTGCCGGGGTCTCCGAGAGGGGCAGAGGAATCGAACTTCGGTCGGCCATGTTGGCTGCGTGCAAGGCAAATGCCCTACCCGCTGTGCTATCGCTCCAGCCCATAGCACAGCAGGTAGGGCATTTGCCTGGCACGTGGCCGACCCGGGTTCGATTCCCAGCATCCCATATGGTCCCCTGAGCACTGCCAGGAGTAATTCCTGAGTGCAAAGCCAGGAGTAACCCCTGTGCATCGCCGGGTGTGACCCCCCAAAAAAAGCGCATTAAAAGGAAAAGATTCAATGAGCAATAAAAATGTGAACATAAAACACAATGGGAAATGTGAAAATGTGAGTCTTCAAACACAAATGCCAGCGAGGTTCTCTGACCCCTTAGATTCTCACCAGGCACAGCTGCTCTGGGAAGAGACCATTGTGGTCAGTGGTTGCAATACATATCACAAGGCAACATAGGACTAGCCAAAGTAAAGACCTTGGCACAGGGGGCTGGAGCACTGGGTACACTGGGTACACTGGGTAGGGCGTTTGCCTTGCCTGGCTGAATTCCCAGCATCCCTTAGGGCCCACGGAGCACCTCCAGGAGTAACTCCTGAGTGCAGAGTCAGGAGTAACCCTTGAACATCTCCTGGTGTGACCCAGAAAGAAAGAATAAAAAAAAATTGGCACAGAAATGAGGCAACATTGGCTAAGAAAAGGAATTTTTTACAGATAATAAAAAGAACTTTTACAATTTAATAAGTAAAGTAAAGGCCATCCCGTTGATCATCGATTTGCTCGAGCGGGCCCAGTAACGTCTCCATTGGAGACTTTGTTGTTACTGTGTCTGGCATATCGAATACGTCACGGGGAGCTTGCCAGGCTCTGCCGTGCGGGCAAGATACTCTCGGTAGCTTGCCGGGCTCTCCGAGAGGGGCGGAGGAATCGAACTCGGGTCGGCCATGTTGGCTGCGTGCAAGGCAAACGCCCTACCGCTGTGCTATCAAAATAAGGATAATAGGTTTGAATTTTTTTTGTTGTTGCTATTCTCAAAGATTTAACAATGCCAAATAAACGAAGAGAAAGACATTCATCAGGAAAATGAAACTTGAAGCCATAATGATGCATTAACTTTTTTGGATATTTATTTTTGTTTGGGAGCCACAGCCAGCAGTGCTCAGAGTTCACTCCTGACTCTCCGCTGAGGGATCACTTCTGGCAAGCCTCGGGGGACCATATGTGGTGCTTGGGATCTCACCTTGGTCAGACACTTGCAAGGCAAGGGGTCCCCTTAGTTCCATCGGGAGTGATCCCTAAGTGCAGAACCAGGAGTAAGCCACAAGCACTTCTAGGTGTGGCAAAAACATAATAAAAAATTTTAAATGAAAGTAGGTCCTACTTTTTTGGGGGGAGGGGGAGTGTTGGATTTTTGTTCTTGGTTTTCTGGGTTTTGTTGTTCTTGTTGTTTGGGGGCCACAGGCAGTGCTCAGAGCTTACTCCTGGCTCTGTACTCAGGAACTGCTCTTGGCGGTGCTCAGGGCCAAGTGGGGTGCTGGGGATGCTGGTGAGGCACCTGCAAGGCAAGTGCCCTACCTGCTGTGTTATCTCTCCCTCCCATGCCCTACCAGTTTTATTATAGGTAATACACTGCTCTCCAGACCATCTCTTAGCTCCTGAAAATCCAAAGCAAATAATCCACACCCCCCCAAGCCCTGCCTCCTACATAAGAATAGTATGTCAGTTCTCTGAAGAAAATACTTATTTCTGTGCTTCACCATTATATTGGTCGTTAACTAGACCTCTTTTAGTCAGAGGGTCCTTAGGGAAAGGCAGAGTTCAGAGTCCCATTAGTGAGTGTCTTCCTGCCACCTCGTGGACAATTTGGGACATACTCTGCAAAAAGCATCCTTGTAATCACAGTAGCCATTCACTGCAGTGCACTGAACACAGGTTACTTAAGAAAACTGGGAGAAATGATAACTTCATTCCCAAGTACTTCCACATGACATGCTCTAAATAATCTTTCAGAGTTCTTTTATTTCTTAAAATCCCAAGGCAAGGCTATCAAGAAAGGTCCTCAAGCAAATATTGTGCATGAGAGGCTTTATTATCTCCCTGACCTTCCAACATAGTGGCCAGATCTCCTGTTCATTTTCACCTGATAATCTAATGTGATCCCTGTGACCTTAAATACACATATCTATACCAAAAACTTTCTAGGTCAGATATTTATTTCCTGAAATCTCAAACTCACAGATCCAATTGCGGAATAGATTTCCTTGGATGTAAAATGACATCTCCAGTCTAAAGTCTAAATTTCCACCTTTTATTATTTCTAAAAATAAATCTATTTAGTTATGCTAAGGGCTTCCTCTTGGCTCAGTGGTCAGAAACCACTTCGGGAGGGTGGGACGGCATATGAGGTTCTGGGAATCACACCAGAGTCAGTTGCATGCAAGCAAGCGTCTTAACCCCTGTCCTAACTCTTTGCTCCTTCCCACACACTTCCTCACACTCATGTGCTCATTTTCTCAGACACTTCTCCACTTCAATCATTGACAACTCTAGTTACTCAGATCAAAAACACTGGGGTCGTTCTTACTGCCTCTTGAAGCACACCTAGCATGCAATCTTACGGAAATTCTCTTGGGTATTTCTGGAATCCTAAGACCACTACTCACTGCCACCACTAAGCAATCATTTCTTACCGAGTTTTGGAGGAGCTTCATAACTGGCCCACTAGCATCAATACTTGGAGGTAAAAAGCCAAGCAAGTGTTCAAGCCTAAATCGGTTCCTGTTCCACCTCTGCTTTAAACACTCCAGTGTTTTTTTTTTTCTGGGATAGTAGAGGATACACCATGTATGGATAGGCTCTTTATCCAGCCCCAGAAGAATACCACAGAGACTACAATGCTGTGCCCTGACTCCAGTCCTTTTTTTTTTTTTTTTTTTTTTTTTGGCTTTTGGGTCACACCCGGCAATGCAGTGGTTACTCCTGGCTCTGCAGTCAGGAATTACCCCTGGCAGTGCTTAGGGGACCATATGGGATGCTGGGAATCGAATCCGGGTCGGCTGCATGCAAGGCAAACACCCTACCCGCTGTGCTATTGCTCCAGCCCCTAACCCCAGTTCTTTTCTGACCTCAGGAACTTCCTACCTCAGCTTCCCTGGACCCACAGGCCTCTCTTGCAATGGACGTTGTGCCCTCTGTTCTCTGGACTCATCAACCCTCAGACTCCATCTGTCATCCCCTCTAGACCCTTCACTCAAATGCTGGGCTCCAAGCAACTCTCTAGCAAGGGGCAGGGGTCACTGCCCACCCCCCTCACCACCGCCAATCCCTTACCTCCTGTGTGACTTTGCTCAGCAGAACAGCACTGTTCAGTGAATGTCTGACACGTAGCTGAAACCCAGTATTTGTTTAATACATGAGTCAGACCTGATTTTAATGGGTGGGGGAAAGTGTGTGCAGTAGGTTAAAAAACAAGAACAGATGGCTAATTGTATTTCCTGTTGTGGAAAGGCCGCTTAGTCTTATATTAACTCTTTTCTTTGGAGTCAACTTCACTAGTGTTGGTATCTCTATCACATAAGTGACACCCTAGTTCTGCAACCGTCATTGAAGGGTGTACGACACCAACATTTCCTAACTGTTTTTTAATTATCCAAGAAATGTTTTCAAATGTCTCCAGCTGAGACCAAATGCAAGACAGGTACTAGCTTCTTACACTGGCTCCTACCTTCCCCCTTCCTGGAAGGAACCCAAGGTCCAGCTCTGAAATACCCATGCACAGAGCATCATTCGCCCTGAATTCCTCCTTTGGATCAGTCTCTCCAGCTGAGGAGAATGATCCGAAGCTGGTGTGGGGTCCGAGGTAAACGAGAGAGAGAGAAAAACATCAGATGCTATAGAGACCACAGCTATCCCTGCTCAAAAACCTCCCTCAGAGACCCCCCTCCACCTAACAGGTTTGTCCCTATTTTCAGTATTAAAATGTCCTCAACTCACACCATCCCCCATCACTGTGTCTTAGTGACCCGACTTTATCAATATGCCTGTCCTATCGTGGTGTGTTTGCCTACTCTCTCCACTTTGGGCAAATTATTTGAAATTCTGGAGCTTTTCAGCCAGTAGCTCCAGCCACCTGATCCCAGAAGGCGGAGATCCATAGCTGGTGGCCCACTGTCCAACTGGATACAAATCAAGACACAGCACAGCTGACATTTCCTCTGGAAAGCCCCCTTAGAAGCTTATATCTACCTTGAGCCTGTTACAGGCAATGCACCTAGTGAGCTGTGTCTGGCACTCTGAATAAACCAGAAGTTTTTGAGTTCAGAGTACTCGTTAGTTCCAGAGGAACTTCTTGGATCTCTTTAGTTTGCCACTAAAACATTCTTTAAGATAAAAACTAAATTCTAAGCCAATTGCTATAGTTTGTCTTTAGACAGTTATAATACACCAAGGATTTGTTTAGCTGTATGCACATATTAGAAAGCGTAAGTATTTTCTCAAGTATGGTCTGAAAACTAATGAAGTATTTCTGAAGTTTTTCCTCCAGTACATTTACATAACACTGAAAATGCCATCTTAAGTTCCAAAGTACAAAGTTCTCTACAGTACAGAACTGATAAACTGTCTTAGCTTTCCATTGTAAACAACACGGAATCATTCCAAAGAGTATCCTGAATAGGAAATAAAATACTGAAATATTTGACATGAAGAGGTGATAGGCACTAACTAGGTCAAGGAGAATGAATTCATCTCATAAAACTACATGACTGGGCCAGTAGCTCAGTGGGAATGTGTTGCAGGTGTGTGGCCCAAGTGTGAGGCCCTCTTTGGGAAGAGCAGTGCACATGCTGAGTGCGATCCCCATCACCACTAAGTGAGACCCCTGGCTGCTGGTCACTCCATCACCACAAAAAGAGGAGGAAGAAAAAGGAAACCATTCAAAATAAAGTCCAAAAATCTCTATCATTTTAAAATGTTAGTATTAGGTCTTGGTAGTAAATCTGTTACTGGTTTAAGGTGCAAAACCATTGCTGAAAAAGTAATTCCAACTGAAGTTTAAGTAAAATTATTTTTATTGTCATAAATAAAAGATCATCTGTTATACAAACATTTAGCAAAACATGTTAGTTGTAACTGGCTTAAATTAAGTATGAAAAGGACACAACAGTTAACACAAATAAGTTATAGCTCCCTATAATCTTCATGCAACTTTACATGTCAACTTCCCCCAATTTCTAACACCATTCCAAAATAGAGGAAATGGAATACTTTTGTTACAAAACAAAATGTCATCTTTGCCAAGTCAACAGTGTATTATCTGCTTGTCCAAAATGTCCATGATTGATTTAAAAGCAATACTATATTTACTGCATTTTACGGAAACTCTGGGAATATTACATGTTTTCATTTAAAGTAGTATGATCCATGAAAACGCCATGTGAAAATTTATTAACTAGCTTAATCAGTGTTTATGATAATAGGCCCTATGAATAGAGAGAATAATATGTTAGCATCAAGTACTATTTTAAATTTTGTCAGTAAATGGCACACAGCAAAGTTGATTAATTTTGAAATAACTATCATTCAAAATACACTGAAATTAGTATTTTTTCCTTCAGACAGTAAAATAACTGTCTATCCAGTTATCACTGCCCTTATTCTGGAAGCTGCACAAATAGTAAATGTTTTCACCACGACGAGTAAATAGCATTTCCATGTATTTATAAAAACCCTTGCTGAGGGCTGGAGCAATAGCACAGCAGGCAGGGCATTTGCCTTGCAAGTGGCCAACCCAGGTTCAATACCCGGCATCCCATACAGTCCCCTGGGCACTGTCAGGATAACCCCTGTGCATTGCCGACTGTGACCCAAAAAGCCAAGGAAAAAAAGAAAAAAAAACCCTCGCTGATTCTATGCAATTTTTTTTAGAAGTATAAGTTATGATCAGTTAGCACTTTTATTGAACACAATATTGATGTAGAATGTATCATCTTCATAATAAAATGTTTTATTCCTACTTAAATCCTCTTACACAGACTTGACCTATTTCTAAGAGTTGCTAAGTGAATGTAAAGGTTTACATAAGCACTCAGTGCTGTGCTCGGCACATGGGGACTCAAAACAGTCTTATTTCTCCTAGTAAAACAACCTATCTGTCATTTACAACAGGAAATGAGCTAACACCCTAAAAGAAAAATCAAAAGATAATTCTATAGATGTGTGGCCTCGTAAAAGTATTATGCATCTACTGTCCCCAAGTCTGTGTACATACTATGCACATCACAATCTATTTTTAAGATCATACTTCATGTCTCTCTCACGTCTGCCATGGCCTTTGGCCGGAAGTAAGTAATACAGTTCTGACAATACTTACAATAGAAACCACACAAAAGCAATGTGCACTGACATCGGACAAGAGGAGCATTTGTGTAAGTGCCGAGGGACAGAAGCTGAGTCCTGGCACCTTCAGACAGAGCTTGTTTAGTTTTCCAGTGTTTTCTTCCCAGCATCCAATGCTAATGGCTGCAGCTGCAAAGTCATTTTTATTGGTTTGGGTTGTTTTTCGTTTAAGGGGATGGGAGGGGAGGAGGGAGGGAAGCCACACTCTGTTGTGCTCAGGGCTTACTCCTGATTCTGTGCTAAGGAGACACCCCTGGCAATGCAGAGGGGAAAACAGGGGATGCCAGGGGTTGAACCCACGTGGGCCACATGCAAAGTAAGCACCTTGCCTGCTGTACTCTTTCTCCACGCCCCCATTTTCATTGTTTTTTCTCCTACAGAAACACTAAGCTGCCACAAGGTTCTGTCCTAAGTTAAAAAAGAAAAAAGTTCTTATAAAATACCTTCCTCGGTATTGAACATGATACGAAGTTTATACTATCAAAATAAAAGTTCTCCATGGTCTCAGTACACCCATAAACTAGGACTACCTTGATTTAAGTACACTGTTGATGCCCTCATGTTCACATATGTAAAGACATGTTAAGATGAAGATTTTCTAATCTTTGCCTAGAAATGACTTTCTATCAAATGACAATGTGGAACATAACAAGCGCATGGTACAGTCTATACCACAGTGAAGCGCATGTGTGCTGGGAATTAGGGAAAGGAGAATATTTGTTAAAAACTGAATCCAGTCATTATTCTGGCACCCAGTAAGAGGAAAGAAACCAAATATCACAAAATGTTTTTGTGAGCACAGAAAAAGCCTACATAAAACAGCATGATCCTGGCCTACTTGAACCTGAAACTTAACTATTATCTAGAGTTTTGTTTTTTTGTTTTTGTTGTTGTTGTGGGGGGAAAGGGGGATGAGAAGAGGAATCCCAAATCCTCCCCACCCCCCACCCCATTCCACCCCACATACACGCTTTAGAAGCACAATTCTTTCCCATGTTGTCTTGAATATAAATATAAGCAGTCTGGGGGGGGGGGGGGGCGGGGGGAACCCATAAACCATCACCACTATAGTAAAAATCCACAAATCAAAGAAAGACAGATTCCCTCTGAATCCACTAAAGTACTCTACAGGCTTCAGAGAAATCATTTCTAGAAATGAGAAGCTCCATGATTTATTTTCTCTACCAGCAGAAACACTCAGCGTGCACAGTGCATCAGTGTATTTTAAGAGACAGAACACCCGGTGTCCTTTTGAGGTTTGATATCTGGTTCTTTGACAGGTTTCACCGTTTCTTCTGGTTTGGGTTTGGCCTAGGAAGAAAGAGAAATACAGTTTAAGTATGTAAACAGGTCTAGGAAACATTAGGTCTTTTCCACTTCAGATTATGCAAAGAAACTATCACATTACTCAACACTGCACTTAATAGAGCTGTTCCAGATGCTACATATCAATCTCATTTAGGACCCAATCAGAAAGCAATGATCTCAGTGATGAGGAAAACCCAGATAAGCACGCAGAAATAATTATCCCAGTGAAGATGCAAACCCAGACAGGGAGAAATTCAACTAAGGGTACCTTAGCCTTTCTGAGGGAAAAGAGATGAATAAATTATGCATGTAAAACACTAAAATTTGGATATGCAAATAATATCCAAAAACAATAATAATAGGCTCTCTTTGAGTGTGAAACAAAAGAGGAGACAAAGATATTAAAGAAATAATAAATGGTTGGTTTTAGTATGGGTTGGAAATTATACAAAAGGAACTCAATTTCAAGGAAGAAAAGAAGATTGCAAAAAATAGTTTGTTCATATTTTTACAAAACCCTTGCTTTCTAGTAATCAAATCTCAACGTTTTCACTTAATCACTTGATTTAGTACATCAAGATATACTTAGCTATGAATAAGAGCAGAGTTTTACTCCTGGATTTTAAAGACTGCAGAAATGCATTCAAATCTTCCCAAACCTTGCATTATGTTGGGACCAGAGATGTAGGGTGCTTGCCTTGCCTGGAGCCAACTCAGGTTGGATCCCTGGTACCCCATATCTTGAGCAGAACAGGAGTAATTCCTGAGCACAGAGCCAGGAGTAATCCCTGAGCACCGCCAGGTGTGGCCCCAGGAGGCAAACAACAAGAACAAAAACTGCTGCTAAGGGAACGGAGCGACAGTACATCGAGAGGGGCATTTGCCTTCATGCGGCCAACCCAGGTTCAATCCCCAGCATCCCACATGGTTCCCCAAGCACTGCCAGGAGTAATTCCTGAGTGGAGCCAGGAGAAACCCCTGAGCATCACCAGGTGTGACCCAAAAAGAAAAAAAACTGCTGCTAAATAAAAACAGCAAATTGCTATAATGTAGTCATTCCTTTTTAACAATTTTCTCCCACTTTCTTCTTAAATGAGACACACAAAAATGTCAAAAAATGAGTGCAAACATCAGTCAAGAAGAAAATCAAAGTCAGCTTCGGCCTCGAGGTCATTTCTAATAATGCTACAACAGGTTATACCAAGAATGGCAGGTGGCTCACTTAACATTCAGGAAGACATCAAATGCTACTCATAAATTCTCTTTTTAAAGGTTTGTAAGTAAAAGGGGAAACCAATCTCGTACACTGTCGTCCCTGGGCCTTTTGGTCAGATCAAACGCAGCCAGCGCCTCTGGTGTCCAGTATGCACTTGTCGGAGGAAATCCAAAAGGCACAGGTTCCACGAGACCGTAATCAGCTTTGAGTTCTAGCTGTGGAGCATCTGTTGGGATTTTTTGGAAGTAGCTGCCAAAACACAATTCAAACAGCAATTCATTTAGTCCTTATTGGGAGTCTATTAAATTTCAAGTCCCATGTCAGGCATTAAAATAGCAACTTAACGATGAATAAATACAGCAGAGATCTTTCCCCGCTCATGTAGCTGACTGATGAGGTAGCTGGAGAAACCTGTGCTGGCGACAAAGCAAAGTCACTAAGCTGTAATGGGGCTGTAGGGTGCTACGAAGTTACAAAAGGAGGCAAGTAAACCTTACTTGATTGAGGGTTCATGGACAGTTTCTATAGGAGGTGATTAAGCTCAGCAGGTTCAGGAAACAAAACAGTCCCGTAAAACCAGATGAAGAATAAAAGGAGAAGAATGTAAAGAAATAAAACAGGACAAAACTGAGTCTATCAATACACAACCGGGGATGCTGATGTGAAGTCAAGTGCAGACAGAGGGAAGAACAGCAGGAATCAAAGTGAGAACGCCAAAAGAACAGCGAGAGTGGAAATAGGTTCATAGTTCATTTTCAAATTTGCTTTTAGATCTTCATGGAAATAAAATTTTACTCCAAGCAGTAAACCTGATCACCAATGTGGAGAGAAAATTAACACTAATGTTCAATACAATCTGACCCCCTTCCCGCCCCAAAGTCCTCAGAACCACACTCACATGAATCCGTTCTCCCTCTGACACTTCTCTAGAGTGTTCTTCACTAGGCTGCCCAGTTTCCTGAAGAACAAGTGTCCAGAAGGTTTCACTGTGGGCCCAGGGCCTTTGGTCTCTCCATACTCTTTGCACAACGCTTCTGCCTTCGCATAATCTTCAGGAAAAAGAAGCAAAGTCGTGAGGCTGCCGCTACTGGTGTGTCCACTCTGCACAGGCTTCAGCTCAGAGCAGGTGGGCTGCCTGGCTGCGTCTGGGCCAACGGCAGCACCAGCAGGAGGGGACAGTGGGGACTTGCGACAGATTCTGGCTTTGGAAAAAAATTTTCTCCTTCCTCTTCCTCAAGCACTTCATTCCTCGCACACCATAAATTCAAACTCCCTTACTCGGGGGTATGGATAGTGTCCCCAACAGGTCAACCTGTACCTGCAGGGCAAGTGCATCAGCAGCCTGATGTTAACTTCAGGTTTCCTGATACCCCAAAATTGCTGCTATGCCTTTGGCCAGACCCCAACAACTCGAGACCAAGTATACCAAGAAATTAAATGGCCAAAAGTTAGGTATGTGTGAATTATACCCACAAACCACCTCCTGCTCAGCTATACAAGCTCACTCAGAGTTGGGATGGGCTACCTCCCCAACTTCCCAATACACATGGAAGCACTGGCAGTCACACCCACGAACCAACTCCAGCGCCAGTCTGTTAGCTCTACTATTGGCCTTGCCTCAGAGACCCCTAAATAAATCTCAAAAGAGATCAAAAGCCACAGTCAAGCTCAGACCCATACATGGCTGAATAGACTGGAGTAAACTGGAGGGGGTGGGCTGGCCTGTGCCAGTCCAAGCAGAGTCCCCGGAAGCCACATTGCTTCCACAAACCAAAATTGCTGCCATATCTCAAGCCTGACTCCACCGTCTGAGGATGGACCTCACCAACATACAACCTGCTGAAAATTTTGTAAGTGAATCTTAGCGTACCAACAGCCCTGGCCAACAGACACAGAGGCAAGTCCTGGAAGACACCAAAGCACCGGAGATCTCTCTGGGCCCCATACCAAGCCAATATCACCAGGGTACCTACCACAGATGGAGAAGGTGCAGTCTCCCCACCTATTCCAGATGGAATCTGGGTGACCAAGAGCTTACACAAGTAAGGCCCAGGTATGCGGTTCTAGGACTAAATCTCCAGGCCGCATGGTGGCAGAGGACTTAGGCTGTCCTTCCCCGGGTCCCTGCCCACCCAGAAGACTGGCTGTTATGTCCACAATTAGCCTCCGGGCACCATCTTAGCACACCAACAGCCCTGGCACAGAGACACAGCAGTAAGTCCCAGATGACACCAAAGCGCTGGAGCTCTCTCCGGGCCCCATACCGAGCCAGTATCACCAGGGCACCCCACATGGAGCAGGTGCAGTCTTCCCGCCTACTCCAGATGGAATCCCTGTGACCAAGAGTTTTCACAAGCACGGCCCAGGTATGTGGGTTCAGGACAAAATCTCCAGGCCATATGGCAGCAGGGGACCCAGGCTGTCCCTCCCCTAGTCATCACCTGCCCAGAAGACTGTCACGCCCACGATTTGCCTCCGGACGCCACCTTAGCACACCGACAGCCCTGGCCCAGAGACTCCCAGTTGAATCCCAAAATGGATTCGTGCCATACAGAGATGTCTCTGGAACCCAACCATTTACAATCTAGAAATTGACATTTACAATCGCAGCCACACGAGCTTTCGTGATATTTGAAATGAGCTATGGAAAATATATTATCTAGCCTCTGCCCCTGGCAGGTAGGCTTGAACAGTGGTGGGAAAATTCGAGAAAAATTAATGCCCAAAATTAGAGAGAAATTATTGGGAAAATTCTCTGTCAGGGTAAGGACTGTGATGTGTACGTGTGTGTGTTGGGGTGGGGGTGATACTTGGGACATTGATGGTGGAAAATGTGCACTGGTGGAGGGATGGGTGTTCCATCATTGTAGGCTTAATCGCAAACATGAACGCTTTGTAACTCTCTCATGGTGATACAATAAGATAAAAAAGTAATGTGGAGTTCATGCCCAATTCAATCAGCTTAATCAATGGCTAAACAAACAGCAGTACTCCTACATTATTAAAAAAAAAAAAAAGACTCCCCTACTTCTCCTTTGCTCCTTTGGTAAGAAAATACTGCAGTTCAGACTCTGGCAGGAACACTTACATTTTTCTGCTTCTTGCAGAGACCTGATTGCTTCACCACATTTATCACTGGACAACAGTGTCTGGCCGTGGTAACAGTAAGCCTGAATTAAAAAAACATAATAAAAAATTTTTAAATGTACTCCTTCTCTCCCCCAAAAAAGCTCCCCACTACCATTCTGTGTGTGCAGACTTCACCCACTATTTAAAGCACCAATGAAATTCCTGCTTTTTTCCTTAAAGCTTTCTGCCATCTCAGGTAAACAGGAGAACTATGTCCTTAGAATCAATTACCCTTCTAACCAAGAGGTGAGAGCAGAAAGGATCCTGCTGAAATATATTTTTAATGTTAGAGCATAGTAGATAAATGAAGGAAATTACAGCCCTGATAAAGAGGGGGAGAAAGAAGGCTTTGAGATGGGATAACCAGGTTTGTGAACAGTATCAACATGAAGTAGGATATATTCACCCTTTCAATGTTCACACAATGCACGGATTATACACTGTTCTCACCTAAGAAATAAAAATATCTGGGGCAGAGATACAGCACAGTGGAGAGGGTGCCTGCCTTGGCCAACCCAGGTATGATTCCCAACACCTCAGAGGTCCCCCCACAACCCACCAGGGTGCAAAGCCAGGAGTTAGCCCCAAGCACTGTTAGGTGTTGTCCAAAATACAGATGAGTTAAAAATCTACTTAGATCTGAATAAGGGTTTTGATGATCTCTCACATTATATTCAAATCAACGAAACAAATAAGCTTGCTGGTGGTAAATGACCAGTCTAAACACTTCCCCAGAAGACGCTCATTAGCAGCACCTCACCAACTCCGGGATCTATGCCATTTTATGGCATGAGATCAGAATTGCCAACTATTTTCTCAATATATAGGATGAAACAATAAGTAAAAGGCTATTTGACTCATTAACTACAATTATCCAAGTTTAAATTCTCCATCACTTCTTCCCACCCACTTGGCTTGATACTCAAGTGGCCTCAGTGGCCAGTGTGAACATTTCTTGAATGCTAGCCACAACATGTGACAAGCACACAAGTCTGTTGAGACAACAGCCTGGCACAACAAACAGTGACCATCACTGGGGGAGCGAAAACTCACGTAAGCTGTGTAGAAGCACATCTTCAAGTGCAGGTACTTTCTCCATTTAGCTGAGTACACAGGCTCCAAACTGGATAAAGCATGATCTAAAGTTACATTTTAAAAAGTAAAATATAATTTCACCCTGATTCACTAGAAGACTTTCAGTTTATGTGCTCAGACGCTTAAAAGCAGAATGTCATTCAAGTTCAAAACAAGCATTTAGACTTCACAATCTTGCTTTAATGATGTCTTTTCCCGTCAAGAAACTTAAGTACATAAGGCTGGTTAAATACCATGGCACCTTTTCAAACAGTAGTTTAAAAATGATGTAAGAAATCTAGGTTAAGAGGAACTATATATACTATAAAGTAGTCTTAAGACTACTTTAGATAAGAACACTAAACACTAAAATCTCGGTTACCTAGGTGTGCAGCACAAAGGACCCCTGGGCTGGAGAAGGCGCCAAGGCTGGGCACAGGGTTCGTGTGCAGGAGGCCTGAGTCCAAGGCCTGGCACTGTGGGGTCCCCAGCACAAAGCCAGGCCCAGGCCATAAGCACTGTGAGCATACCTCCACACAAGGAAAAGGGAGCGTGGAGGGATGTCTACTGCCCCTCACCACTGAAGCCCAAACAGACCACAAACGTGTTCACCTGCCCCATCGACATCTCTCAGGCCTCTGCATCTTTGCCCTAATTCCTACTTTACGGTCTTCGTCATCAAGGCCAAGGAGAATCAACCTCCTTGACTTTAGGCATTTCTGCCCTGTACACACCAGGACCTTCCTTCAATAAAAACCTTGTCAGACTTCCCACTGTGCATGACTGTGTTGCTGGGGATCCAGAGACACTCCAGGGGGTGCTGGGGGGTAGGGGAGAGCTGTGCCAGGCCTCAAACACACCACGTGTGCGCTCTGCCTCACAAACCGCACTCTCCCAGCCCGAGTCAAGGTTGTGTGCTTCTCACAGGGGCGGACCTTCTGGAGCTATCTAACCTGCCAAGACGAGCTGGAAGGCCCACTGCTTATGCCCAGTGGTTCCGTGGCCACCAGGGCCGCCCCAGCCACTCCGGCTGTTGCCTGGGTGGCCAAGCAGTGCAGGAAAAGGTGTAGGGACTAGACAAGGTACCCAGAGTGGGCAAGCCATTCTGTTTACTGGATCGCTCGTTCACTGGATTCCAAACATCTACTAAATCAAGATCCTCTTTCCTAGGCTCATAAACCTTCCCATTTACATATGCATGCACCTTCTGAACCTCTCCATCACCCGATCTGTGCTTCAGCTTACAACATGCCTAGAAGGATCCCCGGATGAGCTGACACTGTGCCAGTCTCCTCTTTCTGTGCTTGAAATTCCCCTACCAAACTCGGAATGTCTATTTATCTCCCCAAATAAGGCTAAAGCTCCCATTCCTTCTAGGGGTTCCTATGGAATGTCCAGCGCCTTTGGGTTTTATCTCACAGCTATTACATCTTATTTCATGCCATAATGTGGCAAAGTATGCTTCTTGCCCTAGACTGCAAATTTATTCTTCTGATCTTTGTATACTGAGCAAATACAACAGGAGCCTCTCCTAACAGAAGCAAGAGTTTCCGAAGTGGCTGAAAAGAACAACAGGATAATAGATCTAAGTTATGGTTTCAGCCCCTTGCTGATAGTTACCTTAATAGTCAGATTAACTCTCCCTTTTGCCTCTTACCTAAAGTAGGTAACCATAGGCGGTTAGACCAAAAAGTTTCCAATGCAAACCAGTTGTATAAAGTCTTAAGCATTCTTCATTAGAAAGTATGGCTTCATTCTTTCTGTACAAATTATGCTCACATCAACACAGAGACAAATCAGTCTAGTTCTCTAAACAAGAATAAAATGAAGCAGATATTCCAATTTTGCAAAGGACGAGATAATCAAAATCTTTGATTAGCCTGTTTCCTATTAAGACAAAAGTAAATAAATCTGATAAAGACTAAAAGCATAGCCAGAGAATCTAAGCTCACCAGCTTTTTGATAGAAATTGGCTGTTTCATACGCCAGCGCAGCAATTAGTCCAGGAGCATGTTTCAATTCAATGGCACGGGCAATTGTTACTGTAACAAAAATGCAATAATGTGAAGGTAGGGCTAAGTCCATCTTAATTATTGAGGTGAATTACAACAGCAAAACAATCTGAGAAACTACTTGGGATTTTAATACGGTTTGTCAAGTTTTAACAAAAGCAAGCTATAAGAAATGCAGACAAACTCTTAACAATGAGTCTGTTGGTTTCTATAGCACTCCTTTAAACAAATCTCTACCCATCATCAGCTAATCACAAAAATATTTAGATATAAATAAACCTATTTTCAGGGCACTGAAGCTTGGAGGGGAGACCTTCATAAGTTTCTTTTTACTTAGTTGTCTTCTTTTTCCCCTCCAGCAAAGGTGATTTCAAGGTAAGTTAAATAGTAAGAGGAAATGAAATAAGCAAAATAGAGGGCATGAAAGATGAGTTATAGAATTAATGCCATAAAATCAAAACTCTCTTTTTAAAAGCCATTAATGAAACTATGAAGAGTTTCCTGGTTAAAATGATGGCAAATGCTAAAGATAAAATTATTGCTCACCATAAAATTTTCAAACTCAGAAACTCAGCTAAATCCTGACCTTATACAAGTTCATGCCAATATAAATTTTACCTTTAAAAGAATCTTACAATATGTAGGATACCTTCTTGAGCTTCAGCCTGACACTGGATAATGTAAGCGTCTATGAGTCGGCCCTCTAGGTCCCGCCCCTTTTCTGCAGGGGTGATAAGTTTGGGGATATGACTTTCCTGGGAGAGAGGAAAACAACAACAACAAAGTCATCAAATTTTATTTCAATCGAGTTGTTAGAAAGGAAGGCACAGGAAATGATAAGGCATTCAAAGGAGCAATTTATCAGAAATTTAGGGTGTGAGTAAAAACTGAACAACAAAAATAAGAGGAAGTTCTATTAAATTTACAAAGAACGAAAGTCTAGCCTAATACTAACAGTTTTAAAGCTCTTTTTAAGCTGTCGCAAATTTTAAGAGCCAAAATCGGGTTATACAATTGCTTAGCTATGCAACCCACATTTTCATCCTCAAAAAAGATATCTAGCTGAAACAGCCACCAAAGCTCCCTACTGTAGGCCAGAGTCGTCCGCTCATATTAATAACTGTGGCTACAAAGGGCTACAAGTCTACAGTCAACATCACAAGTTCCTAAGAACAAGACCATAGAGCGTACAATTCAGGCTGGGAAATATCAGCTTTCCTAATTGCCATCGCTTCTTCAGGCAAGTTTATACAGGTCAAACGTGTTGATGGCTTCTCTTGAGTTTCCAGAGATAAAGAGCACACGCTCAGAAGCTGTGCAGAAGCATGAGCGCTCCTGGCCATGCCACCAAGCAGGGAGAAACAGAGGAAGGCAGAGGCTTCTCCTTTGGTACTCTGAAGAGACTTTTCATTACAAGCAACTTAAATTTTCCAACCATAAAAATCACTGGTTTTCCAACATGCAGGCATTTAGTGTTTTGTCACTGGCTGCACTCATCAAGATAATTAGTCATGCTTTTTATATGATGAGACAATTTCTCCACAGCCCAAAAATAAAATCTAAAGATTGATGTATCTATTATAAAGTTTAACAACCTATAAATCCAAGAGTTGTTAATGATCTCCTAAATAGTGCTCGATTATAAAATGTTTACATACTTTTTATTAGTAATATTTTACCTTTAAATGTTTAAAAATTCCAGCTGCAATTTTTAGACTTCGATGGACATCTTTTGCTTCATCTTCTGTTATGCTTAACAAGAATGGTACAGTAGTCAGAGGAAAAATCTCATTTCTCTATTGAAACCAAACACACAGCATCTTACAACCAAATCAGTAACATTTTCTTAACACCGAATTTTTTCCTTTAAAATTCTAATCTGACCTTAAAAAGAAACAAATGCACTGAAAAGATATGCAGAGAAAAGTCATTGTAAATGAAAGAAGCATGTCCCTCTCTAGAGATACAAAGATCCTGTCTGTGCTTCCACATAATCATCTGCACAGAGAAGCATAAAATCGTACACATCTGATGCAAGCACAATCTACATACTCACTATTCTGCTCTTACTTTCATTGCCTAAATACCTTTAGATAGTTTTACATTAGCAGATATGATCTAATTCCATTTTTAAATAGTGCCTATTCTCATGCAAAGATGCATCACAGTGAGTATCTGCCATTTTCCACTCTACATAAGGTGATGTCCACTCTTATTATAAAATGTCCATTTGTCTTTTCTAATGGAACTGTATTTCCGTGAAGATTTGAAAAAATATACATTATATAAAAATTGTGGATTTTTTTTAACCAATCAGACATTTAATTTTCTGATGTTTTTATGTAGTCTGAAGCAATCAGTATTTAATTTTCTGGTATTTTTATATAGTTAAGCATTCGATCTTTCCTGGGCTTGGGATCTTACTTAGAATGATCTTCCTTCAAAACCATTAGGTTTCATAATTCTGATGAGACAGTGCTTTTTATCATAAGACCTTTTAGAAATAAAATTCTACACAGCTAAAAAAAATACACAAACAGGGGCTGGAGTGATAGCACAGCGGGTAGGGTGCTTGCCTTGCACGCGGCTGACCCGGGTTAAATTCCCAGCATCCCATATGGTCCCCCAAGCACTACCAGGAGTAATTCCTGAGTGCAGAGCCAGGAGTAACCCCTGAGCATCGATGGGTGTGACCCAAAAAAGCAAAAAATATATATATACACAAACATGTAACATCCCCCCTTTCCCACATTTAACTTACTTTTCTTTTCCAGCCAATCTCGAAGCATATTTGGTATACCATAAAGCTACATTAAATGCCATGGAAATTAACTCAAAGACAGCATCCTGCTGGGCACTGAAATCACAAACGTGGTCATGAGATTCAGTGGCTTATTCAGACATCTCTACAGAAAACCTCTAGTCCACGCCACTCAGAATCATTTACTGTGGAGAACTGGCACAGAGAAGACACAGTCCCTGTATGTCATACAAGTGAACAGACAGCCACACAATTAACAATGAAGGAAATAGACGTGATGGTCCAGTGTGTCACAATGAACACAAAAAAGTCATAGTCACCAAAATTTATTGTACGTAGAATAGCTTTCAAAGTACTGGTTTGTGACTTAACCTCTGAGTCCTGGGATGAGGCCTAGAATCTCCATTTTTCACAGGCAGTACCAGCTGATTCTAAAAAGTGATTCTTAAGAATCACAACCCACACCAGGCTGAATTCATCCAGGGCATCTCAGAAGGGGGTTGTGAGCCCAGCAACCACCCCAACAGAGCCTGGCAGCAGAAACCCTGGAGAATCCAGTCACTGCCATGCTCATGGCCAGTCTCCACAGGTTTGGGATGAGCCCCTCACACATGAGAGTGAATCTGCTGAAAAACACAGATATCACCTACTTCAGATGGAATTCTGGCGACAAAGAGCTTCCACAACCAAGGCCCAGGTATGAGGGTTCCAGGACCATATCTCCAGGCCTCCTGGCAGCAGAGGCGCCGGGCTGTCCCTCCCTGGCTCCCGCCTGCTTGATAGGCCTGGCTGTCACCCTGACAATGTGCCTCCGGGCGCCATCTTAGTGCACCAATAGCCCGGGTCCAGAGATGCCCAACTGAATCCCAAAATGAATTAGTGCCTTACAGATGTGTCTCTGGAACCCAACCATTTACAATCTAGGAATCCAGACGTGCACAGCTGCGGCACAAATGATATTCAAAATGAGCAATGGACAATAAATGATCTAGCATCTGCCCCTGGCAGGCAGGCTTGAATGGTTGTGGGAAAATCTGAGCAAAACATAATACCCAAAGTTAGAGAGTTTTGGGGAAATTGCCTGCCATGGAGGAGGATGAGGACTTGGATGAGGGGGATGTACTGGGGACACTGGTGGTGAAGGGTGTGCACTGGTGGAAGGATGGGTGTTCAGTCATTGTAGGGATGAATCTCGAACATGAAAGTTTTGTGACCATATCTCACGGTAATTCAATTAAAAAAAAGTAATGTGGAGTTCATGCCCAATTCAATCAACTTAATCAATGACTGAATAAATAGCAGTACTCCTACATTAAAAAAAAAAAAAAAAACCCCAAGAATAGCTGAGATCAGCACCAGGAGGATTACTCCATAACTTAGAGGCCAGCCGGGTATCCTAGAGGAAAGGGCTATTCAGATAGAGAAGGGAGCACCAAATAAAGGATGTTTGGAAGATCCTCCCAGGAGGGGAGATGCATGTCGAAAGTAGACTATGGACTGAACATGTTTGCCACTCAATGCCTCTTTTGCAGACCACAACACCCAAAAGGAGAGAGAGAACACAGGGGATTGCCCTGCCACAGAGATGGGGGGATGGGGGGATGGGGGTGGGAGGGATATTATCCATGGTGGTGGAAAATGGGCACTGGTGGAGGGATGGGTATCTGATCATTGTATAATTGAAACCAAAGCACAAAAAATTGTAAATCTACAACTTTAAAAAAAATAAAATAAAATAAAGGGGGGAAAAAAAAAAACCCTCAGGTATGCGGGTTTTGCGACTGAAATCTCCAGGCTCGAACAGAGTTGGGAATGGGCAACCTCCTCCAGCCTCCCTGGTCACACCCATGAACTGCCTCTGGCACCACAAAAGCTTATTAATAACCATGATCCTGAGACTCATAAATAAATCTTGGAAGAGAGTAACAAGCTGCAGAGATACCTCTGGACCCCAAAGTCACCCTTCAGTTAAAAATTTAAGTCCAGCTCTATTACACTATTAAAAATTTTAGATTTCCTGGAGCATGCAGCTGCTCTTGCTCCAGCCCAGTGTTCTCTCCTACAAGGGCTTAATGGCTCCAAGGTGAGATAAAATTTTTACAAACTTTCCTCTAAGGAAACCTTTTTGGGTCATTTTTAGCGGACTGTTCATAAGAAGCAACACAAAATAAATTATTCAGGATCTGCCTTTGGGGCAGACTTGGGTGGTGGTGGGAAAATTCAAAGCAATGGTAGTGGGAAGGTATAATGGTGGTGGTATTGGTGTTGGAATATGGAATGTAATAAATGATTGTGATCTTTATACAAAACCTAAAAAAGGAATAAATTTAATCATCACATAAGAACTATACTGCTTACTTTAATACCAAGAGTCATGAACAAAACATTTTAGCAAGATCTTAATATTTTATTAATGTTAATTAAAATTAATATTAATATTTTAATAATTTAAGTAAGATTAAAATTCTAAGAGGCAGGAGGAAGCCCTAAGAATCTTTGGCTGTGTCCCAAAATAACAAAAAACTTAAACGTTAAAAATTTAAAAATAAAGAAAATGGTTGTGAGGAGGCTTCAGTTTGGTATGTGGGCTTACCTTGGAGCCTGTCCTTGTAAAGTATCTGTCCACTTAAAATTCTGAATGTAACGCAGCTTGCTCTCTTGGGTAGACTCATCTAATGAATTTATGAAGCCTACAAAATGGCGTAAGACGTTCCAGTTTTAGAAGAAATATCAAGAATCCTATAAAATTTTTTCAGATGACTTTTGCAGATAAACATATGCAACTCCCAGTCCCTCCGTTCCTTTCTCTAGTTCAGCCCTAAGAAATAACATATCTAATTTTCAAAATGGTACAAAGTCCCCCTGCCACCCTCACAGTCTCCCATTTACAGACCTCGAACATACAAAAGAACCAGGAAAACTATAGCACTGTTAAGATACCACTGAGTCTTTTTTTAAGAAATTCAGCTGTTCCTTTTGGGAGAGCGGGGTCACAGATGGCAGTGCACCAGGGCTCCTCCCAGCTCTGTGCTCGAACCCAGGGCGTCATCAAGTCAAGTGAAATGCTCAACCAACAAGCCCCACGATAACCCCTCAGAAGCTCTCTGCCACTGACCTTGTAGGAGAGAAAAGTAGGCATCAGCAGCATTCTTCATCATCTCGGGGTTGCAGTTCAGGTCAGTGAACAGTTCCAGCAGCCGTGCCCTGGAGGCTCTCAGCTCCCTGATGAGACACAGAGAGGCAGTCATGCTAAATAGCTGGGGTGTGGATGCTTACGACCCACTTCCAAACTGGGAACACCCCACACAAACAGCAATGAACATCAGAACTGGGCAGCCAACACCCCAGCTCAGTCCTGGCACTCAACAGCGATAGGAGCATCAGGTCCTGCAGCTCCAGGGGGCTGTTCCCGAGAAGGCCTGGAGCCTGCCTGAAGCCAGTGGACAGCACTGAGGCAAGCACCTGGACCTCTGACAACTGTCAGAAAACCCCCACATCTTCCTCCTCCCTGGGTTCCATCAATGTGCCATAATGGCTCACAGAACTTGGAAAAGCAACATATTCTGAGAGGTTTTTGCTTTAAAAAAAAAAACAAAAACTATTTATTATAAAAGAATATCAATTCTGAATGGCCAGATGGAAGAGATGCATTAGGTAAGACATGGAGAAAGGGCAGAGAGCACCCCAACCCCTCCACAACCCCAAAGAACACAGAATACAAGAACACAACCCCCCTGCCCCATACCTCTGGAGTTTCCCCACTTGGAAGTCCCCAGAAACTGTCTCTCTAGGTGTCCCTGGAGGACATGCTCTTATGAATGACTGGCTCAGCCTCCACTTCTTTCCTCCAGAGGTGAGAGACTTGGCTGCAAGTCCCAGCCCTTTCATCAGGCAACCCGTCCCCATCTAAGAGAGCTCCCAAAGTCTCGGCTCTCACTACTTATGAAATTCCCAGGGTCTTATGGGCTCCATCCCCAGAAATAAAGCCCCAGGAATAAAGAGCAAGTATGTGGTTCCTTATTAAATACCACAGTATCACTGTATTACAGAATGACAGTCATTGGCATGAAGGAGCTTCCAAATTTCAGCCATAAAACCTTTAAAAAGCCACACAAACCTCTAAGGCACTAGTAACCACACAATGAGAACAGAAATAAAAGTTCCATTGAACAATTAATTCAAAAATTATACTAAAATACACTTGGTAACAATCTGAACCTATTCAAAAAAAAATTCAAACAGTTAAAAAAACATATAGCAATTAAAAATAAACATAAGCTGGAGCCAGAGCAGTAGAACAGCGAGCAGGGCACTTGCCTGGCAAGCCGAGCCAGGTTCAATTCTACAACCTCTATGGCTCCAAATCCATCAGGAGTGATCCTTGAGAGCAGAGTCACAAGAGTAAGCCCGGAGCACAGCTGGGTGTGCCCCGCCCCCCAAAACCAAAATTAACATTTAGGATGGAGAGGGAGAGAATTAAGAACAAATTAGGAGCTGGAGCAATAAGACAAGTAGGACACTTGCCTTGCATGTGGCCAACTTGGGTTCAATACCTGGCATCCCATATGGTCCCCCAAGCCCCACTGGAAGTAACTCCTGGGTGCAGAGCTAGGAGTAAGCCCTGAGCACCACTGGATATGTGGCCCAAAAACAACAAGAAAGAACAAATTAGGGTCAGGAGCAAAAGAACGGCAGGCAGGGCACTTGTCTTGCATGAAGCTGACACGGGTTAGATCCCCAGTACTGCATGTTTCCTCTAGCACCACCACCACCTGAACACAGAGCCAAGAGAAAGCCCTGACTCACAGTTGGGTGTGGCCCAAAAACCAAAATCAGAAGAATAAACAAGTATCAAGTAAGTTCATTAAAAAAAAAAAAAAGTAATACATGAAACTTGTTAGCGTTCAAAAAAAAAAACCTGCTGCAATCCAAAGAGCTCAGGTGGAGAAGCTTGAATTCTAGAGCATGGTCCATCCAAATTTAAGATATCTGTAACTGAACTCTTCACATGGCATTGACAAACTTATCAGAAGTTTAAAATTAGGGACACTGTATTTCTGCATTGCCAAAAGAACCTTAGCACATGTAGTCAAGAGAAATTTAGGCAGTACTTGTTGAGGTCAACTAAACTTACGTGCAAATTTTCGAAGCACTGGGGCCTGTGACTACACCATAGTAATTAAAGGGAACAGGAGCAGTGGCTTTCAGTGGGTTCCGATGGAACCAATGTGTCATTTTCCCCTGGTGTTTTCTAAAAAACAAGAATAATATATAGAGAGTTAAAAATAAAACATTTAACAGTGTACATATAAATACTATTGGTGAAGTTTACTACAGAAAATATGCACTTCACATAAAATACAAGTAATACATGTATGTTCCGTTTGCTGTAAGTCAATTTTAATTGTTTATTGTGTTTAAAGTCAGCCTACAAGCAAGCCCAATATCTGGAAATTCCTCAAAGTAACTACCATATGAACTACAACGGAGCAGTAACATTTCATTTGGAGGGCGGGGGTAGGAAGCCCTGGAGAATGGTGTTACAACGCAGGTTCTAATTCAACAGTCCAGGGAAGAGATGTCAGTCTCCAGGTAATACTTCTGAGAAGCAAAGAACAGTAAATCCTCACTCCTCATCCAAGGAGGATGCAGGGGTCTTCACTCATAAGTGAAATAACACAACACACTAGGGCCTCAAAGAGATTTGTTCACAACAGTGTTTTTATCATCATTTTAAAAAGCAATGTAACTAAAGGCCGAATGTTCCAGACATGGTTTGAACAGCTGAGTGTGATGGCCCGACCCAGGGGAAGGTGATTTCCCAAAGAGACCTGATTGGTGACCTTTGTTGAGCCCTCCTCACATGGAAGAATGGTTCAAATTCATGGCACTTCCCGCATGCTGTATCTGATACTCGACCTATAAATACACTTCGCACAAAATAGCTAGTAAGAATCAGTTCTCTTTAAAAGGTAAAACTTCTTGGTCAGTAACTTCTAAAAATCAAGGCACTTGAAAAACTACTTGATTGAAATGCCAATTTAAAGACGGTAAGTTTCAGTGAAACAGTTCAAAGGCATCTGGATGAATCCTCATGGAATAGGTTAAATGAACTTTGAATTTTTAATAACCCTTGAAAACAACAACAACAAAAAACCTGCATTTTTCAACTCGAATCAGGTCCCTAGGATCGAGCTGGATGAGGAACCAGGTGGGGCAGTCATCAGCTAAAAATTAGTAAGGGCTGGAGAAAGTATGCGAAGAAAAATTGTTCATCTTTACTCAAATTATTCACTACCACATACTGTCACTGTCCTCTCATTGTTCATCGATTTTCTCGAGCGGGCCCAGCAACGTCTCCATTGTGAGACTTGGTACTGGTTGGCATATCGAATACGCAACGGGGAGCTTGCAAGTCTTTGCCATGCGGGCGAGATGCTACGCAAAGAAAATCACCTGGCGGTGGGGCGGGGAGGGGGAGGACCGGGAGACAGACGGGAGGTGAGAGGCTCGGTTCCATTCCCCAGCACCCACCCGCCACCAGGGGTGACCCCTGAGCACCAAGGCAAAAGTGGAGTGCATGAAATTCGTACATCGAAACCCTAGCCGTTCTTGATTTACAGAAGCTTACGGTGACAAAGTATTGTAACCATACCAACTGAAAAACAATAATGTTTCAAACCTAGCGTAAACTTTTCTCTTGCAGCTTAGAGAACTCAGGCGCAGATAAACCCCGTTCCTAAAGGCAGTGGCAGCCAATCCTGCAGATGGAGCTGAAAACACCGCAATGCGATTCCAGGAAGGTGCCACTCACTGAAAACTGGCTGAGTATCTGAACACTGCCACAGATACTTCCGCGGCCTCGCCCACCCCCCGGCTCGCTGTCCGGTTAGCACCTTCTGCGGGGGGTGCTGAGGCCGCGGTCCGGATTCCCCGCGCACCCCACGGCCCCTGCAGGGGCTCGGCCCCCGGCTCTGCAGGAACTCCGAGAGGCGCGGCCGACCGGAACCCACACCCAGTCACAGACCCAGGGTGGCCGTCAGAGCACGGCGGTGCGAATCCTGAATCCTGGCTGCCACGCCCCGCACCCCAGGGTCCCTGCTCCACAGGCCGGGGGTCCCCGAAGGTACTCACCTGAACCCCGCCCCGAGCCGCCGTGGCCGCTTCCTGTTTACCGCCAGCCTCTTCCGGCAACGCGAGGCCTCGGCGGAGAGTGCGCACGCGCCACGGCTGGCGCCCGCCCCTCTGAAAAAAGGCGTCTCTGCGGAGCGCCGATCCTACCCACCCGGCAGCCAGGGACGAGGAACGCCGAGCAAAGCGCTACTTCGCTTAGAAAGCGACCCCCACTGCCGCCACCACCAGCAACAGAAAGCAGAGACGCGGCCAAGCGACACCGAGAGTCTAATTAGAAATGCAACTGGCTCGTGGTGCCAATGTATCTGCTACAATGCATGAACCTGGGGGCTGAGGAGGGGAGCCGCGATCCGGGAGACTTCTGAACCTAAGGCTTAGTATTTCGGGCAATCGACAGGGTAGAAAAGGCAATCCTCTCGGACATACTCACGGGATTGCTCGGAGGCAGTGCCGTGGTCCCGCGGAGGGAAGAGAGGCTGTGTCCTAGTCAGCCAGCAAGAACGGGAGAAAGTCACAGCTGAAGGAAGTCGCGGCTCCGGGTCGCCTGAGCGCGACTACTGGAAGCAGAGTCGGGAAATGATGAGGGTGGCGGGGTGCAAAGTCGGAGTCACGTGTTCCTGGCGGCCATGACAGCTACCGAGGCGGAAGTGAACGCCGCGCAAGGATGAAGCGTGATCGCATGGCCGCAGCACCTCGGGCCCTCGACCTCCGGACCATTTTGCCACCCTCCCCCGTGCCCTTTCGTTTCGAGCTCAGCTCCAGAGACCGGGTGCAGAAGCAACCGCGCCGCCTCGCTTTCACGCCGCCCAATGCCTCGGTAGCGATGGCGGCCAGCGGGGCGGGGCTCCGGGGCGGGGGCGGGGCCTCGGGCGCCGCAAAGTTTGGCTGTGGCGGCAAATGGGCTTGGGCGGCTCCTGGGCGGGTGGCGGCGGCGGCCGGCGCGGTGCGTCCCGGCTCTGTTGATGGTGGGGCCCGACCCGGGGCCGATGGCGCCCTAGAGCGCGGCCTGGCTGTGGGGGTCGGGGCGGGCGCCGGCCATGTCGGAGGTGACCCGAGGTCTGCTGCAGCGCTGGGGCGCCAGTTTTCGCAGAGGCGCCGACTTCGACTCCTGGGGCCAGCTGGTGGAGGCGATCGACGAGTATCAGATGTGAGTGATCGGGGGCCGGGGGGCGCGGGGGTCCTCGCCGGGGGCGCCGGGCGCCGCAGCCCACGCTGGCCGGCTCGGGCGCTGCGCTCGCGGGCGCCCCGGAGACGCGGTCCCGGGCGCGCTCGCGCCTCCCCGGGGCCGCGTTCATTCAACAGGTGGCGCCGAGCGGGCCGCCCGCGGGTCCAGCCGCGGCTCCCGGCTCCCACCCCGCCGCCTGCCGCCCCTCGGGGCTGGCCCGGCTCCCCGCGGGCGCGGGGGCGTCCCCCGCCCACTCCCGGGATGCGGGGGCGGGGCTGGGGGTCGCGCGCCCCTCCTCCCGCCGCCGCCGCCGCCGCGGGCGCTGCCCTCCAGGCTCCGCGCCCCGAGTCCGTTTCGCTTTCTGAGCTGTTATTTGCGAGACACCCTCCCGCCCCCTCGCCCCCCTTACCGGCTCCTCTGGGTGGAGTCGGCGCAGGATGTGAATAGCAGGGAGCGAAATGTGAATTGTTGGCGGGCGTGCGGGAGCGGCCGCCGCCTCCTCTCCCAGCGTGTGAAATGTGTGGCCCACGGTACGTGGGGACGGGGGCCCCAGTCGCGCCCCCCCCCGGCTGCTTTCTGCCTCGTGGGTGGCAGCTTTCCGCTTCTCTCCTCCTACTACCCCCACCCCAAAACCCCAAACACTTCACGGGTGTTTTTAAAATGAAAATTCGAGATTCGCGTGTCTGTAACATCTTGCACTCTTTACGCGGAATAGAACTGCCGGCTCAGAATGCTGTTGCTATCTTTTGGACTCTTTTTTTTTTTGCTCATCACGTAAAACCTTTTTTTTTCCAGTGTCTGCTGGGAAGACTGAATGATTGGTATTGGAGGATGGAAATTCTTTACCCTTTGGCCACGATAGTTGTTAGATTCTGTCCAACCGACTTGCAGAGGTGGCCCTATCTTTCCCCTAAAGTCCCTGTAGTTAGTTGCAAAAATTCCCCCAAGACCTCCCGGCCCCTGACCATCTTTGCCAGTTCTCCAAACTTGTCCACGCTTTTGCAAATTGACTTGAAGGTCATTTACTCTTGCAGCAAAGGATTATTATCCACAGGCAGCTGAAACTCAGCCGAAACTCAGGTTATAAAGAGCACCTGGAATCGCAGAAAATGAATCCTCTTGAAAGCTGAATTTTTTTCAGAATTTTCGAATCCCGCCTGCCTTTCTGTGTGTGGTCGCTTTCTGTGAGATGTGTGATCAGCAGGTTAGACTGTGGAGGTTTCCTTCAGTACCGCAGCACACGAACCCGTGAGTGCCTATGGGACACGCTTGCATGGTCACTGAGCTGGCGTCCCCGAATTACAAAGCTGGCTCTCCCTAGCAGTGCGGTGGCCCTGGCCGGTAGCAGCTGCTCCTCCGAGCCCACAACCCCACAGGACGGTGAAAGCAGAGATCCCCATGTCTAATTGACCTTACAAAAGGAAATAAAGACTGTTTGGTTGTAACTTCTAGGACCGGCTCAGTAGAGGGATAGACACTGCAGGTTGGGTGTTGGAGCTCCAGAGGAGCCTCTATACCAAATGACCCCAGGTTCTAGGCACTTGCCTTGCTCGCAGCTGACCTGGTTCCACCCTGGCACCCCACATGATCCCCTGAACACCTCCACGAGTGGCCCCTGAGTGCAGAGTAGAAGTAAACCCTGAATATTGCGAAGTGTCGCCCCTAAACCAAAAAATAATGGCACCTTCTGCCCACCCCCCCATCTCTTTACCTCCTTCCCTCCCCCACATACACATCAATTTTTCCTAATTTTTTTCATAGTATTTAGGAATTCCTACCAAAAGAGTCTCACAAGATTTAAAGAAATGAAGTCAAAATTAAAGTACTATCCAGAATATATCCAGTCAGCTAAAATGAATTCCGTTTAGCAAGCCACCTCTTCAACAACGTGGAGATACATGATTCCTAGTTATTTATTGTTAGAGTGGTACAAAAACTATTGTTCAGGGGCTGGAGTGATAGCATAGCGGGGAGGGTGTTTGCCTTGCACACGGCCGACCTGGGTTCGATTCCCAGCATCCCATATGGTCCTCTGAGCACCACCAAGAGTAATTCCTGAGTGCATGAGCCAGGAGTAACCCCTGTGCATCACCAGGTGTGACCCAAAAAGCAAAAAAAAAACAAAACCCATTGCTCGGAATCAGATGTTTCATGGGACCAGTCCTGTGGGATTGCTTTGCTACATGGATCCTCAGTAAATATTTGCAGCGGATAGGTCACTTGCCTGGCATACAGTGGACAGGGGTTCAATCTGGCATCCCATATGGGGGTTACTGGGCCCGCTCGAGCAAATCGATGATCAACGGGAGGGCCTTTACTTTTTGGGTCACACCAGGCGATGGTTCCCCAGAGCCCACCAGCTGTAGTTCCTAGACAGAGAGCCTTGAGTAAGCCCTCACGAGACACAGTCAGGTGTGGCCCAAAAACCAAAATAACAAAAACAAAATGAATAGATGAGTTTGAAGACTGGCTAATAATTTTGGTGAGTGGTCTTCCCTTCACCTTGTGTGTCAGTGCTACTCATAGTGATCACAGATGATTCTGATCTGCAAACTTACTGTCTGCAAAAGACTTCTCCAAAAGAGGAGATCTAAGCTTTAAGAGCCATCGATCATTTTTACATCTTGGCTGTATCTTTTCTTTCGTATTTAATTAAATTGTTAGCTTGGCACTATATTGGGGGGAAGGGGTTGTTACTTGTCCTTTATAGGTAGTTTGAGAAGCAGTAATTTCTAACATGGATTTCTACCAGTCACTTGTTTATGTGTTTAAAGTATATTTAAAACAACCCCTGGAGACTAATCCTTTCTCATCGGTAGGCACCCTTGTAAAGTGAGATTATTCTCTAGAGAATATTTGACAGATTTTTCATCGTTACTCATAGAAAATCAACTCTTACCTGCTCATGTGATGTTCAGTGCAGATGGATTTACCCTCACTTAAAGACATTATGTCTCACTTCATCTTAATATGATAAAATCATGTACGGATTTTGAAAAGAAAGTGGTTTGAGGTTTTTTGATTTTTGTTTTTTTAATGCAGGCTTTTCTAAAATCTGTTTGAAAAAGTCTTACTTGGACTGGGAGCTAGCCCAGCTGTTGGGGTGATTGCCTTGTGAGTGCCATGCCTGGGTGGTCTTTAGACCCAGCACGGTCCCCCAACAACTCGGAGTGGCCAGAGCAGCACTGGGTGGGCCTTTGCTGGACACTGCAGGCCCACTTGGCCAGAAATCACAGCGGAGCTTCCAGCTCCTGACCACTGCTTAGAAGCCTCCCCTGAAAGCAACTTGATTGAGCTAATCAAAGAGGATAGGGTGTTTGCCTTGCATGCAGCCGACCCTGGTTCAATTCCTCCGCCCCTCTCAGAGAGCCCTGCAAGCTACCGAAAGTATCCCACCCACGGCAGAGCCTGGCAAGCTCCCCATGATGTATTCAGTATGCTAAAAAAAGTAACAAGTCTCACAATGGAGATGTTACTGCTGCCCTTCCGAGCAAATCGATGAACAGGACGACAATGCTATTATTTATGTATTTTTGTTTGGGGGCACACCTGACAGTGCTCAGGGTTACTCCTAGCTCTGTGCTCAGAAATGACTCTTTGCTGTGCTCAGAGCACCATCTAGGGTGTCAGGGATCAAATCCAGGTCAGCTGCTTGTGAGGCCAGCACCCTCCCTGCTGTACTGTCACTCCGCACAACCCCTAGTTTTTGATAAATGTATCAAACTGTGCAACCATGACTTCAAACTTTAGAGCATTTTCAGCACCCACAAAGCAGCCTTGGGCCCGAATGCAGGCTCTCCCCATGTCCACTGCCCATCCGGGCCATCTCTCGTCTAGGTTCAGCCTCCGGGTTTGTCTGCTTGGTGAGAGCTTTGCAGAGGGCAGCTCCTCACCTCCTCGTCCGTTTGGCGTGGCAGGAAGCTGCGTTCCTAAAGCTAAACAGAGCTGTGGCCACTGAGATCCAAGTTTGTCTTTTCCGGACATTCTGTGTCCGTGAGCCCGAGTCAAGTGGAATCTCTCACAGGTCTGAGCGCGGGTGCTTCCTCTCCTGCCGTCTGGTCTCCCCGGGGGGGTTACTGCATGGCCCATTTCCAAAGCCTGGGACACACCACATCAGCGCTGTTGTTTCTCGTTGACTCTTAGCAGAGTTACACCGCTATGAAGAGTCACAAGAAATATTTTTGCGTACGTGTTTTTATTTTCCTTGCAGTTTTTTTAAATTCTATTTTAGGTTCTGTGGCTTCGTGGATAACACTTGACAGTACTACACCCTTCACCTGTGTTTGCTTCCCTCCACTGTCGTTCCTGTGTGTCACCCCCACACACACCCCACACCCATTCAGTCTCCACCCCCACCCCACCCGCTTCTGTGGTATGCTTTCTGCAAGGAAGACCAGTTTGTTGACTTTGGGCATTTGTTGTACCCTTTCTTTCCTTTTTTTTTTTTTTGGATTTGGGGCCACAGCCCTCAACATTCAGGTGTTGCTCCTGGCTTTGCACTCAAGAATGACTCCTGGCAGTGCTTGAGGGAACCATACAGGGTGCAGGGGATTGAACTCCTGGCAGTGTGCAAGGCAAGTGCCCAACTCACTCTACTGTTCTTTGGGTTTGTTTGGGGGTCACAGCTGGCGCTGCTCATGGGTGACTGCTGGCTCTGCACTCGGGAATTATTACTTGTGGTGCTTGATGGATCGTCTGGGATGCTGGGGACTGAACTTGAGTTGGACAGGCTGCGCCCTCCCTGCTGTACTGTTTCCAGCCCTCCCCCTTGTATCTCTGCACCCCACTTCTGGAGACATCATTCTGTGTCTGTCCGTCTCCTGACTGACTTCACCCAGCATCACCATTTTTAAAGAAACTGCCCTGCCACGCTCCCTGCCTTGGCCTTGCTTAGGGCATTGCTGCACCATGAGCTCCTGTTTTCCACACGGCTCTTGTTGACAGTGTTTGTTGACGTGTATAGAATCCATACAGTCGGGGTTGGAGCGATAGTACAGCGGGTAGGGCATTTGCCTTGCACAGGGGCGACCCAGGTTTGATTCCCAGCATCCCGTATGGTACCCTGAGCACTGCCAGGAGTAATTCCTGAGTGCAGAGCCAGGAATAACCCCTGTGCATCACCGGGGGTGACCCAAAAAGCACACACACACAAAAAAGCATACAGTCAAAGCGCATGAAGGCGAAAAGATAACAGCTTGCAATGTCAATTTGTCATGTGATATTTATGTCTGTTTTTACAAATTTGTAGGAGTGAGAACCCTAAGAGAGTTTAAAGAAGTTTTTAATTGAAAGGAAACATTTTCCAGCTGCTGAAGAATTTGAAACTGACTTCCAAGCATAGGACTCAGGGTGGGGACGGGGGCAGGACTAAAGGGCAGCAAGTGTGAGATTTTCTGGCAAAAAAAAAGGGCTCACCAGCTTGTCAGGGGAACTGAACCACGTTACTTTAAACAACTAATATTAATTCCTTTTCTCCCTAAGCTAGAAACCTGTATTCCTTATTCCTACTTCCCTCCTTTTAGTAGTCCATTGATTGAATTTTATCAATTGATGAACATTTGGGATGTTTCCACTTTTTGGTTAGTGTGAATAGTGCCTGCCGTTGCTGAGAATATTCAAGTATAAGATGTTTTTTTTTTTCCCTGTTTTTTTTTGGGGGGGTTGATAATATGTTTTTGGTTCTCTAGGGTATACAGTTAGGGCTTTAAAATTGGCAGGTTACATGATAGCTCTTTTGGGGGAACTGCCAAATTGTTGTCCACAATAGCTGTGTCATTCTGCATTCCCACGAATAATGTTTGTGGGTTCCCATTTTCCACAGCCTTGCTACAACTGGATTTTCTTTTTCTCTCCCTTTAAACAAATTATGCATACTCATTTTTGTGGGTATGAAAATTGCAGTCTCTGTAGTTTTGATTTACATTTCCCTAATGACTAATAGTATTGATATTCATGTGTTTATTCGCCATTTTTTATTCACTCTGGGAGAAATGTCTATTTGGATTCTTCCTCCATGTTTAAATAGCCTTGACTTTCCATTGTTTAGTTAGAAGACTCAGCCATTGGTGTTAACCACTTCCTGGATGAATCTGGCTCCTTGCTGGTGAGCTTCAGTGAGTAACTTCAAGGCAGCTTGGAGAACATGCCCAGGCCTCTCTGCTCCCTTTAAAGTTGGGTGATCTCAAAAACTAGAAATTGAGCTTCCATATGACCCTGCAATACTACTTCTGGGAATATATCCCGAGGATGCAAAAAAGCACAGTAGAAATGACATCTGTACCGACATGTTCATTGCAGCACTGTTCACAATAGCCAAAATCTGGAATCAACCCAAGTACTATAGAACAGATGACTGGTTAAAGAAACTTTGGTACATCTACACTATGGAATACTATGCAGCTGTCAGGAGAGATGAAGTCATGAACTTTGCTTATAAATGGATAGACATGGAGAGTATCATGCTAAGTGAAATGAGTCAGAAAGAGAGGGACAGACATAGGAGGACTGCACTCATTTGTGGAGTATAGAATAACATAATATGAGACTGACGCCTAAGGACAGTAGATACAAGGGCCAGGAGGATTGCCGCATAGCTGGAAGCCTGCCTCATGAGCAAAGGGGAGAAGGCAGCTGGAATAGAGAAGGGATAACTGAGAAAAAGATGGCTGGAGGAATCGGTCAGGATGGGAGATGCGTGCAGAAAGTGGATAAAGGACCAAACATGATAACCTCTCAGTGTCTGTATTACAAACCATAACGCCCAAAAGTAAAAATTATGGGGAATCATGCCTGCCATGGAGGCAGGGGGAGGGTGAGAAAGGGGAGTGCAGTGGTGTGCACTGGTGGAGGGATGGGTGTTTGATCATTTTGTGATTGTAATCCAAATATGAAAGCTTGTAACTATCTCACGGTGATTCAATAAAATTTAAAAAAATAAAATAAAAATAAAGTTGGGTGACCATTCGTCAGTGGCAACTTCTGTTGTGATTGGTGAAGGGTCTTCCAAGAAAGAAGCGGGTTCAGAAGATGGTGTGATAGGATACTCTTATTGCTGTAATTTGGATACATCTCACCAGCAAATTAGTGATTAGCTGATAAAGTGTGTCTTTATGCTCACGGGAAATGTTTAAGCAGAAGCTCAATAACCGTTCATTGATTCGTTATAGCAGAAATTCATGGATACTAGAGAAGTGAGAGGCCATTAGATATTCTTCCTAGTTCTGTCTTATTGCCTAGAGCTGAAATTTTTCCCAGTGAAATAATGTGAAAAATACAGTATCTTATTTTCGTAGTCTTGTATAGAGTTTGATACTAAAGATAATGCAGATTCAGCCTCTGAATATATAACAAACTTTTTAATTTTGTTTGGGGGGGAGGTCACACCCTTCATGTTAGTTGGCTGCTCCCATCCATCGTCAGCATCAAACGCTGACCTTCCACAGTGCAGAGCAGGCACTATCTCTCCAGCCCAGAACAAAGTATTGTTGTACTTCACTCCCTTTTTTCAAAAAGCTAAGTTGTAGCCTTACTGCGCTAGGCAGTTTACTTCAATGGCTTGAAGTAAAGGATGCTTTTTGTTCTCCTTACAGATTAGCAAGACATCTGCAAAAAGAGGCCCAAGCTCAACACAATAATTCTGAATTCACAGAAGAACAAAAGGTACCATAAGTAATCTTGACATGTATTTGTATAGTTTCTAAATGAAAAGGGATCTGTCTATCTGTTGAACCCATTATGGGCCCAAAAAAAAAAAGTTACGCTTAGGTATAAAGAATGATACTGACTTGACTTTGCCAGAGTATGAATGGTCATCACTTAGAGAGACCACTTAATGAATTTCTCTCTAGCAATGAATCTCTTCATCCACCCAATTTAATCTGTTTGACTTAGTGGGGACCATGTACATGCAGGCTAAGGAGGGGAGACGCCAAACACTTGTTGATTAGAATAGCAGCCCACCTCGAAACCCAATTCAAACCTTTGTCTTTTCTGTGTTTGGGCTGTACCTGGTACGGTACATGGCTTACTCTCATCTCTGCTCGGGGCTCACTCCTAGGGGTGATTGCGCCACCACATGGTGTTGTGGATCAAACCAGGGTTGACCCCCTGCAAGGCAAGCACCTCACCCCTTGTTCTTTCTCCAGCCCATCTGATCTTTCTTGACTTCTCCACATCCTCCCCAATTGAGAGAAAATTCGCTTTGTCTTGATTGGCTTACCTTTCTGAGGCTGAAGTTGTCATTGAAAATGCTGTGTTCATCCTTTCATTTGTGACACTTCCTAGTAGCTACCTGGCTTTGCTTTTTCTCCTTTTTTCCCAACCTCCACAAACCCACACAACTCACACTCCAAATGGCCCAGCCAGCAGAGAGCACTCGAGGGAGGAGTCTGACTGGAGGGTTTCGCTCTGCGGGCCTTAATTTCCTTTTGTGTGAAATGAGAACCTAGTTAAGCCTTCATGATCATGACAGGTGCCCAAACCCATCCAGCAACCCCTTCCTCGGAAGCATCTTGTGCCCCTTCTTTCCCGGAGGCCGAACCTCAAAGAGGTCTTCGCTCTAACACCTGTGAGAAGGCATGTGTGGCTACCCTGCTGCCTACAGAGAAAGCGTGTGCCCACCTGTTCCCTGGCCTTTATTTTTGGAATTGCCCCCGATCACTCTGTACTACATTCTGCCTATAGGGCAAGTGTGTCTGCATTTACAGACTTAATTTCCTTTAAGATATATAGTTAAAATATATAGGTGAAGTCCAGAGTGGTAGTGCAGTGAAGTGGGTGCTTGCCTTGGCATGCGGCCAACCCAGATTTCATCCCCTGCATCCCATATATTCCTGAGCCCACCAGGAGTGACCCCTGAGCACAGAGCCAGAGGTAAGCCCTAAAGACCACTGGATGTTGTGAGAGAGAGAGAGAGAGAGAGAGAGAGAGAGAGAGAGAGAGAGAGAGAGAGAGAGAGAGAGAATTTAAAACATTCAACAGGGAAAATTCCTCATGCTGATACTTGAATGTGTCAAAGAAAAACATACTCTAAGTTGGTGACTAGAAAACAAAGATTCCCAATGTGTCCTGTGGTGGCTGTTAGCTCTGAAGAATTAATGGATGGCTTTTGAACAGGAAAAATTGGTGACCTCTCAAGGCATTTAATGTGGTAGTGTAGATGTGAAGTTTTTGAGGAGTTTGGGTATGGATTGCTTTTTAAATTGGATTTTTTTGGAGATCTCTGCTCTCTCTCCAGAATGTGTCGCTGGGTCTCTGGTTCCTGAAGCACACGTAATGGCAGAGGTTGGGGTGCCCGCTGTAGGCAACAAGGCAGTGGCAGCCCAGACTTGGCCACAGGCCGAAGGAGAATAACCGGGACTGTTACTCTCCAGGAGGAAAAAGGAGAACGTTCCTTGTACTAGTCAAGCAAAATTGGTTTCTGCCTTCTATTTTGAATTTATTTCTGTTTCTTGATTCTTTTGCTTTTCTTAGTGTCTTAATAGCAGTGAAGAATTTTAGGTTTAGGAGCACTTAAATTTTTCCTGTCTTGTACAAACACTGTCCTCCCATTGTTCATCGATTTGCTCGAGCGGGCCCAGTAACGTGTCCGTTTTTTTTTGAGACTTCTTGTTACTGTGTTTGGCATATTGAATACGTCGTGGGTAGCCTGCCAGGCTTTGCCATGCGGGCGAGAGACTCTCGGTAGCTTGCCGGGCTCTCCAAGAGGGGCGGAGAAATTGAACCCGGCTCTGCAGGGCTGGCTGCGCGCAAGGCAAACGCCCTATCGCTGTGCTATCGCTCCAGCCCCATCTTATAGAAATTGATTTTTTTTTAATAGTTTATTTCTTTATTGAATCACTGTGGGAAAAGTTACAGAGCTTTCGGGTTTAGGTCTCAGTCATGTAAGTATCAAACACATTTCCCTTTACCAATACTTATTTTTAACCGTGAACCCCAATAGAACCCCACCTCCCACCCCTCCCAATTCCTGTTAGGCAGATGAGTTCTAGTTAATACTCTATCTACTTTGACTAGATACATTGTTTCAATAGAAGATGCACAGTTATTGTTTAGAGTTTACGACCCCCCCCCCCAATCAGATATGCTGAAACAGCGTTGCGAAATGATTTGCTTTCTATAGCTTGGTTTAAGAATAAAATGATGTTTTGGATTTCTGCTGTTTAACTTATTAACCCTGGAAGTATTTCTATTAAAAATTAGATAGTTAAGAGATTGGTTTCTGTGCTCTGGAGTCGTGGCCGTGCCGGAGAGCCGCTCGTGGGGGGCAGCTGGTGACCTCGGGCGTGAAGGACGGCCCACAATGCCCCCCTTCCCATGAGGCCCCTGCCGCCCCCCGCCCCCGGCTCAAACCTGCTGTCCACAAGGCTCCCGTGCGGCCGCCATCTTCCAGAAATTGATTTTTTTTTAAAGTATATTTCTACAGTGTTCTGAAACTTTTATTGCTTAGCGTCCAATAAGTTTTAATAATGACTAAATGCTTTTTTTAGATCTTAGTTATTGATATTTATTGATGCATGATTGTTAAATAATTACGTTTTCACAGGGCTTATTTTAAAGTTACAGAACAGTGAAGCAGAACGACAGTCTAAAATTTATTAATTTTTCATAGTGGTCTTCTTATGATTGCCCATTTATAATAATTTCAAAGATTCTTGATGAATGGCAAAAGGAAAGAATCTTAATATTCTTATTTGAATCTCCCTAGTGGTTAGTCCAACTTAGCTTTCCTTTCAGCTTTCAGTAGTTTTGTCATTATAACAACTGTGTGTCGGGAGCCAAAGAATGGCTGCCAGCAGCTTTCCTTCCACTCACTTCTCCACTCCGTACTATTGATTGTCTCTGGCCAATTTCCAGACAGAGGAGCCCATCTGGGGGGCCGAAGTGATGGTACGGCATGGAGGTGGCTTCCTGCCCTCAGTGGACCGAGTTAGAGTGCCCCAAGCCCTGCTAGCAGTGATCCCAGAGAGCAAAGCCAGGAGTAAGCACTGCTGGGTGTGGCCCCCCCAAAAAAGAAAAAAAAAACACGAGAACATCCTGTCTCAAGATGCTTAGAAAGTTTTTCAGTTTCGAATCAGATTTGATAGTAGTGAATATTCCAGCATTATAGACTTGCTTTCTACCTAATTGATTCCTCTTTACTCATCACTTTTTTGTAGCCTCACCTTTTTAATATCCCTGTACCTGTCACTCAAAAGTAGAATACTGGCTCTTTTAATTAAAATTTAAGTCTGGATTGAGAGTGTATGCTGCAGGGAAGGCAGGTGCCCTGACCTCTGTGTTCTCACTCCATCCCATCCATCTCCTTCTTTGACTCTTTTGGATTGCCCATTTCACTAGCAGTGTGATCAAGCGAAATAGCCAGTACTCTGGAAATGAGAACACTGCCCATTTGTAGCCTTTCATGGCTTTAGCAGTTAATTTGAAGTGCTTTCCTTTAAAAATAGTTTAAATTTTTCTAAAATTCAGCTCCTCTTGGTCACTTGCCCTCAAGACCTCCCTGGGCCTGGGTCAGTGGTACTTATATTCTGACACTTTTACTCAGACCTGTGTTTCTGAATCATATTCCTGAAATATTTGTTTCTTAAAAAAACAGACATTTACAGTAGTACGCTCGTGATTTTGACACCAGTTAATGCAAGATTTTTAAAGTAATTGTTACAGATGAAAATGGTTGTGTCTCTGCTCCATTCTTAATACTGATGTTGGGTGTGGTTCCTTAAAATAGTCATGAATAATGTCTTTTGGTATTTTGCCATAGTTTCGTAGTTGTTGTATGAAAGCTGTTGCTTCTGCCTAACTTGAAGAAATATTCAGCTTTAAAATAGGCTGTTTAAAATGGATTCAGAGTGTTAAATTACATTTACCATAAATATTAAAAAGAATCAAATCAAGTAGATTTTATAACAGGAAAGGAAAAGGAGTTGTAAAATAACTAATATTTTAGAAAGATGTATTGATCATATCTCACTTAATACAGACTTCCCCTTAAATAGTATTGTTTAAAAAGCGTACAGAATATGGCTAAGTTATGTTTAAGCAAGTGGATCCCTTTGTTATATGGAAGACATTGATGTCTAGGACAAGTCATTCACTCCCCCCTGTTTTACTTCTAGAAAATCGTTGTATCTAACTCAGGGTTATGGTGAGAAGTAAATTAATGGGTGTGACTCACTTAGAGTCTGCCACTTAAAATGTTCAAAATTTGTTAACCAGTGTTACTACTATAATCTACCTCTGTTTCAATGTATTGGCTAGTTTTGTCTGAGTTGCGTGGTTGACCAAAAATTACTTGGGGATGGTCAGTTTTCTAGAGAGAACATGTAGTGCGTGTGGAACAGCTTTGGGAGGGTAACTGACATCGTGAATATCTTGAAACCTTTTGCTTGAACTGTATTTAAATGTAATCTTAAAATACAATTTTTGTATTAACAAAAATCACACATTTTCTCACCTTTTATATTGGGATTTAAATCCATTTGTAAAGAATCTGGGTGAGACTGGAGAGAGAGTACAGCGGATAGGGTGCTTGCCTTCACACAGCCAACCCGGGTTTCAATTCCCATCATCCAAGCCCCAGGGAGCACGGAGCCAGGAGTAAGCCTTGAGCACTGGGTGTAGCCCCCACAACTTATTTTTAAAAGATTGTCGAAGTAGTTAACGGTAGGTACCTGTTTTCTGACCTAAAGTCAGAGCTTGCTCAGTAATATTTCTTTTTGTGAGTTGTTCAAGTATTTAAGGGCTGAAAAGACTGTCCTGGGATTGACAGTTGCCTTTCATGCAGATAATTGCGAGCATAAAGCTGGGGACAGCTCCCTCATACAATCAGGTGTGCCCCCCTAAAAAACAAAAATAAACAAGTAAATAAAATTGCTGTTTATTGTTTAGAATTGCATAGATTTCATGAGCTCAGGTCTTGGGACCAGGCCAATGCTTTTCTCTTTGCTTAAGATTTATTTTCTAAAGAAAATTGACAAAGGAGAAAAAATAAAACACAAACTTCAGCTTGCTAAATTTTTGCAAGTCAACAGAACATGGGAAAACATCTTTTGGGGTTGGAGAAAGTGCAGGAGGTAAGGAGCACCTTGACGTGCAGCTCACCCAGGTTTGACCCCTGAGGATCACTCTGAGCATAGAGCCAGAAACAGCCTAGAGCACCACCATACACGAGGTGCTTAAAACCTTTAACCCCCAAAAACAAAAACAACCTTTTTTTAAAAAAAACTCAGGATACTTCATTATATACAATATTGAAAATATGCATAAATCCTTCACGTTATGGTCTGGATTTTATGTAATGAAAACTTGGGGAATGTTCCTCAGGAAGACTCAAGCCTTACCCCGTTCATCAGTGTCAACTGCCTGCTCAGACAAGTGTCTTCTGTGGATGCCTTTACTTTTTTTTTACCTCGGCCCATTTTTGTTCTAATCATCGGTGACCTGCTCAGTTGAAATCAAGGGATTGATTTTTTTTTTCCTTTTGGGTCACACCCAGTGATGCACAGGGGTTATTCCTAGCTCATGCACTCAGGAATTCCTCCAGGCGGTGCTCGGGGGACCGTATGGGATGCTGGGAATCAAACCCAGGTTAGTTAGCCGCTTGCGAGGCAAATGCCCCACCTGCCGTGCTCTCGCTCCAGCCCTCATCAGAACTGATCTTACCTTTGGTCTCTTCCTTCCATCTTCTCCTTGAGCCGATGTTTACTGCTCGTTCGAAAGTCTCCTTCAAAGGCGCCTGTGATTCGCATTCTGTTCAGCCTGCGCGCTTTACTGGTTAAGTAATGAGAGGCCCTCGCCAAGCCCCCCAGAATCACCGCTCCCCACCCTCTGCTTGTCATTTCACACTTGCCTCCCCTGCTTCTGTTTGGTACTTGAGACAACTGAACTACGACAGATTTCAAAACTCTTTAGTTTTAGAAATCCTCCCAGTCTCATTCCTTGGTTTCTGATAGAGCTTCTTGTCCAGTTTTCAAGTCATCTGGTAACTCACAGTGTGTAAAATTGAGTTTCTCTTTTTTGTTGTTTGTTTTATAGTATCCTGTATGTGTCCTATCTCTTAAGAGGACATGAGTTGAGTAAAGGCCAGGACTCTGCCCTCTCACTTATATCCAGCTCATAATATATCAAACAGCTGGCTGTAAATTTACCATCACTTATCACAAGTATTGATTTTGTTCAATATTGCCTCTATACTTAACCGAACATGTCAAGGTGTTTAACATCAGAATTCAATCATACTAGTGTTTTCTCTTCCAGAATTTGTATTTTTCATCTTTCAGGAGAATTTTGACTTATTGGAGAGAAGAAGACAAAGCCAGAGAAGAACGGAGGCAGGACACCTTTTCCTTCCTCTTATTAACTGTCTTCTAGGGCATGGGGCAGAGCTCCAAGGGCTGAGGCCTGGGGAGCCCTGGTCAATCCCCAAGGCTTCATGATCTCTTGAGCCCCACCAAGAGTAGCCCCCATGGACAACCAGATGTGGCCCCAACCAAAAATAAATAAATGTAAATTATGTGTCATCAAAGCAACTTAAAATCGGTTGCAGCCTCTTAGATCAGGAAAGGCTGTATATCCACCTTCTATTATCCAGCCCTCTGCCTTCCATTTCTCAAGTCTGCAAGATGCAAAAAAAGAGATGAAGCTTACTTATTGAAAACTTACAGTTCCTTGTCATTCAAAATTAACTTGAGAACTAAGCCTCTATAATATGTTTGGTATTTTAGCTTTTTCTTTTTTCTACAGAGAACCATAGGCAAAATTGCAACATGCTTGGAATTACGAAGTGCAGCTTTGCAGGTAAATAGATTTCTTTTTTATCTTTCTGGAATATAAAAAGTGTATATGAACCATTCAGATAAAAAAACTAAACATTTACACCCAAAGCAGAGTTGTCTCAAAGAGTTTTCTGAGAATGGTTATTGAAGTGCTAAATCCATATTAAAAGGTCTAATCAATAAGGCCAGCCCGTACAGCCGCCGGGGCACTTGCCTTTCCTGCAGTCAACTCAGGTTTGATCCCCAAAATGATCCCTTGAGCCCTGCCAGGCATGATCAGAGAGCGCTGAGCCAGAAATAAGCTCCAAGCATCACCAGGTGTGGCCCCCAGCCCCAAAACACAAAACCAGTGACAATGATGGGTCTCATTCTCCTGACCCTGAAAGAGCCTCGAATGTGGCACTTTCTAAAATCTCAGGGCTAGGATGAAGGAGACGTTACTGGGGCCTGCTCGAGGAAATCGATGAACAACAGGATGACAGTGAGTGATACAATAAGGCCGGAGCAGTAGTACAGTGGGTAGGGAGTTTACTTTGCATGTGGCCCACCCTAGTTCAATCCCCAGCATCCCGTATGGTCCCCCGAGCACTGCCAGGAGTAATTCCTGAGAGCAGAGCCAGGAGTAGTCCCTGAGCATTGCTGGGTGTGACCCAAAAAGGAGGCGGGGGGGGAAGGAGAAGATTAGTCAATTTTTTATGAACTGTAAAGATGAAGTACATCAATTCATTTTTTTTTTTTTGTTATTATTCTGAGTGGGCTGGAGCCGGTAGGGCGTTTGCCTTGCACGCGGCCGACCCAGGTTCGATTCCTCCGGCCCTCTCGGAGACCACAGCAAGCTACTGAGAGTATCTCGCCCGCACAGCAAAGCCTGGCAAACTCCTCGTGACGTATTCGATATGCCAAACAGTAACAACAAGTCTCACAATGGAGATGTTACTCGGCCCGCTCAAGCAAATTGATGAATGGGAGGACAGTGCTACAGTGCTATTCTGAGTGCTGCAAATATATAAAACAAACAAAAAGCAATATGTGAGACTTCACTTTCTACTTTGAAAGCAAGAAATTGGGTTCATTTATTTTGTCTACTTTCAGAATGTTTGCTCGAGCTCGAGCGGGCCCAGTAACATCTCTATTGGCGACTTTGTTGTTACTGTGTTTGGCATATCGAATACTCTCGGTAGCTTGCCGGGCTCTTCAGATCATATAAATCTTTCAGAATGTTTAGTCCACACTAAAGACATAGGGTTTGGTGAAATTCTTATAATAAAACTCTGTAACATGAATATTTTAAATTCAGTCCACACAGTCCCAAGAAGAATTTAAGCTGGAGGACCTAAAGAAGCTAGAGCCAAGTAAGTCAGAGTTTATGTTTTTCAGTGAAACGTCTGTCAGAAAAGTCTTATATAAAAAAAAGTCATATAGAAACAAAGATTGTTTAGCATAGATACTAGCTTCATTTTTATCAGCTGGGCCTACTTATGTGATTTTATTTTTAATTCCTATAACTTTTATAGGAATTATTTAATTTACCATTATAGAATAGAAAAATGATTTGATTCTAGGTTATGGCTGCCTAGCAATTTTTGAATTCACCTTCATTTTGCTTTAATACTTTAATTGGATCATAATTATTCTTGTAAGCATTTACAGTAGAATCTACCTGAGACTATCAAGTGAATAATCATTGATGCCCTTTAGGCTGTGTGTCATCAGAAGTTGTCGTCCAAATGCTTGAGCTGCTGCAAAATATTTCTTTGTTCCTATTTTTCTTTCCTTGAAAGCTTTTTTGAAGTAAATAATTCTTGCAAATGTTTTGAGGTTAGAATGCTGCCAAGTAATGCTTTGCTCCCTGGTTTGAATGAATACTCCCTTAGAGACTGACATGTTAGCAATATAGGCAGAGGCACAAGTGTCAGCTGTCCCCCCCAGTCAATCCTTGGACACTTATCAGCCCCAGAAGAAACCCTCCGCTGATAATCATATGATATACATGGTCTTTTGCAATTGACTGTATATTAGTTTATCTTAAAGAGAAGTACATTGATGGCTTAAAGAAGATTATAACTGTAGTTAGGATGTTCCCATTAGATAATGGTTCTAAATACAATTATAATGTCCACTTTTTAAATGATAGAATAATTAAGGGTTTGGAGTCTTCTGTAGACACTCTTTTCCTTTACCGCTTCCCCACTAATTGTTTACAGTTAAAATTTAAGAATTGCACATGCCATAGACTGTGAAGATTGTCAACTACTCATTTTACATGTGGGCTACAACTACTCATTTTACATTTTATATGTGGGCTATAAAGATCATAGGACACTTACCTTGATGATATATTGGCTATCCCTGCCTGTAAACACACTTTAATTTTTATTTATTTTTATTTTGGGGGTTTAGGGGCCACATTCAGCATGCTCAGGAATTACTCCTGTCTTTGCACTCAGGAATGATTCCTGGAAGTGCTTGGAGGACTGGATAGGATGTTGGGAACCGAACCTGGGCCAGCCACATGCAAGGCAAGCGCTCTACCCACGTTCTATTTCTTCAGCCCTTTAATTATTTTTCTCGTTGCCTTGTGGAATACTTCATTGATAGCAATGATTGCCTTTTCTAAAATAGCTCTATGCTGAATATTCAGATAAATCCTCTCGACCGCATTTTATTAACTGACCCTTGTATGTTACCTTATAGCTATAGATGCAGAACTGCATGTTGACCAGGCCTCCAAGTGACCCCCAGCACACTTGATCTTAGGAGCTAAAAGGTGGCAATCAGCATCAATTTTAAGTGCCATCGACCTTTAGTTTCAGGGCCTGGGACAATCCCCACTTCTTACAGTGGAAGCCTGGATAAATATTTATATTTTTAATTTTCTGGTTTTTTAAAGGTTTGTGGTGAAAATGGTAAAAATTATGTTATGCTTTTATAAAATTGTTATTATAACACCGCCATTTATAAAGTTGCTCATGATACAGTTGTTTTGGGTATGCAACTTTCCTACACCAGTCCCACCACCAGCGTGACTTCCCTGCCACCAATTTCCCAACTTTCCCTTCACCCCCAAGCCTGCCCGCTTAGCAGGCGCAAACTTATATTGTATTGCTTGTTCCAATAAAATGGCCAAGGAATCATCAGAAAACAGATCAACAAAAGTCAGTTTGTGGTAGTTATTATATCTCACAGTGGTGTCATTAAAGTCATTTTCTGAGGATTTTCTGAGCTGGTTGGCGCTTGCTGAGCTTCCATGTTACCATTTTAGCTCCTTGAGTGTGCTGGGATTCCACACAACAATCAGATTGCCTTGCTCTTACTGGGTGGTGTGCACTGTGAAGTTTGGAGGAAGTGCTAAGTGCCCCAGCGCTGTAGGCACCGTGGAGCTGGGCCGTTTACAGGGTGGAGAAGGTCGGGCCTGGCGGTTGTTGGGCCAGTATTGAAGGGAAGCCTGACCGCCTCCATTCCAAGAAGGACACAGAGTTTTTGCCTGGACATGGATCGACCTGAGAGGCTTTGGCGGTTTGGTGGCTTGTTGCATAATTTTTTGTATTTGGACTTCTCCCTTCTTGGACTTGCCCATTAAACTCTAAGACCATATATGTGCACATCTCACAGCATGTATTTTTACCAGTTATTTCATCAGAAATAACATTTTCTAGAAATTGATATTTGACTATTCCAGTGAACTGGCCCTGTCTCCCAGTCAGGGCATTCAGCACCAGAGCATCCCCTTGGGGGTCTGTCCCCCAGTCTGCATTCAGCACGGGGGTGTCCCCCTAGACTGCATGTGGCACAGCCCTCAGCAAAGACTCCAGTAAGAAGCATTTGGAGAAAAGTGGACACTGGAGCCTGGAATAATAATGAAAGATTAACGAGTAAAAACTTACTAATGTAATTCTGTAGATATCAGCTAATATCTGTTTGCGGGCATACCTGGGATGCTCTGGGTCTTTTGCCTGTTCAGTACGCGGCACCAGGTGATACTAGGGATTGGAAAGCATGCGCTTGGTCCATTTGGGCTCTTTCTTTGATCCAGTGATCATGTTTAGTCAGGCTGCACTAAGCCTCTTTTAAGGCTGTAGGAAAGGAGAGACCAGTTGGCCAATATTATTCTCACTTTCATATCTGTCTCTTAGCCTTTGTGTTTCCCCCAACAGAACCTGTCAGTGTTTCCATACAGCATGACATTGGCAAAAATCTTAAGTTAAATAGACTTGAGCATCTTTGAGTGATTTCTCTTAATTTAAAAAAATAACCTTTTTGAATGGGAAGCACGTGTTCGTTTTCCCAGCCCCTCATATGAAACAAATCAGGCAGAAAAGCAGAATGCAGTCTGCTCTGTGTGTGTGTGTGTGTGTGTGTGTGTGTGTGTGTGTGTGTGATTTTGTGAGTCTGTATCTGTGAGTGTGTGTAGTGTATCTGTGAGTGTGTGTCTTGGATTGTGCATGCGTGTGTGTGTGTGTGTGTGTGTGTGTGTGTGTAGGCCTCAGAGGGTAGAGAACACGGGGGTGCTGCCATCTGACTAGTGGAGAGCATGAGAGCACCCTCAGATGTCTCCCCAGCAGCAGGAACTAACTGATCCCAACCCATAAGGGACTTCGTCCTCATCATGTCCAGGAAATTGACCTTGATTTCCTTCTCCAAATTCTCCTGCGGTCTCCTAGTTTGAATGAGAGGAAAATCCAGGGTAATGTTTAAGTGAAGCCTTACTCTACAAGGGCATCAGAATCTCCATCTCCATAGTTCCTGAGATGGAAACCTAGCCTGTAATTACAGAAAATAAAAAGAGCTGTTCTTATTTCTTGAAAATTACTCATATGAGTTTAAAAACCAGATATACGCTATCCTTTGAAGTACAGTACCAAAATGGATATTTTCTTTTCAAGGTATCAATAGCTAAGAAAATTATATGATGTTAAATTTTCTATTAAAATACAAATATGCGGTACTACTAATAGCACAGTTTTCTTTTCCATTTATAGTTTTATATGTATACAAATGGCTGATTTTTTTTCCCCTTTAATTGCTGTTGAAATATCATTGGACCAAAGAAATAACTCATTGGGCTGAGTGTATGCTTTTCCTTCCCTAGTTTCACCTGGTGCCTCCAATCAACCCTGGGTATGACCCCCAAACAGATACTAATTGATATGTGCATCATTACATTAGTAATTTTTTATCCGAGCTATAGCACAGCGGTCGGGCATTTGCCTTGCACGCAGCCAGCTTGACTGACCCGAGTTCGATTCCTCCATCCCTCTCGGAGAGCCCTGCACGCTACTGAGAGTATCTCGCCAGCACGGCAAAGCCTGGCAAGCTACCCGTGACGTATTCGTAACAACAAGTCTCACAATGGAAACGTTACTGGGCCTGCTCCAGCAAATAGATGAACAACTGGAGGACAGTGTTACAGTGTTACTCTTTACTTTTTGCAGGCTCCAGTTTCCACTCTTCTCCAAATGCTTTTTTCTAGGATGATGTGCAGAGAGGCCTGGCTCTGGAGAGGGTGTTCTCGAGTTGTTTGAAATAGTGTTGCAGGGGCTCAAGTGTTGAAGCTCATGCTGAGCTGTGCCAGGCCTGAGCTCTCTCCACAGCACTCCTAGGCCCTGGCATCACCAGTGTTGTCCTGTGGCTCCCTTTGTTGGGTTGAGTACCTCGCCTCAGGCCCTTGCCAATAGCCACACATCACCAGGAGAGCCCCAGGCACCCCTGACAAAGCACTGCTGGGGATTGCCCCATTACAACAGGATTTCTTAATGAGGTCTGAAGTAGGATCTAATTATCTGGACACCTCAGAAAACTCTGGGCGGAATTACTGCATAATGAGGTAGCCTTCTATAGTTCTAGTGTTTTTTAATTATCCCGTGTAGTTTCATATGCATTATTTAATTGAATTGCCTCAACTGTTGAGAGAATTAGATCTGTATTTTAGAATTGTAAAAACTCAGACTCAGTCATGTAAATCTCAAGTCACTGGCAATTGTGGGACCAGATTCAGCTTTCCAATCTTGGAGATTTATCAGCAGCCACTTCCCTGTGGCTTATCAGGCTGAGCCACAGGGTTCTTCCAGTTCTTAAACAAGCCAGACTAGTTCTGTTTCAGAGCCTCTATAGTTGCTCTGTCCTGTTCTCTGGGTACTTGGAAAATGCCTGCTCCTTATCTACACAGAAGGTCCCACTAGCCTGAGTCAGGTGTCTTCTAACAACTTCCTTTTGGAGGTCTACAGTGCCTACTGTACTGAAACTCTCCCTCTGTGCCACTTACACAACTCAGCCTATGTGTGTGCTCCAGACCATGAATCCCCGTGCTACTGTTTCGAGATCTGCTTTTCCTAAGTAGGGCCTGAGATTGGTGCCTACAGTGCCTGGAGCATTGCATACTTGTTGAGATAGAAGAGGAGGGATGAGGGAAGGAACTGGAGGGAGTGAGGGGTGGGCGAGAGACAGAACCAGAGTCTTAGAGTCTTTCTCATGGAGGGACTTGGTATTGAAGCAGGACGTCTGCAACCAAATGGACTCCTGTTTTGCACTCAGATAATTGCAGCCTCTACACTTGGGATTGCCTCCTTTGGGATGGCGGCACGCACTTTGCTGCAGCTTGCATTGTGGGACCTGGAATTGGAGGAGCTGAGGAAGCGGAGGACAGAATCGTAGGCGGCTCTGGCATTGCCTGGGCAGTGCCATTCCTTCACCTTAGTGATTGCCGAGTCACTGGGATCCTCCAAGGCCAGAGAGGCTCTTACAGTGCCTCTCCAGCTGTAGCCAGGATAGGCTGATTGTGGAGTGCAGGAGCTCTGGTTTGAAGGCTTTTCTCAAGGATAAATGTTTCTTTTTGTATTTATGTTTGTATATAACAAAGGGTCAGAAGGGGCCAGGAGGTAGCTCCAACGGGAGAGTGCTGCCTCAGAGAGTGCTGCCTCGTGCTCGCGTGTGAGACTTGAGTTGGATCCCCAAGGACTGCCAGGTGTGGCCTGAGAGCCCCAGGGTGCTATCAGGAGAATCATTGAAGTGGGCTTCTGAGCAAAGTATCTGACAGCTGTAGCCTTCCTACTACAGTCTTAGCTTGATGGAGTTGAAGGGAAGTCTGTTCCAGACATCTGTTCATGCACCTCTAATCGATCATCTTCAGTGCTGAGCTTTCCACCGGCATTACTGTCTTTCTCATGTACCCCTTGTTTTCTTATATATAGAAAAGCTGTTTTAGAGTTTGCTACCCTTGAAAGTTTGAGTCAAACTAACCTTTTCAAGGATCTGACCATATTCCGAAATTACTTCTACCTGGGGCGTATTGTGGGTATTTTCATTTTCTTAAGATCTTCAGTGGGTAAATACATGTGGCTCTGGATTTTCTTTTTCTTTTTTTTTTTTTTTAAGTATCCAAATGCTGAGTGAGGGGCTGGAGAGATAATACAGTGGCTAGGACACTTGCCTTGCATGTGGCTGACTCAGTTTCACCCCTGCTAGTCCATAGAGTCCCCCAAGCCCTGCTAGGAGTGATCCCTGGGTACAGAGCCAGGAGTGGATCTGGCAAGTGTGGCCCCAAAATAGATAAAGCGCCTAGTAAAACTGATTCAGGGTGAAAACGTGCATGGTAAAGTTGGGGCATTTGAAGGACTCACGTTTCTTTCTCTTTTTATTCCAGTCCTAAAGAATATTCTTACATATAATAAGGAATTCCCATTTGATGTTCAGCCTGTCCCCTTAAGGTAAAATAAACCAGCACTAATTTGTCTTCGTTTATCATCTTACACCGGTGCTTCAGACGTTGCTGCATTTGTGTGATCAGCATTAGATTGTAGCCGTTGTGCTCAGCCGTGTCACTGACACCGGTGCAGCCCACGTTCATGCTCAGTGTGACATGGGGAAGGAACAGCTCTGAGACCTCCCTTTGTATTAGCTTGTGCTGCTCACTCTTCTGTCCTTTTCCCATAGAAGAATTTTAGCTCCTGGTGAAGAAGAGAATTTGGAATTTGAAGAAGATGAAGAGGAGGGTGGCGCAGGCGCAGGCTCTCCGGATTCCTTTCCCGCGCGAGTGCCCGGTGGGTGTCGGTCAGACAGCAAGGCGGGTGGCAGTGCAGTCCTGAACACGAACCCTGTGGGCATGAGTCTCGAGGTCGGGTCCCCAAAGCCAATCTAGAGAAATCACTAATGTTCTGTTTCACCGAGGCCAGAGTACTTGGAACTTCCTTTGGTTTTTGCTAGCGGGAAATAAAACCTCTCCAGAGCACATGCTCATCTTTTTCTGTTTTTTTTTTTTCTTGTTTGGGGGCCACGCCCGGTGATGCTCGGGACTTAGTCCTGGCTCTGCACTCAGGAATCATTCCTGGTGGACATCAGAGACTGCACGGGAAGCCCAGGATCAAACCTAGGTTGGCCGCGTTCAAGGCAAGCTCCCTAGCCGTTGTGCTGTTCCAATCCTAAACAGATTTTTAAGGCTGTTTGACAAGTGTCTTTTGTGTGTTTGGTTCCCCCCAAGACCAACTGCAGGCACAATGCCTGCCTCAGAGTCACCTGACTGCATACAGCCACCTCCAGCAGAGGAGAGAATGGCCTGGGCACAATCTAAGGGAAGCCAGGTGCAAGCTTCCTAGCTAGTGTTTCATTCCTCCAGGAGCCACGTGTGGCAGTGCTTGTGGAATATTATTTTCTGGGAGGCTCCATAGCCGTGAAGGGACGCGGTTGCTCTGAAAGTCTAAAAACACGCTCCTGAAAATAGTAGAGTAGTCCTACAACTCAGGAAAAATTCGTACTCTGGTTCCAAAAACTGCCAAGGTGGGGCTCGAGCAATAATGCAGCAGGGAGAGCATCTGCTTTGCACATGGCTGACCCAGGTTCTATCCCCAGCCCCACATACGGTCCTCCAAGAACAGCCAGGAGTGATCCCTGAGCACATCAAAATCAAATCAAAAACAAAAACAATACCCAAAAATTACTGCGGTTACCGAACAGGCACATATGGACAGAAAATCCAGACACGCACTGTGGGAAGGTTCTTGGTCACATTAGGTTTTGGCGACATGTACATTAAAATGGCACCAACTTTCCTTCATACCCATGTGACTGCAAAAAAGAATCCTGTAGTCCTAAGTGCTGTGAAGGATACGGAGCAGTGGGAATTGCAACCAGAAGTAGAAAGTACCAATCCACTTTGGAAGTTTGCTCTTACATAGTCACCCTGGTTTCATTGTTCACGTAACTTGGAAATTCGTCTCCGGGAACGGGGGCGAGAGCTCTACAGTCTGAGCGCATACTATGCCTGCAGGAGGCTCTTGTTGAATCTCTGGTATCAGATGCACCCCTGAGTGCAGCCTCTGAGCCCAGAGCTGGGAGTGGGTCCCTACGGACACTCCAGATTTGGCCCCCAAATCAGTAAATTCCTCTGTGTCGAGAATTTTATACATCCAGAAATGTATGCCTGTGTCTTATCAAAATATGTGTACCGGGAACATGTTTAGTAGAAATACTAACAATATCACAAAACGTATTAATGATATCCAGAGAAGCACTCAAATGGCCATCAGCAGAAGAAATAGGTATATTAACTGTGGCTCGTTTCTAGAGTATAATGCTCGCATTGTAAAATTGAACAAGCAGCAGGGGCTGCAGACAGCCCAGTCAGGGCCTGAGCACTGTTTACATGCAGGTTGATCCTGGCACCACACAAACCCCAGAACACCTCTGGGAGAGACCTGCGAGTGCTATTTGGGTATGGCCCCCAAACAAACAAAAAAAAAAACAAAATTATACATTACAGTCCTTGATAATAGCTTGAACACAGTTTGGCAGCAGGCAAAATTTTTTTATGCCTGGGTGCATCGTAGCCATTCTCTAGAAGCCAGGATTGTGCGGTGGGATCAGGGATACCAGGTGGGGAGAGAGGGGCGGTGTTTGAATTTTTTGACCCAAGAAGTGGTTTGTGTGTTTGCTTTCAGGTTTTTCTGTTAACTATGTGTTTATTTGCTCTTTTTGCTATATATGTTAAAGAGTTCACAGATAGCCAGATAGTGGATAGGGTAAAAGACCTTTTATCTTCAATATAAAAGAAAAATGAGGAGCTGGAGCAACAGTACAGTAGGTAGGGTATTGTGCCTTGCATACAGCCAGCCTAGATTCGATCCCTGACCCCACCAGGAGTGATCCCTTAGCACTTACAGGTGTGATCCCAAAACAACCGAAATAAAACCTTGAAGAATGTAAACTGCTGCATTTTATAAATAAAGGCCCTGTAGTTTGTGGTGCTATCTGTATGTTACTGGAGTAAATCTAAATTTTGGTTGCATGAATATTTGAGGCAAAAACTTGCTCCATAAATATTTGCAGTAATAGTAAATAAACTATCAACAATTGATTTCTCCTTTTTTTTTTTCCTTTATTCACCAAGAAATGTTGTTGTATAGTTCTGGATGGATTTTCAGTTTTAAAAAATGTGACCTATGGCATAGAAATCAAGCATACAGTTGCTGTGGTGTGTGTTACTCAGTGTGACTAATTCTGAGGGAATATGCAAAGTAGAATGAAGAAAGAAAAGGCTATGAGACTGAAGGTATTAAATACATGAACATAAAAATGTAAAGTTTTCCTCTTTCCTTAGTAACTAGAGGTGGATTCTAGCATTTAATTTCTCAGACTTTAAGATGATATATTAGATGTCATTCGACATTGAGATATGCATTAGGTAAGTGCATATGAAGACTACATGCGTGCATGTAGGATGTATATTTTAGTGAAGTAGTCATTGGGCTTCAAGAAGCAAGTTGAATTTTGAGCAAACTTGCTTTCATGTTGAATATGAGGTATGAAAGTGCAAGTGTGATGTGTCCTATTGTGCACAAAAAACATGATGTCAAATATTTGGTGGTTTGGATGTCCAAATTGTGCCTGCCTGGAGACCGAGTTAGGAACATCGCTTCGCTTCTCAATGACCTCAAGATATTCACTGGAAAATCAATAGTGACTCTCATCTTTTTTGCTGTTTCTCTGTTGCCAGGTACTTTATTGCCGCGGTTGCCCTCAGAACCTGGAATGACGTTACTCACAATCCGAATCGAGAAGATCGGCCTAAAGGATGCCGGCCAGTGCATCGATCCATATATCACCGTCAGCGTGAAGGGTAAAGGCCGTCCCTCTTCCCTGCTGAACTCCCTGATTGTTGCTTCTCATTTGGGAACATCTCTTTTTTGGTTGGGGGGTGGGGGAGCATTCTAAGAAGTAATTGGGAGGCCCAGGGCCACACAACGATCTCTGCACCCCTAATCTCGGCTCCCAGGCTGCAGCTGGTGACGGTTGGGGACCGTGAGATGCCAGAAACTGAACCTGGGCTGGGCAGTGACTACTAAGCCCTTGTCTTGACCACCACCATCCTGTCTCCTGCTGCCTGCAGGGACATTGGGAAGAAAGAGGCTGGCTCTTCTGAGATTGACTGAAAGCATTTCTTTGCAGATGTCTTTTTGTTCTTAAAATTCTGTCACTGGTGCTGACTGGGCATACACACTGTCTTTAAAAGAAAACAAATCCTTCAGGACACAGGCACCAGAAGTCAGAGCACATGGGCCGCATGCAGGTGGTTCTGGGGGTGTTCCTCAGACCCATGTGGCTCCCTGGCATCATGGCCTAGAGAGGCCTGGCCCCAGGTCCCACTACGGGGTCAGGAGCTGACCCCTCAAAACAAATAGGAATCTCCTCCACTGGGACCAGAGCACTAGGACAGCAGGGAGGGCGCCTCCCTTGCATGCAGCCAACTTGGGTTCAATCTCCGGTATCCCAGATGATCCCCTAAGCACCACCAGGAGTGATCCCTGAGCACAGAACCATGAGTAACCTCTGAGCATTTCCAGGTGTGGCCCCACAGCCAATAAGAGTAATTAAATATTCCCCAGCTTCAATGGTATTTGGTTTTCTCAGCAAAGCCCAGTGGTGTCCAGCCCACACCCCAACTCCCCCAGAACAGGAGGCCTCTCGTTCCTTCTCCTTAGGAAAAGCCTGCAGAGGGGGAGAGGCAGGACACTACCAGAGTCCATCTGAGCTGAACGTCGCACCCCTGCCCTTAACTTTGCCTCCCTGTTGGTCAGCGCGATTATTCTGAGGTGTGAATTTTCCTTCCCACCGATGTGGCAAACTGTTGAAAGCAATTTTTCGGCCTTTTTAAGAGGTCACAGTGACTGAATTCTTTTATTGTATGAAAGGCCAAATAACACTTGATGTGTAGGTTACTCAGCAGTCTTTTAAAAATAATTACTGGGTAATTGGGGATTAAGTTTGTACTATTCAGGAATAATCCAATCTACAATTAATCAGCAGTTTTAGGCAATTTAAAGAAACACATGAACTGAAATTGGAGGAAATTTTTAAGAGTAATTAAAATAAATATAACCAACAGCTCCACCCCGCCTGCCTGGGTTCATTGTCAAATAAGAATACCAAATAAAAGAAATTAGAATTTAGCCCCAGAGAAGAATTTTAGAGATAGCATGAGCCACAACATTCTCTTGTGAGTCTTTAACTTTTGGTGTCAGGATAATCAAAATCAGTCTACTGGGCAGTACTTAATCTCATTTCTCATTTTTGTTTAGTGGCACTGTAGCACTATCCTCCCGTTGTTCATCGATTTGCTCAAGCAGGCACCAGTAACATCTCCATTGTGAGACTTGTTGTTATCCATTGTGAGACTTGTTGTTTAGTTGATCATTCAAAAATACACATTATATAACAAGTATGTATTAATTTATGGTAGTACTATTTCCCCTTTGCAACACATTGAACCTCACACATGTGTTTGCTTGTTAGGAGCCGACAGAAATAAAGATCTCAGTCATCTTAAATTCCCCTAAGATGGTTCTGAGGCGTACGCGCGAACTCTGAGTCACCACTAAATGACTGTTGACTTTGATTAAACTGGAAGATTCCTGGCTCAACGAAATCAGAGCCATGCACCAAAAATCTGGTGTTTTGAGTTGGGTCGTGTTATGGCAGCTGTAACCAGAACTTGGGTCTGGTACAGAGACCGTGATTTATGCAACAGTTTTGTTGGCAAAGGTGGTGTTGGGTCCTGTCTAAATATAACAAGGACTATCCATTGCTTTTCCAAGTCATGGGCTTGTTCCCTCTGGGAAAGAGGGCGTGTGGTGGCCACTTTGTCGTGTATTATTCTCACCCCAGATTTTTCTTCCATACAAAAGCATAGTCTTTCCCTCCAGGCACTCCGGAAGTCCCTCTCACTTCTTAGTAGTTCCTTATACTCCATCACGCACCTCTTTTTCCTCTTAGACTGCCCCTCTGCCCTCCGCACCCGACACCCCCCAGAAACCGGGAGCTCCTCAAATACCTGCCCACACAGATGCCAGCATCTCCTCTTCACCTGAGCCCTCTGCAGATTGTTGGCGGGTTCTGAGTCTCCGTGTATGATCACATCTAAGCAGAAATGTCTTCTCTTCCATAGATCTCAATGGTATAGATTTAACCCCTGTGCAAGATACGCCCGTGGCTTCGAGGAAAGAAGATACGTATGTGCATTTTAATGTGGACATTGAACTCCAGAAGCATGTGGAAAAGCTAACCAAAGGTTTGTCCCTGTGAATAGCTGCAGCTCCCACAAGCCTGTGGGCAGAAGTACATGCCACCTGGTGTTTTGGTTTCAGTGAACTAGAGTTTTGTGTTTCATTGTTGGAGTTAGGATTCTCAGTATGTAGCTGTACTCTAAGGAAGGCAATATAGTGTTCTTAATCTGGAATGGTTCTGCCTTTAACAGGAAACATGGTGACAGTTTTGCTCATATTTGAGAGTAGGGGAAGGTGGGAGCTCCTGGATCCTGATGCTCACATCTCTGCCATTTAAAAGATTTGGAAATATCCAGATGTTTCTGGGGTTTCTGCTGATGTCATTGGGCGAGATACCGCTTGCAGTTAGTTGGCTGGAGGAGCAGGACAAAGACGGTTTTTGAAAGGAAGAAATCACATTTCCACATTGAGCCAGTACTGGGTTACGTTCTCTCCAGGCCCGGCCTTTGCCCGCTGGGAGTGTCTGTGTGCCGAGGTCCTTTCTCCCAAGGCAGGAGGTTTACAAGCTTGTGTGAGATAAGTAACTAGGACCGGGATAGGGAAATAACCCATGTAGTTTGCATGTGCCTGACCCGCATAAAGCCCTGAATTGGATTCCTGGCACCCTGGGCCTGTCCACACAACCACCAACACCACATGTGGCCTCTGTTTTTTTTCTTTTTTTTTAAAGAAATAAAGTAGAAGGCATATTGATATGCCAAACACAGTAACAACAAAGTCTCCAATGGAGACGTTACTGGGCCCCCTCGAGCAAATCGACGATCAACGGGAGGGCCTTTACCTTACCTTACCTTAAAGTAGAAGGACTGGAGAGATAGTACAGCAGGTGGGTGTTTGCCTTCCACACAGCTGACCTGGGTTTGATCTCCAGCACTCTATATGGAGTCCCCACCCCAACACTGCCAGGAGTGAATCCTGAGTACAGAGCCAGGGGTAACCCTGAGCATCATGAACTGTGATGCCAAAACAAAGGATGCAATTATACCTTGTGAAGAGTAGAAATAGTGTCCGGGCCACTGCAGGATGGTGCGAATGTCTGCATAAACCATGACGTGCACTTGTTCAGCTTTGAAATATGGGCCCAGTGTGGACTGGGGGGTGAGATGGAGGAAGAACCCAGACCTGATTTTCCTCCTTCATCCTGCTACATTCGAGACTCCCCCTAAAGCAAGACCTATCTTCCAGGTCCATGATTCAGTGCTCACTCACTTTTCACTCATTCTTTGTCATGGTCACTGTCAAAGGTGTCTGTGCTGATGAACGCGGGCCTTCGTCTTGCACACATTTGGGTGAATCCTGGACTCCACTGGTCGCTCACCTGTGTTCTTACATGGGCCAGGGAGACTTGGGACACCAGAAACGGGAATTTCTCATGAGAGGTACAAATAATGTTCTGAGTTCCTCCAAAGACTGTTCTCAATTTGGATTTGATTGTTGTTTCCAAATGTGCCTATTTTCACGTGGATTCTATGAGATGGATCCCCTAGCTGAAAAGACTAAGTCTGATTTTTATCTTGAAGTTGAGTGAGTTTTTTCAATAGTCAAATCATTCTGTTGTGGGATAGGAACTCATGGGCCTTAACAGTTCTGAGAAAAGGAAAATGAGAGCATTTGAAAGCCCAGCCAGCACCAGGTTTATGCTCTTTGGTCTCTAGTACACCCCCCTGGAGTTTGACTCTGTGAGGTTTCAGTTCAGGCGTAGGGGAAAATGAGTTGATGAAACCTTTAACCCTGCCTGACCGCTCAGGCCTGACTCCTGGCTCTGTTCTCAATGACTCCATATGGGGTGCTGGGGTCAATCCTGGTCGGTCACTTACAGATCAAGTTCCTTACCCCCGGTTCTCTCTCCCCAGTCCTCAACCTGCTTTTTTCACCTAACACATTTCTGTGGCTAATGTTAATTCTTTTTTTTTTTAATTTTTTTATTAGTGAAGCACCATGAGGTACAGTTGTAGATTTACAAATCTTTGTGCCTGAGTTTCGGTCATACAATGATCAAATACCCATCCCTCCTCCAGTGCCCATTTCCCCCCACCCCCCCTCCCACCCTGCCTCTGTGGCAGGGCATTCCCCCTTGTTCTCTCTCTCCTTTTGGGTGTCGTGATCTGCAAAAGAGGCATTGAGTGGCAATCATGCTCAGTCCATAGTCTACTTTCAACATGCATTTCCCCTCCTGGGAAGATCCTCCAAACCCCTTTCATTTGGTGTTCCCTTCTCTATCTGAACTGCCCTTTCCCCTAGAATATCCGGCTGGCCTCTAAGTTATGGAGTAATCCTCCTGGTGTTGATCTCAGCTATTCTTAGATATTGATCTCATATTTTGTTGCTTTATATCCCCCAGATGAATGCAATTTTTCTATGTCTATCCCTCTCTTTCTGACTCATTTCGCTTAGCATGATACTTTCCATATTGTACCACTTAATCACTGTCTTCCTTCAGTGGCATTTCATATTTTACATTCTTCAGCACTGTAGCACTGTTGTCCCGTTGTTCATCTATTTGCTCAAGTGGGCAGCAGTAATGTCTCCATTGTGAGCCTTGTTGTTACTGTTTTTGGCATATCGAAGACGTCACAGGGAGCTTGCCAGGCTCTGTCGTGTGGGCAGGATACTCTCGGTAGCTTGCCAGGCTCTCCGAGAGGGACGGAGGAATCGATCCCAGGTCGGCCACATGCAAGGCAAACACCGTACCCACTGTGCTATAGCTCCAGCCCACATTCTTCAGAATCCAATTAATTCTCAAATGTACGTTCTCCAAGTGTAGTCCAGAAATTTTGCTGTGCCTTATGGCACTGATGGTTAGGGAGACACGTCACTCCATTTAGAGCTGTTTTAGTCCCAGCCTGTCACCTACCACCAGTACGTTCCACATAATAAAAGGACCCGCTTTTCGCTTGGTCTGGCTTGGGGTGATCAGACTTTCTTGTCTCACTAGAAACTTACTCACCGTCCAAGGCTAATGCTGCGTGTTCATTTTCTCACCTCAGGGGCGGCCATCTTCTTTGAATTCAAACACTACAAACCTAAAAAGAGATTTACCAGCACCAAGTGCTTTGCGTTCATGGAGATGGATGAGATTAAACCTGGACCAATTGTAATAGAACTGTAAGTGGCACACACAGAGACTGGGCACTGCAGACTGGCGTTTCTCCTCAGGAGGTGGCCTTGTAGTGGGTCAGCTAACGATGGTTTTCTTGTGATTACAGGTACAAGAAGCCCACTGACTTTAAAAGAAAGAAATTGCAACTGTTGACCAAGAAACCACTTTATCTTCATCTACATCAGACTTTACACAAGGAATGATCCTGATATGACTAGCCTGGAACTTCTGTGAATCGGACTGCTTGGTCAAAACCATCACAACAGCGTACTGGTCCTCCGGCAGGCAGGAAGCGAGTGGTGATGTGCCAGGCCTGCGAGTCCATTGTGATTCCGTACGGCAGAATTCAAATCCCAGCACGTCCTGGCATCTCTGACCCTTTTGGAAACAGGCTGATTGTAGATCGGAAATGTTTTCACTCTTCTATTCATTGTGCAATTGAGTCTCTTGTCCGATTTGCCACTACTCCTGCCTTGCACTTGGAACTGTTGTGGGTGGTTCATGCTCATCTTCAGGCTGACTTCAGGAACAAGAATGTGCTAGAGTTTACACATCTCTTCACTCTGCTCGAATACACTCTTTTGGTTTTCTCAGTTAATGTCCAACTTGGGGTTGAAGTGGGTGGGACCTTTTGAAGCAGCTTGACCAGGAGTTGAACTAATAACGCTGCTTAAGAATGTGGGTGTGGAAATTTGAGGCTTTTCCTCAGAGGTGGCCTTCCCTCCCCTCCCCCACCCCACTCATTTCTCTGTTTAGAATGTGTGCCTTGGCCAGATGCATAGTCCCTATGGACATGTTCCCAGGTGATAGCTGCAATTTTCCCAGATTACGAGACTGATTTTCAGACAGTGAGTATATTTTTAGTCATATCAATTTAGCTGTTCTTCTACTTCACATTCCTTGATTATAACCTTATTTAAGTTAATGATGGCACCATCTCAAAATAATTACAAAGTTTTAGATGGGTTTATAGTGTCTTACTAAATCATGCCATGTAAGAATGATTTGGGTCAGATGCTAACGAGATATCGCAGGGATATTCCGATTTTTCTGACAACTGATTGTGAAACCTTAAACCTGCATACCTCTTCTTGGAGTGACAAGTATGCAAAATCCGAAGATTATGTTTTTTATATAGGTAGTTAGGCTTACCATTTATTTCCTGTTTAAATATACTGGCAGCCATCCATATGGAAACATGCAAGTCATTAGCTTGTTATAATGACATTACTATTTTAATGGGGCATAAATAAAACTTTTATAGTACACACACAATGGGTATTTGATACACAGAATGTGAATGTTTAGGGTGGGCTTTTGGGGGGTTAGGTAGAGAGCCCATGTTACCATTTTAAATGACCAGTGCTAAGCAGGAAAGGAACGATGTCAGTCCTTGGCCTAGTGTTGAGTGTAGTAACCAGCTGTACCATACACTGTTGCTTTTCAAATAAGATAGCACATAAAAGAATCCAAGCCCTTTGCCCTTGAGGTCTCAGCTTTACTCTGTCTGGTAGGTCATTTGTCTCTCTAAACTTTGATCCGCAATGTTTAGCCAAATCTGTCTGGTCATCTTAAATTCCAAAATAATTGTCTAAAATGGCTCACAGGGATGAAGAATTTGCCCTAATTACTTCCTTACTGATTGAACTCTTAACTAAATCTTCAGCCCCAGCCCCTGCAGACTCAAGTTCCTCACGAGGCAAGAACAGTTTTTTCCCCTCACAGGGTGTTTCACATTGCCTGGTAAGAAGAACTCGGTACCTTGCGCAATGTTCGGCACCTCTGATTATCTAAATGTTTCTGAACCTTCCCCTTGTAGCCGATACCACCTGGAAAGTTACCCCTGGGAAAAACATTAAAGTGCATCAAAAATCTGACATTCTTTTCTCACCAACCTAAGACATGTGCAATCCATTGTTCTAGAAATGTCTGCAGTCGCACCCATGTGGTTTCTGTGACAGCCGCTGCTGCTGTCAGCATGAAAGGCGCTGATGCTGACGCAGAATTGACGAGCCTTCAGAACCAGCCATGGAAATGACGGGCTTGAAACAGTACACACACTGCTCCTCTCCTGTTTCAGTTTCACTCTCAAATCAGCTCTTCAACCAAGCTACAGTAGGCATTTTCCAGGATGAAATGCTGCTGCCTCATCACCACCGTATTTCTCAAATAAACCCCAAGTTATTCTGTGGCCGCTTGTGCCACCGACCCACCCCACTGTCCCCTCCAGCTCTCCTGGCCCCCGGAAGGCATCACCACAGCAGAATCAGGACTGCTCAAGCCACTGTCATTGGCATTTCTCTGATAACTGATGTAAGCACACAAACAGCTCCAACGCTATAGAAGACCCCAAGAGCTTTGATTTGAAATTTAGGTTTCATTCACCTTTCCTGTTACATTGTCTTCTCTTAACACTATAAGTCTATTAAAAGATGAATCAAGGAACCAGGGAGATGGCACTGAGCGCAGCAATGCATGCTGTGCGCACATAACTCATAGTTCAGTCCTAGAACCCAGTCCCCTAGTAGCCATAAGTATAGGGTAGCCCTCATAGTTCCCCACCACAGGGACCCAGCACTCACCCTGCAAAAATCAAAATTTCCTTCATGTCATTATTTTGTATCTTGAGGAGGTTGGCATTTTCAAGTTACGCTCTGAGCATCTAAATGTTTCTCAACCTTTCCCTTGTGGCCCCTGTCCTACTCCTGGACCCCCTTCAAGGTCTCTTGCCTTGCTCCCAACTTGGCTTTCACCTGTGGCTTCCTTGGGTTACTCTGATGCCCACAGGGCCCCGTGTGGCTCCCGGTTGAGAAATGAAACCTGCCAAATCATGACGGGACAGATGTGTTGCAGCGCATGTGTGATCCTGGGGCTTAATCCCTAGCCCAACAGTCTTTTAAAATTTTGCCTTGGCAATAACTTACTGAAGATGTACTGTCATCATGGGTCTAATATTGTAGAGGGTGCCACCCCTGGTTCTTAGGTTTACAATCTTTAGATTTAAGAGCCAACGTTCAACAGTTCTGTAACTCTGTTCAGCACCAGAGTCCTAAGCAACGCTGGTGTTTTTTGTCACCCCCGACCACCACCAGGAGTGATTGGGTGTAGCCCAAAACAAACAAAGCTTACTTGTAGCCCTTGGGCATGTCACTAGCATATCCTAGATCTTCCTTTCTCCTAGTAGAGTTTTTTGTTTTCTTTTTCAATCCTTGAAAAGTCCATGGCAAGATCTGGCAGAAATACTCTGGGTTTGGGGGCCACACCCAATGGGCCTCAGGGCTTATCTTGGCTCCATGAACTCAGGTGGGCCACATGCAAGTTTCAGCATGTTACCACTGTGCATCTCTGGTATTACTTTTATGGCTTACACACATTGTTTACATTATTTGTTTAGCACCCTTAAGGTGAGAATGATAAAAAAGCACAGCTGGTGCTACTATAAATGTAATCCAAATCATTCTCAACTAGGCAGTGGTGCCCACAGCACCCGCTGGCTTTGCTGTCGCAGTCAAAGTCAGTCACAGGTAAAGACCACTTAGGTCGAAGAACCTCCTTAGCTCTAAACCACCACCTTGGGTTCTGACAGCTCAAGACACTTGTTTCCAAAATGGAGCAAATCAATCCACAATGAATCAACACACTCTGGAAACAGTAATAACCAAAAGTTTTATCAACTATTACTACAAAGAATTTCAGCGAGAGGCAAAGAGAGCCTTTAGTGGTCTTTAGTAAACATTTTAGCGTAACAGTCTTTGCGACCAAATATTCTTTTTTTTAAAAAAAAAAAGCTTATAAACACCATACTCTGTATTCAGTTGGTGTACACTAAAAAATAGAATGGAAATACATGTTCTTATAGCATTTCCACAGGAAATGTTCATATTTCTCATGACACTCTAAATCATTTAGCAGTTACATATGCTACATTTAACTAAAACACAGGTATTCTTTATTGCACATTTCAGAGTTGTAAGGAGGCTCTAGCTTACAAGATAATTTTTATTAAGAGGAGAAATTGTATTTTTGAATTGTTTGGCTCAAAAATGGACTCTGCCAGAGCAGCTTATTTTGAAAAACCTTTAAAATCACCCTGCAGATTTGTTGGGGTCTGGGGGTTGGGGCTCTACCAGGCAGGCTCGGGGGAATCATAGTTGGCTGCTTTAAGGCGAACGCCCTACCTGCTGTAGCACTCTCTCCAGCCCCACCCCTGTAGATGTTCCAGTCAGTGAAATTTTTTATGGACAAACGCATAGTGCCCAGTCAGCTTTCTTGTGGACTGACCAGCTGTCAAAAGTCACAGTTCTAAGGGCTCTGTTTCAGAGCCTGGGAGGCTACTGGGCTGCCCCTCTGAGATGCAGGGGGAGCTTCATCTCGCAAGCCGGAAGGCATTAAGTTTCTAGCAGCCGATGGCGGTGGGTAATCCTGGGGCCCGTGAGGTGGAGGCGGATAATCCTGGGGCCCGTGAGGTGGAGGCGGATAATCCTGGGGCCCGTGGGGTGGAGGTGGTAATCGGGTACCAGGAATAAAGTACTCTCGGGGGCCCAGAGGGCCTAATGGTCTGAAAGGTGCAGGTCCAGGTATGAATTCTCGAGGGTCATAGGGCCCGTCCCGTTTTCCAGGTGCGATGCATGGAGCATATTCTTTCAGGCCCAGTGGTGGGCGCAGGCCAGGACCTAGGAAAGAGAAAGTCCCATGAATGAACAGGACCGTGACTCGCACCTTTCTGACTGATGTTTCCCCAGGGAGGCCTCAGGAGGCCCTCCAGGTCAGTGAGAGCCCCGGCGGGTCAGGCTCAGCTCATCCTGTGTCCTTCCCAACACAGGCCGGAGCCAGGAGTCCACTCTAACTGCTCTGGCAGATGTGAAATAAACTGACAAGAGGCAGCCCCTCTGTGCACCACCCGCAGCCAAGTCCCAGGGGCTCCATGGGGCATGCCGGGGGCCCAGGGTCCCCCCTCTTCTTCTCAGCGTCCCTCCCATGCAGAGCCGTGTCTTCCCAGAGCTCGGGTGGCAAGTTCTCAGCAGGACAGACCAGACCAGCACACAGTCAAAGGCATCTGAGACACTCAGAAGCCCGATTCTGTTCCTGTGCTCTATCAAGTGGCTCTTAAGAAGCTAGAGCAAAATGAAGCTACTCGGTCAGTGTCCTGCGGCACTATTAAACTTGGCTTTAAAGCAAGTTTCAGCGAGAAATAGAAAAGATGGAAACTCTTCCCCCAGCAATCGTGTCACTATCAGGCGTCATACCGAATGTTGGCATGTTCGGAGGGATCGGCCGAGGTCCAAAAGGTCTTGCGTGCTGAGGCAGCAGTCCGTACCGGACGGGCGGTGGTGGAGGGCCGCCCATGGGGCCCCGCAGGAGAGGCATCCCTGGGAACTGCGGGGGGCCTTTCATAGCCATTGGGACCTGCACAGAAGCAACTGAGGTGCTTGAAATACTTTGTTAGGAGAGAAAAAAGCACCAATACCAGAAAAAGGTAAAACCCAGAGAAGCCTCTATCAGGAGCCTGATTGTAAGCAGAGTCAAGCAAGAAACTCCACTGTCCAGCTGGGTATAGGCAGCTGGCAAGGAAGTGCCAGAGAGTACTGGGCTCTGAATGCAGGTGGCCCCGCTCAACCTGAGACCAGGTGTGTGGCCCCAAAATTGCTTTTTACAAAGTCACGAGAGAGCCTAGTTTCAGCATCCTCATACTAACAGTCTGAGTCATGGCAAGCACAGAGGAGCGCTGTCAGACTACTGTAATACAACCTACGTGAACAGTGACCTGTCCCCACAAACCTCCCATCACAGAGCTATTTCCCAGGGGAAATGCACAAACAGTGACTGCCGTGCACGGGGCATGCTACTTGTCCATTCTTTCACTCTCACGGTGAGGTCAGCTGAGGGGCTGAGCTGTGCACTGTCACCCCCCACGGAAGAGGCTGAGTGAGAATTCTGACCAGATCACCTCTGACAAAGGAATCTCTCCTCCCACTACTTCAAATGGGTCTGGGGTCTCCATGCTGTCCACACGTGAAACCAGTCATTCCCGAAACTGGGTGGTTCTGCCCAGGAAAGTGAGATGGACGGTGGGGAGTCCAGGAAGCTGAGAGCATCCTCCATGCCCTTGTGTGTGTGTGTGTGTGTGATAGGGCTGGCCTAGTGTCCAACTCAAGAATCCTTCACATCTGTCAGACGTGGAGAAACATCCTCCATGCCCTTGTGTGTGTGTAAAGAGGAAAAATTTTCTGGAAAAGAGGATGGCAAGCAAGTAAGTTTGGGGCGCATTGAATAAGATGATCTCTGGAGAGCTGTGCCTGAGTCCAGCGCTAGAACATGGAGGTAAGTCTGGGTTATCTACACTAGGTTGGCAGGTAGTTTACCAGGATCTGTACTTGCTGTCATGAGTCGCACCGACAGAGCATGTCCCTATGGGAAACTGGGACAAACATTCTGATGAGGGCTGATGAGCTCGGAAGCCAACCAACACAAAAGCATACACATGAAGAGTGCTTAAAACAACGGGGAGACTCAGCAACAGCTAACACACATTCTCACTTTCAACTAACGTTCTTCTAATGGCAACCTGCAATTTCTAATTACTCCAAGTAGGGTTGGCCTTGGGCTGGAGTAATAGCACAGCGGGAAGGGCATTTGCCTTGCAAGCATCCAACATGGCCAACCCGAGTTCAATTCCTCCGCCCCTCTCGGAGAGCCTGGCAAGCTACCAAGAGTACCTTGCCCACACAACAAAGCCTGGCAAGCTACCCGTGACATGTTCGATTGTCACAATGGAGACGTTACTGGGCCCACTCAAGCAAATCGATGAACAACGGGAGGACAGTGACCGTGACAGGGCTGGCCTAATGTCCAAGAATCCTTCACATCTGTCAGACATGGAGAAACATGCAATATGGAATGTGCTGACCCCCGCCTTAAGGCACTCAACACTGAGCACACAGTATTAAGTCAGAGTGAAGACTTTCCACATAGTTTTAACTGGTTAATCCAACCCCAACGGCAAGGAAGCAGGAGAAAGCCCACACACCAGAGATTAGCAGCCAGCAGTGCTTCTAGGCACAGACCACAGCTGGCCAGTGCTGCCATGCAAGGGAAAGCCTTCGAGGTGGTTGTCATGCCTTCACGTCCTCAAAAACATACCACGGAAAAGCCTAGGGCAGCTCTCAGCCTCTTAGTACTTACTGCTACTGGGTGCTCAGTCAAAGCTGCACTGCTGGGACCCGAAGAACTACCAGACTCTTGGGGGACAGTTGGCTTTCCAAAAACAAATGAATGAGACAGTGCAGGTACAGTGGAGCACACAAAAAGGAGACAGGTAGGGCAAAGAGGATGTTACCAAAGATCTAAATATTTGGTAAAGTACCTCGCCACAATTTCAAACAGCAGAAAATTTACCTTGCCCTCATCCAACATCCTGCTGGGTGAAGAGCTTCTTGAGCTGTTGTTCATCATGGGGGCGGCACTGGGTCCAGCATCTGTGGAAGGTCAGAGGGCACTTGACACTTCTCACTTGGACATGTCTCAGCGTTGAGAAGCACCCAACATCCTCTACATGCTTCCCTCACCGTCCCGGCTCTCCTCACACCAGGTCTGGGGCCTATGGCACCCAGCATGACGACTCACGGGCTGTGCTTGGACTGTGGGGAAAACCTGAGCCCACTCAGTGATTGTCCCCAGAATAAACTACCCAGAAGTGCACTGGGGTTCAAGTCCACCTAACATTAACATTAGCCCAGTGGCCTCTCAAGATAGTGAGGGGTAAATTATGATTCATGTGCAGGCTCATGGAACTAAAATAAGAAGTGGCACGGCTTGAACGAATGGCAATAAGACTATATAAGGCATTTCAGGCTACAGGCTCAATGCAATAGTATGGGCTGATTTCTTCCAGTCTGTATGTTATGTGACTTTCACATCTCACGTCCTTAGACACTTATGATTAGAAAAAGAGCACTTCATACTGTAACGGTAAGAAATGAATGTAATGTTGCATACGTTATAAAGTTTCAGTTAACTTTTATAACATTAAAGAGAAATGCCAGAAATACAAAGAGGTGTCACAGTACAAAGAAGCCAAATTAGTATTTATATATTTCTTAATCTTAAGAATAAATGCTTCCCATTCAAAAGTAGATTTTTTCAGTAGACTAGGCATCAAGTTTACAAAATAGGAGATTTGGGGCTCAGAAGACAGTGTAGTAGGTAGGGCCCATGCCTAGCACGTGCTCAGCCAGATTCGATTCCACTCCCGCCAGACAGCACTGGGGTCCTGCAGTCACCAGTGACCAAGGAGGAAGGACAACCACTGGGGCCTGTGACTTCCTGAGCGCTGCCTTGGGAGCCGCCCCCAGGAAAGGATAGTTTCTTCTTTAACTGGGATAGACCCCAACTTGTAAAAGTGTTACTGAGTTCTCAAATAAAAGGGACAAAAGAACTAACTCCCAAAAGTTTACTGCAAGGCGCCAAGCAAGTACTCACCAAAGTCACTCCTGGGCGCCTCTCTGCGACTGAGCGAGGTGGCCGAGACAGGCCTGGCAGGCGGCTCTGTCATCAGCGGCATGGGTGGTGGCGAGCATTCTCCACCGCTCACAGGAGAGGGGCCGAAAGAGCCGTTCTGGCTTAAAGGACCTGCGGGCCACACACACAGGGACACGTCAGCCCCCTGAGCACTCTCCTCTTCAGCAACCCCGTGATCTCGCAGGCTGCACACGGACACAGCAGAGGCCCACACCCAGGGACAGCCTGTACCTCTGCGGGGAGGGTTGTGCACGCCGGGTCTCCCAGGCATCGGCTTCACAATCACTGGCTCTTCCTGCAGCATTGCCATCTTCTCGGTGACTTCTAACAGTCTAGAATAAACAATGGGATTAAACATAACACAGAAAATTAACTTCTCATTTGATTCTAGTTACAAAACCCGGAAACATCCTGAAAAACAGGTCTCAAAAGCACATACTTCTGTCTCAAGTTGGCAGACTCTTTCCTCTCTTCTGCCAAGGCTCTTTCTGCAGTCCGAGCTTTGAGCTGTTGGGGAGAAAGCTGGCTACAGATATCCATAATAAAGACCAGCATGTAAGCGTGCACGCGCGCGCACACACACACACACACACACAAAGAAACACACACGCGCTACAGATATCCATATAGACCAGTATGTAAGCATGCACACACACACACACACACACACACACACAGGCTACACATATTCATATAGACCAGTATGTAAGCACGCGCGTGCACGCGCGCACACACACACAGGCTACAGATATCCATATAGACAAGTATGTAAGTGCACGCATGCGCACACACACACGTACAGGCTACAGATACCCATATAGACCCGTATGTAAGTGCACGCATGCGCGCGCACACACACACACACACACACACACACAGGCTACAGATATCCATATAGACCGGACCAGTATGTAAGCACATGCGCACACACACACACACATACACACGCTGACTACAGATATCCATATACACCAGTAAGCGCACGCGCAGACAGACACACACACACACACACTGGCTACAGATATTCATATAGACCAGTATGAAAGCACGAGCATGCACGCACACACAGGCTACAGATATCCATATAGACCGGTATGTAAACGCACGCGCACACAGACACACAGACACACACACCCCCCATCTCCGCCCCCCCACGCCCCCGTGAATATCCAATTCAGGTGTGGTAAGCTATGCCCAAAGGGGAAGCAAAGAACCTTACCCAATTTTCATGTGCTTTCTTCTCATGCGCAGCAATCTGAAAAAAGCACATCAAGAAACGCTCGTGGGGACCCTGGGGTGGGATGCGGCATCTGCCACACGCGAGTGAGGCTGAGCCCCAGCACAGCACCACCTGTCTGCTGTGTAAGACCCATTGACTCACTGGCCTCCAGTTCACAAGGACAGATGAGCCGGCAGTGAGCAACACAACTGAGCCTTGTGGCTGGGGGCGGGGGGGAGGACACGACACGACACCTTCAGTCAGGGTTAGCAAGCGCCCTCCACCACCCTGCGCGGCCACTGGAGCGACGACACTGTGCATCGGAATCCATCAAAGGTTATCCTGGCAAGCGTGCTTGCCCACCTGGCCACAGGCATGTGACCCCCACAGCCCAGCGATGGTAATGGCAGCACAGCTCCCGAGAGAATGCAAGCAGCAGTGAGGGGAAGGAGCCCAAGCAATAAAAGATGGAGTTTTATTCAAAATAAGTCTGGGATGCATTCTAAGAACCCTGTGGGCCACAAGGCAGCAGGGCATTACCTGGTCTTTGTAAGAGTGCTCCGTCTTCTTTAATTCTTCCTCCATTTCTTCGATTCTCCGTCTAAGAATCACATTTGCATTTATCAGTTGGAGCACAACTAACAGAGTAACACCGGGTTACTTTGACAACTGTACACTTACCAGACTTCACTCCTCCAGACAACATGAATTTTATGTCAACATAAAAACACAATCCCAAGGTTAGGGAGACAGCTCCAGGGCTGTACACAGGTCTCCAGCTGGGAGGTCCAGGTCTGATCCCGAGTACCCTGTGGCCTCCCACTGAGCAACACTGGCAGCAACCGCTGAGCACCAAGCCAGGAGCCTCCCCAAATACCACGTCAGTCACTGCCAGTCACTGTCCTCCCGTTATTCATCAATTTGCTCAAGCGGGCCCAGTAACATCTCCATGTGACACTTGTTACTGTGTTTGGCATATCGAATACATCACGGGGAGCTTGCCAGGCTTTGCCGCACGGGCTGAATACTCTCGGTACCTTACCGGGCTCTCCAAGAGGGGCGGAGGAATCGAACCTGGGTTGGCTGACCCGGCTGCTGTACTATCGCTCCAGCCCAAATACCAGGTATGACCCAAAAATAATTTTAAGAATTCAATATAATCAAAAGCAATGTTACATAATTTATGTATCACTTAATGCCCAGAGATACAGAGCTGACTTAATTTCCTATTCTTCAATATGTTCTTCAACAATCTACCATGAATATCTTCCTCCAAGAAGCTTTTTCTTGCTTTAATTATTCTCAAGTAAAAACTTTCCCAGAACAATGAATTCTGGGTGGATCGAATGGCATGATCGTGTGATGACTTTTTATGTATCATGTAACAGACACCTTCCAAAAATGAATCCCACACGCAGACTCACCTTCAGCCATCAGCAAGAACCAAATATTCTCAGAGTTGTGCCAGCATTACGTTTAAGAAAATTTCTGGTTTTTTTTTTCTTTCTTTTGCGAACTTAAAATACTTTCACACTCATGAATTAATTATATTCAATGTCTCTTGACCATTTATGTCTCTGGACCATTTTGTACGACCCAATGTAAAAATGGATCTGAAAAAAGTTCCACTACTTTTATCAGCCACTGATAGTCTCTTTAGAAGATGAACTCACTTGTAAGTTTTCACTTCCTCGGCAGCCAAACCCGCCTTTTCATCTGCTGCTGACAGTCGCTGTTCCCGTTCCTGCCGTTCATGTTCTTCTTGACTCAGCTTTCTAAGATAAAAATCAGTTGTCATACAAAAATCTCTCTTATTCCAGCAGTCTATCTGAATTTTTCTGCTCAAATGTTATTTTCCCATCTTCTCTAAAACATACAGACTAAAGTAATGCCAGAAGAAAAAATCAAACCTGCCACTCTGGGTGAAAAAAATCACTCTCTGGCCCACTGGCAAATCACCTGCAATCTCTAACTTCTCATATACCTCTAATTCAAAACAAATGTGAAGAAATACTGTATCTTCTGGACAAGTGAGTTTGGTGTGGAACCTGAGTAAAATATGAAAAGCTGGGTCTGATCAGCAATCAAGTTTATTAGCATGATGCACGGGATATCACTTTCCACTCCCATGATAATTACTTCCCTTATTTCTATCACAGAAAGACTGTCTTCAATCCAAAACTCGTAAGATGATAAAGATAACCAAAAAGTCTTTTAGAACTGATCTTCTGACACTGAGTCAACCATGGAACACTGCCACTTTTCAGATACGCAACTCATAATTTTTCAGTGGAAGGGTGGTTAAGAGGAAATATCTTAAAATTGACAATGTTCACGGACTAGAGAATCAAACTGTTCTATAAGCTGATAATTACTATCTAGCAGAAACTGGTTGCAACCGTTAAATATGTAAAACCTACCATAATAAATTAGAGTGATACCATTTAACTGTCTTAAAGTGCTATTTTTTTTCTATCCTTGGCCTTTGATTCAAGTTCTGTTTCTAAATATATCTAGCTTGAAACTTAATTTTCTATGAATCAGAAACAAACAGAGGATCTATAGTAGAAGTAAAAAGGTAACTACCAGCAAAGGAAAAAGATTTATATATTCTTTTAAACTGCCCATTCAATATTTCAGCAAGTATTTTATGACTTGCTATCAAATACTGATTTACAGACAAATCATTGTCCCTGCACCAACAATCAGCTGCCCCCACTGAGGGAGATGAGTAAGAGAGAATCTGCTTCCAGAGTGACTGAGCCAGCGGGAGAACCATCAGAAGGCCGTCTACAAGAGGGCACAGGAGAGCCCAAGGCAGGCCTGTGGCCCGGAGCTGAAGGAGTGCGCTTGGGCGGGCAGTGCAGTGGCTGCCAAGACTTACTTTTGTAACATCATCTCTTTCTCCTGGTAGAGCTCATTCAGAATCTCTACTTTCTGTTTCAGAGTTTTACATTCTTCCTCCAGTCCAGACTTGACCGACAGCAGTGAGCTCCGCTCATTTTCCAATGTCTTTATTTGATCTAGCAAGAAGAAAGTACCTCATGAGCTTCACGTACGCACACAAGGCCGCAGAATGAACATGCAGAGCGGATTTTGTTTATTGAGATAGGGAAGAAATGGGAAAACTGGATGCCATGCTCTGTGCCCCTAAGCAATCCCATTCACTTCCAAATTTTCTGCCTAGGAAACAACCCACCTTCCAGATTAGACTTGGTGGACATTGATGCTCGCAGTTTAGACTGCAAAAGTTTCAGGTCCTCTTCTACCACTGCCACTGCAGTCTGGGTCTGCAAGTTGCACAAGAGGGAAGTTTCTTACAATACTGCCCTGAGAACTCAGGAGCACTGATAGTACTCTAGAAAAAAGCCCGTACCCGAGAAACATCCATCATCTGTCTGATCCGATTTTTCAGCTTCTCAGGTGGGTCACCTAAAAAAAAAAGAGAAAGAAAAAAAGAAAGTCTTTCATTGATTGATTTATTCTCTCCCTTTTAAGCTGTTTTTTCCTAACTGCTTATCCTTTAGGGTTTTTTTTTTGGATCACACCGGCAGGCACTGAGGCCTTAGTCCTGGCTCTGCACTGAGAGTTCAGTTCTGCACACAAGGCAAGCACCTCAATCACCTTAATCTCAGTACTCTCTCTCCAGTCCCCCGTCCCCCAGTTTTCTTAACTATATTTTCCTAAAATAAATCATCACAAGCATTCAAAAAGGAAATCAATTTAGCCTATAGAATGGTAAAGATACTTGACTTCAAGACAACTGCATTAGAATCAAATAGTGAGTTTCCGGGCTGGGGAGACAGTACAACAGGCAGAGGCTGGTCTCGTGCACAGCTGACCCAGGTTGGATACCCAGTACCACATAACAGTACCATAAGCCCCTCCTGGAGTTATCCCCAAGTGCAACTGGGCATGGTCTAAAACAAACCAAAAAAGTGAATTCACAGGAGCGACAGAAATAGAGCAGGTGTTAAGATTTATACCTTGCATGCAACGAACGTTAGTTAAATCCCTGAGCATCACCGTCCTTACATAAACTCCCAGGATGTCTGAAAATATTCTGGAAAGACCCCCTCCCAAAAAAGGAAGTGAATTTCAAGCTTGTAAAATATTATCCATGTCATTCTTAAGCATGCAGGAGACGCATGAGCATTATCTTCTTGGACTAGAGTTACAGTATAGCAGGTAGGACATTTGCCTTACATGTGGCCAAACCACATTTGCTTTCCAGCATCCCATATGGTGCCCCAAGCACAAGCACCCCTGGGAGTAATTCCTAAATGCAAAGCCAGAACAAGCCCTCGTCACCACCTGGTGCGGCCTGAAAACAAAACCCAAACGCTCTTTTTCTTCTCTCTCAAGCGCCTGATTTGGGGACACCCACTCCTTTACTCTCCCCAATCTGCTACCAGGGTGCTTTATACAGTCACACTCAGCTCAGAAAACGCAGCATGACACACTGTCCTCACGAGTGAGCACCCTTAATCCACGGCTCTATCCATCTCAGTGCTCTGGATCTGGCTGTTTCCATAAACCAGAGCTAGAGATGAACACTGAAATCAAAACGCTGTGACTGGGGCTGGCGCAATGGTACAGCAGGTAGGGCGTTTGCCTTGCATGCGACCAACCCGGGTTCGATCCCCAGCATCCCACATGGTTCTGAGCACCACCAGGAGTAATTCCTGAGTGCAGAACCAGGAGTAACCCCTGAGCATCACCGGGTGTTACCCAAAAATAAGCAAAAAAAAAAAAAAAGCCGTAACCATGGTGAGAAGTATGTTTCCCCTAACGAACAACTTACACAGCCCCAGCCTCAGTGCGCACACAGAGTCCTCATGGTCCAGAGAAAGTCCATGTGTGCAGCGCGCCTTCTGCTTCACCACAGACAAGCAGCCCCTCTGCCCCATAATGTCTACAACTCCAGTCTACTCAGTCCACTGAAAAGCAGCTCCAGACCATAGGGAGAGGAAGGCAGAGAGAGACGCAGCCTTTCGGAGACCACCTTACCTGCCACTTCTCCATTTGCTAACTCATCTGACTCATTTCCTCCTCTGTTTTGACTCTCAGGTTCAGATTCACAATCCAGTCGATTCAATTGTGTAATACAATTAGTCAACGCCTAGTTGGGGGGGTGGGGATAAGATATTAGAAAAAACTTCCCAGTAGACTTACAAGAATTCTTGAGAATTAGCCACGTACTTGAGAAGGAACTTCCACAAATACTTACACCAATATCATCATCCTGGTGGTTGAGAGTTACTTCCAAGTCTTTTTGAGTCTGTGCAAATGATTTGATTTGCTCGCTCAACTCCGAATGTGATTTAGCCATTTCTTTGATTTCTTGCTGTAACTGGTAAATTGAAACAATGACCTTCTTCAGAAAACCAGAGTAAATTCAAACAACTCACAAACAAAAGGGGTACAGGGTACACCTTACAGTCTCCCAAATTCAACTCAAAATCACTAACTCGCCTTTTGTCAGTGGGGTATAAACTGTTCAAAGAACAGATTACAGACACCTTTTATTTGATGTTCGATACTCAATACCTTGATCTGAGAAAACAATCTGATGCTCCCTTGAAGCTATTCAAATGAATGACTGAGGACTTGACAACTAAGCTTTGTACAAGAAATTATACAAAGAGACAAAAACATCAGATCAAATGGAGATCATACAAATACACTTAATTTGAAGAGCATCACCTGAATTCGTGTATCTAAGAATAGAATCACACATCCAAATTTGAATATTCAACTTCATGGCATCTGGTTGCCTTGTTCATATACTCGAAGATATTTAATTTTTTTAATTTTCTCTTTTTAACATTTTAATTGAGGTACCAAGATTTACAATACTAGACGTGAACTTTCTTTACCTGATCCTCCTTCCTCTTCAGTCTAGCATTTTCTTCTTGAACTCGGTGACATTCAGACTTCACCTTTTCTTCACTCAGTTTAGCCTCATTAAGAGCAATCTGAACCTAAAAAAACATTGCCATTCATAAAATTACAAAGAAAAACAAAAAAATGTTACACTCTCCCATACTTAGTCATAATTCTTGGTTTATACATTTTTAACATGTATCAAATGTTTGCTCATTAACAAATTAAGATACAGTATTAGTATCCTGTAGAAATTATATACAACTTTACCTCTGACAATTCAGAAGCGTTCATTGAAATAACATCCTTTAACTTCTTTATAGATTTTTTGTTTTCCAGTATCTGCCACATGGGGAAAAAGAGTATTAGAATTTTAGCAGATAATCAATCTTACCAGGACTATATGGGAAAGGCCACTCTACCATCTTTGGAACTGTTTTGGGGAGAGCGGGATAAGAAGATGGGGATCACTTCCAGTCCTCAGGGCTTACTCCTAACTATGTGTTCAGGGATCACTCATGGGTGGTCTTCGGGGATCAAAGATTTAAAGTGTCAGGAACTGAACCCAAGTCAGTTGCATGCAAGGCAAGGGCCTTAGCTCGCTAGCGCTCTCTCTCTCTCTCTCCCCCCATCCCTCCCCCATCCTCCCCTTCTTCTCCCCCCCTCATCCCACTGCAACTTTTATTATAATTCTGAACCTATTCTAAAGTTAAGAGTAAATTTTTTAAAAAGAACAAAGCAAAATAAATCAAGGTACTGGGAGTATTCTATTGGACTACGATTTTTCAGTTGTTCCACTTACTACAGAGGGCTGAGTTAAACAATAAGAAAATTATTCAGGGCTGAGGAAAAAGACTTCCTAGGCCCATAAAAATTTAACTTGTGACATTAGCATTTAAAATTCTTCAGTAATGGTCAGGAATTTCATTTCTCTCCTAATTTTACTCAAGTTAAAGCACTGAAAAATGCAGAGTTCAACTCTATTTACCAGAGTTCAAAAGACAAATTACAGTAACACCTAGCAGCAAAACTCTTACCAAGTCCTTATTCTTGGCATTCTGGGCTCGCTCAGATTCCAACATATCTCGCAGACGTCTAGCTTTGTTATTCAGAGATTCATTACTTTCTTCAAGCTTCTTGATCTTATCCTACACAAAAATTAAGACAATATTATACTTCTGCTTTTCTCTTTTAGAATGAAATACCCAAAAAAGGGATTTTTTTACCTCGTATTTTGCAGCTTTATCAGAAAGAATGACGTTCAGTTTCTTGGTTTCTTGAGCAAGCTTCTTGGATTCCTCAAACTGTATGAAAGCATTCAGAAATCAGAAACACACTATGCTGCCTCTCTAAATAGGTGATGAAAGCAGAGCTTTATATGTAGGATGACTTGTATTCGAATGGTTAGTAGGACATAACAAAAAATATGACTTTAAAATCCATTAATGAACTAGAAGACAGGAGCATAGGATTCAGCTGGAATCGGGGGTGGAGGGGAACACAAGAAACAATCATCATACCTTCTGTTCATAATTTGACAATTCTTGAGCAAGTTCTGAATTTTCTTTTTTGAGATTCTCCACCTTCGCAGAAATTTGTTGTTCCGTAACTAAAGGTTGGGGGAGGGAGGATAGGGGGAGAAATCCAGGAGATTCATGACCAAATCGAACTGCCTTTCCCCTTGTTTAGGCAGGCATGGGTGACCTAGCATGACATGGAGAGGCCTTCTAAGCATAACTATCATGTCTTCCAGCACACCGCTACGGACAGCTTCTGAGCACCTCTCGGAAACAGCTCCCACAGAACCACTGGATGACCCTCCGCTCTCCAAAATTGTAATTTGTAGCTAGTACAATAAGGCACCATAAAAATGAAGCACCATAAAAATGAAGTCTCTGAGGGCCGGAGAGATGGTACAGATAGTATAGAGGGTAAACTACCTGCCTTGTACACAGCCTTCCCATATTCAATGCCTGGTATCCCATGTGGTCCCCTGAGCACCACAAGTCAGGAGTAGCCCCTGAACATCGCCCCGTGTGGCCCAAAAACAACAAAAAAGAAACCATAGGGAAAAAAAAATTCTTTCTGGGCCCATCCAAGCAGAGCTCAGAAGAGCCAGATGCCACTCCTTGTACTATCTGTCTAGCTGTGGCATCCAGCAGTTCAGTGCTCAGGCAGGCAGATCAGTGCTCTACAGGCCAAGCAGTTCCAAGCCACATCTGATGGTCCTGGGTGGAGAGGAGGCCGCTAGGGCGGTTGCTCAAACTGCAAAGCAGAAGCTCCAGCCCTCTGAGAGCCCCCAGTCCAGAATGACTAACACTTAAGGGCAATTACTTTTATTTCAACCAGATTCCAATTTATTTATTCACTGGCTCTTTAGCCACACCCAGTGCCTGGACCTAACTCTGCGTGGGGGACAGTCCCAAAGGTGAGCATGCCATTCCCCCTTCCCACACGCAAAGCGTGAAGTCAGTCTGCTGAGATCTCTCTCTGGCTCCAGATCCAATTTCTTTTCAAAGACAGGAAATATAGATTGGTTTAGGCCAGTATCCTCCCATTAGGAAGCATCTTTCTTCTCAGAAAATGTAATCACTTCAAATTGTTAGTTGAAAGAAGAACAAAAGCAAGCATACTGGTTTGTAATCCTATTCCCGCAGTTATTTACTTACACCCTATACTAACTAAACCATTAGTTTAGGCACACCATTAACATGTGATAATTTCTTTGCATTTGTTTAATGTTCATAGCCAACCTTCCCAAATTAGACTAACCATGATCGCCCTATCATGTTCCACCTCATTCCTCTCAATTCTGCAGCATCACCATCTACACTAAGATTAGCAAAACTTTGAAGAGCTGTTTAAGTCAATCCAGATGCCACTGATTGAGTTATAGCTTATACACAATTCATACCAAACACCAATATTAAGGGTTAGCATAAATAGCAAAGAAGTCTAAATATTTACCTTGATACTTTTTATTCTTTACCTAAAAAATTGAAAAAAAGTGAAAACATTTTAATAAATTATTATAGTACCTAAATAATTGTCAAATTGTAAACTTTTTTTGGTTCAGTAAAATTAATCCATGGGATTAATGAAATTGACATGCACTACATATGTAATTTTGGTGTTGATAATTCTATAAATTATAAAACTGAGCACAAAAGTAGCTTTTTGTAATTAATGTTTATAAATCTGCTATATACACATCAGCCTTATTGAGTTCTTATAAAAATTATTTTTCATGTAAAATATCCTATACTTCACAGTATATATAATTTTATAATTATCTTTCATAGTTTTCTAAGAAAACATTTTTTGACAATCATCAAAAAGCCAAAATAAGGCCTAGAAACAAAGATTTTTCAAAAGAATCTGCAGAAACAAAATTGAAGGTAAAATTTTTAAATTAAAATATTCCTCTTTCTCACCAAAAAGCATCTTAGAAATCATACTCAAAGTTGGCTTTAAAATTCTTACAAGCTAGCAATGGGACACCAAGTGAATGAGGAGGATCGCAAAACATCTTTTACATGTCTTCAAATCAGTAGCTTTGACTTAACTATATGTGTTTTACTTGATTTAACTATTTTATGTTCCTACTATCCAGCATCTCATCAAAACTTTTTGGGCAAGGAGCCAACAGGTGGGAAAGTTTAAGCTAAGTCACTTGATGTCCTTAAGTTCCTAAATAAATCTGATAGGAACGAGGGAAAAGACAACATCTAAAATAGTCTTTCCTAAAGTGGATGATGACATCCCTCAACCAGGGGCACGGGAAAAATGGGGGTGCACATTGCCTTAGCACTACCTGGGCTCACTTGAAGAAGGTAGATGATGGAGGGGGTGGGGGAGACGGAGTAATTTTTCGGAAAGAGGGGAGATAGGCTAAGGAACTCTGGGAACCTCAGTACTAAAGAAAGCATGATAATAAAATTCAAGTATCTCAAAAAAAGGAAAACGAAAAATACTATCTTTGTAACCCACAACTTTATTACCCCATTCAGATAAATGTTTGATTCTGATCAGTGCACAAATCATACATCTCTCAGTTTTACTTCAGAGCTCCAACTTATCCAAAACAAGAAAAGGAAAGGACTCTCTAATGTCACCACCTTAGAGCAAAGGAGCAAAAGCCCTTTGCCTTCCCTCCATTCAATTCAACAGGCTAGAGAAAGGAGGAAGCACGCAAGGTGGAGTCCAGTGACCAAGGTTCTTTCTCTGTGAGTGAGCAGCGAGGTCACAGAGCCTCCGGAACCTCAGCAAAACCAAATGGTTGTCAGGGGTTTCTGCAATGGGGAAAACTAGAATAGAAAACAGATGATCTCCTCTTTTTCCCCTTTACTTTCTTCTTTTGTTTTACTTTTTGTTTTTGTTTTTGTTTTTTTGCCCACCCCATCCCCCACACAGCTCAGGAGTCTGACAATTCCCAATCTCCCCTTTTTCCTTCTGCAGAGAAGAGTCCCAGGAGATTATAGAAGTTTTCAGAGGAATACAGGAAGATTTGTGATTTTTTTTATATAAATAATATAGGAGTACTGCTATTGATTGAGCTGATTGAATTGGGCATGAACTCCACAGATTTGTGAATTTTTTTATAATCACTTGAGAAAGTACTCAGTTTTAGAAAGCTGTGCATCCAATCTACTGGGCAACTTTAAAACTATTAGTCTTCAATTCATTTACACAATTAATCTTAGTACATAATACTACAACATAAAACATGCAGCACAGTCACAAGTGCACGTAAGTACACATATATACATAAGCACACACATTCTGCACCAAATGAATTAAGGAATAAAACTAATAGAGTCTGCTTCTGAAAACTATTAATCCAAATCTGAAAATGGCTTATTTTCTAAGCATAATGTAGCTGATCCAATCAAGATCCATAAAATGTATATACAGACATATAAGGAGAAAACACTCTAAAATTATCTAATCCATTTTTTTTCTAGTCTGTTGTGTTTTCTTGCATTTCTTTTCCTGTGCATAATGTATTTATAGAATATACAATTTACTTACACTTTTAGATACTGGTTTTGGATCTCTGTTTTCTCACATACCAAATTATGAGCATTTTGGTGCCCAATGTCTTTGAAAGAGATTTGAAAAGCTACTTAATAACCCATTAGATGGATATACCTTTGTATCATTTACGATACATAGTTTTTGATACAAGTTTTTGCTATAGATGCATGATTAGCTATTTCTTTAGAATAAATTACTACACATGGCAGTATACTATAGAAAGGTGAAAGAGTTCATACTGAACTGCCTTCAGGACAGTTTTAAGCATTCCCACCTCTACCACCAGCAAACTAGGTTTTGCCCTAAGGGATGGTACTGAACTATTTCCCAAGTTTAGCTCGGGGACGATCAACATCCCTTAGTCTTCATGCTTGGAACCCAAAAGAGCTGATCAGAAGAGGCCCTTTCTACTTTGTGAGTCAAGACACAAATTAATTTACATACCTCCAAAAGCGTCCTCCATAAGAGCACGAAGGACACAATACCCAAAAAGGCAGTCGCCAGCACAGGTTTCCAAGTAAAGCCATAGACCCCTGGACTCTGTCCATCTTCAGGTAAGGTAGTCATCAGCTGAAGGAGAAAGGAGAAATCCGGGGAGACCTTCCTGCCACCCGCAGCGGGCTAAGAAACGCACCCTCACCGGCTGCCAGGGCGACCCCCGCACCTAGGCGCCTCCGTGCAGAGCCCCGGCTCCCCCTCCCGAGTGGCCCAGCAACAGCGGAGACCACACTTATCTCCTAGATGCTCTTCTTAGGTCACAGCGAGCAAGACTGCGAAGGGCAGGGGGTGCGATGGAGAGGGTCAACCCCCGCCCCCGTTCACCGACCCTCCGACGGGCCTGAGACTGTCCCTGGTAGCCCCGGGTAGCGACCCCGGGGCAGGGGCCGGGAGTAAGCACACACGGCCGCCCGGCCGCCCTCCCGTCCGTCCGTCCGTCCGTCCGTCCCCGGCGTCCCGGGCCCGGGGCCGTCACCTGCAGCAGCTTGGACACCAGCGCGGCGTACAGCACCGACAGGGCGCCCAGGAAGCCCGAGTCCCCCGGAGGGGAGCTCACGGACACCCCGGGCGCCGGCACCGACTCCATGGCCGGGGCGCCGCTGACCGGAAGTCAGCGCTCCTCCGGGCCGCCCTGGGCGGCCCCCACTCTCTCCGTCCTCTCCCTCAGTCACTGTCTGGTCCTCAGGTCGCGGGACAAGCCATAAGTGGACTTCGCCTCTTCGACCCACTCCGCTCAAGACGCGTTCCGAACCACACGTCACAAAACGCCGTTCCGGGGCGGGGCGTCCGCGCGCGGGGGGCGGGGCCTCGGCGGGGTAGCCAATGGGCGTCGCCGCGGGCGCCCGGGGCCAATAGGCTCGCGCGGAAGAAAACCGGCGTTTGTTCTGGGCTCACCTGCCCTTAACGCGGAGGCGCGGGCCGAGGAGGGGCGGGGCCGGAGCAGGAGAGCGGCGCGCCCCGCCCCGCCCCGCCCCGCCCCGCCCGGCCTGGCGGCCACCTGCACCCAGCTACTGCCCACCACAGCCACCGGCTCTCCCTCCCGGCTAGGGCCCACCGCCCTACCCGGGCGGGACCCTCTCCAGCCCCCGGCTCGCTTCCAGCTCTCCCATTCGGGCTCTTGCAAGCCTGATTCTAGGGCACTGGGCATTGATTGCCCCATCGAGCCGTGCCCGCGGGGCTACAGCCAGGGCTTCTGGACTAGGGCTGTGGGAAAGGATCGTACGAGGCACGGTCTGCGAATCCGAATGGCCATCTGAAAGTTGGATTTAAGGTGGGGGCGTGGGGAGCGGTGTCAAAATGTGCAGATCTTAAAAGGCATGTCTCTTCCAAATGGAACAATCAAATTCACAAGAGGACCCAACCGTGAATAGCTCTGTAATAACTGTACCTCACGTGATTCAATAAAAAATAAATAGGTAAATAAATAAATAAATAAAGGAGAAGCTGGGAAGTCCTGAGCCAGAAGAGCAGCGGAGGTGGAGTGGGAGGGAAGGTTGAAGCCAAACTGCAATGAAGGAAACGTGACACTGGCCCAAGTATACCAACAGGCAAAGGAACAAAAGAAAATCTAGAAACACCTAACTGCGTTGGCAGTTTGGGATACACACAGTCAGCTGGGGGGGGGGGGGGGGAGGAGGAGACTGCAGGGATATCACCACAATAGGAAATTATTTATTTTGAAAATATAGTTTTCTCATCCATGAATTCCAAATCGATCAGAAACTTTAATTTAAAAAAAAAATACTAGAAGCTGGGCTGGAGCAATAGCACAGTGGTAGGGCGTTTGCCTTGCGCGCAGTCAGCCTGGTCGAGCCAGGTTCAATTCTTCTGCCGCTCTCAGAGAGCCAGAGAGCCCGGCAGGCTACCAAGAGTATCTCGCCCACATGACAAAGCCTGGCAAGCTCCCCGTGACATATTCAATATGCCAAACACAGTAACAACAAGTCTCACGATGAAGACGTTACTGGGCCCACTTGAGTAAATCAATGAACAATGGGAGGACAGTGACAGTGACTAGAAGCTACCTGGGTAGACATATATGGGTGTATTAAGAGTGGGCAAAATCTTCCTAGTTATATTTCAAAATCCAAGAGGAAAAGAGTTAACTTGATCACTCAAAAAAAAAATTTCACCACACAAAAATAATTTTAAGGGGGCTGGAGCGATAGTATAGCGGGTAGGGCGTTTGCCTTGCACGCGGCTGACCTGTGTTCAATCCCCAGCATCTCATAGGGTCCCCCAAGCACCGCTGGGAGTAATTCCTGAGTGCAGAGCCAGGAGTAACCCCTGAGCATTGCTGGGCGTGACCCAAAAAGAAAAAAAATATTTAAGAGAAGGCTGACAATGACAACTGCAGAAAAAAAATAATTGTAACAATATTATAAAAACTGTTCCAAAAATATATAGAACTGTACAGACAGTGATAGTATAGTAGGTGGGGCGATAGCCTTTCAGCTGATGTTGGTTCAATTCTTGGCATCTGCAGCTAATCCCGAGCCTGGCAGGAGTGACCCCTTCCTTGAGTGCAGAGCCAGGAGGAAGTTGTGAGCACCAACCAGGAGTTGCCCCAAAACAAAAAAAATTAAAATTTTTAAAGTGCATAATTTGATATTTTGACATTTTAACATGTCAGTGAAAATGTTTTGATAATCTAAAGGTGCTTTGGAACCCTTTTTTCTTCTGATCACTGGCTAAAAGTTAATAAAATTTATTTCACTTTAATAACAGCTTTTGGGGGCCGAAGAGATAGTACAGCAGGTAGGATGCGTGCCCTGCATGTGGTCAACCCACCAACCTGGCTCTGCTCCCCGGCAACCCATATGGTCCCCCCACCACCTCCAAGAGTAATCCTAAGTGAAGAGCCAGGAGCAACCTGTGAGCATTGCCAGGTGTGGCCCCAAAAGAAAACTAATTAAAGAATGGGGGGGGAAGCTTTTTGGTTTCAAAAGCTTTTGTGTTTTCCCTGTTTCTGTTTCACTGATTTACGCTCTTCTCTTGATTTCTATCTGCTTCTTGGAGATCAATTTGATACTCTTTTCCTAGTCTCTCATGGTGGGAACCAAGGTGACGAGGCCTTTTTTCTTCTCTGACATCACTATGTTGGACTGGGGAGACTGAGGCCCAAGGGCTGGAGCTCATGCTTTGCACATGAGAGGCTTAGGTTCAATCCCTGGCCTGCACAGGGTCCCCCAAGCACCGCGAGAAGGGACTCCTGAGTAAAGAGTCAGGTGAAGCCTCCAATCCACTGGGTATGGCTCCAGAACAAAAGTTATACTAGTATTGGTGGCGCTATAAAATCACAAGGAATGCTTTAGTCACATCACAGAGAAGTGGGATGTTTCCAATTTCACTCAACTCACAAGACCTTTTGCTTTCTTTGATTTCTTCAAGCCATTGCTTTTTTGTTTTCCAAATACAGGGGGATTTTCAGATTCAGATCCCCAACACCTGGGGATCTTTTGTTTATTTTAATTGTCACCAAAAGAATATACGCTGAATGATTTGAATCCCTTTGGATTAAATGACACCTGTACTACAGCCCAGAATCTATTTTATCCGGGTAGATGTTCCCCAATATACACAAAAAGAGAATGTATTTCTGCTTACCCGGAGAGAAGTGATCTAAACATGTCAGTCAGGCCAAGTGAGCCAATTACATCATTCATATCTTCTAGTTAGTTATACTCACAGTTACTGAGAAAGGAGGTGCTAACATAACCAATTACAATTCTAGACTTTTCCTAATACTTTTATCAGTTTTCCTTATAGTTCTATCTTTTTTAGTTTTGGTTTGGTTTTTGGGCCACAACAAGTATTGTTGGAATCACTCCTAGCGGTATTCGGGGGCCCCACGGGACACCAGGAATCGAACCCAGGACTGCTGCATGAAAGGCAACCATCCTACCTAGTGTACTATCACTTCTGGTGCCAGTTCAATTTTTGACTCAGGTACTTCGAAGGTTGGCTGTTAAGAATACATTATTTCTAAGAAACCTCACTGTCAACCCTGTCTTAGTGTGTCTATATCTCTAAGAGCATTTTTTTCTGGTTTATTTTATAATGGGGTGGTGGGCCTCCCAAAAAGTGCTCAGGGGACAAGGATTGGGAGGTAAGGGATCTATACAACTCCCAGCAATGGTCAGGCAGTGAAAGCCTGTGAGTTCAGAGCTTGAACCCCAAAAATGAGGAGTCACAGTCAGTGGTGCTGGGAGGCAGGAGGCCCCTATGGTGCCAGGATCAAATTCGGCCTCACTGAACCCTCTGTTCTTGCCCTTCATGAATGGCATATCCCTGCCACCCCCATGCTTTGTGCCCAGGCGATATAGAGCTCAGTGCACCTCTTCAAACGAAATAAATAAAGACTTCCTCCCAAAACTGGAGATTGTCCAGATCTTGAAGTGATGGGGATTCATTCGGATAATGCAGTTCTGGGTTCTGACACTGCCTTAGGATTAAGATCAGGAATGTCAGTATTTTAAATTCTCAAGTCTCGCGTGGCCTCCCATGGGCAGCTGCCACCACCAGGACCACGAGAAGCAAACTGGGCAAGTTTGCCTGTCCTGTGTCTCTCCTGTCCTAGGGATCAGGAAAGCTCTCTGCCAGGTAAGAACTGTCTACACTCTTTGACCATCCAAAAGAAGAGGTGACATGGAGTAAGCTTTGGCAGAAAGAAGCACTGAGATATGTTTCGCACCTGTTTCTGACAACTGCAGCCCCTGGTCCCTGCAGCTTTTGTTTTGTTGGTTTTTAGACCAAATCTGGTGGCATTTAGGGTTTACGCCTGACTCTGTATTCAGGGATCACTACTGGAGGGCTTTGGGGTGCCAGAGATCAAGCCCAGGTCAGCCACGTGCAAGGCAAACTACCTACCACAGTCCCAATAACTGTTTTGTTTGGGGCCGCACTCAAAAAGGTATTCTGGGTTAATCCTGCCTCTGCACTCAGGAATCATTTCTGGCAGTGCTTCGAGAATCACATGGGACGCGGGGGATCAAACTCGAGTTAGCTATGTACAAGGAAAGCACACACACACACACACACACACACACACACACACACACACACACTGTACAATGGTGCCCCTCCCAGAATGCATTTTTTTTGGTCTTGTTTGTGAGCCATACCCAGTAAGGCTCAGTGGTTACTCCTTGCTCTGCACTCAGGAATCCTTCTGATGCTCAAGCCCCCACTATCCACATTTTTAAAGAGGAGGAAGCAGAGATTTAAAGTTTGTCCAAGCTTAAAAATGAGGAATCTGGTACTGGAAACCAAATTGTCATGGCTCAAACCCACATTTTTTATAAAACAACTAAATGAAACAAACAAAAGAAATGAAACAAAATGTTTCCTTATATGGGTCTTGAAAGAACAGAGTCAAGGAGGAAAAACACCTGTTGAGAAAGCCCAGAGCAACTGGCTCTTGCATGGAAAGCCCAGCCATGCCCATCCTCTACAGAGATAAAGGCTGAGCTCAACAACCGCCACCAGGGGGAGCTACGTCCCAAAGCGCCTAGAGAAAAGGTCTCACTTGGAACCTCCCTTTGGAAAGCGAATTCTGCACAAACATTCTTCCATTAGCAACTTTGACTCTTTCTAAGAAACTAATCTGATTTTATTCCTGCCCTGCTTCCAACTTTCAAGGCATCCCTGTCCTGACAGTGTCATATCACATTCAGGAAGAAACTTCCTTTAGGGCTGGCTGGGTTTCCCTTCATGAGACCCTCCCCTCGGAGACTATCCCTAGAGCCCCCTTCCCGTCCCCCATCCCACCTCTGCCGTCCCCTTTCTCTCCCCGCAGCACTTTAACTCAACAAGTCACCCCAAACTCCCATTTGTCTTCACCTCAACTCAAAACGCGTCTATGCTCATTTCTGATCGCCTTCCTCAGCACAGTGCACCCACGCTTCTTCCCGCCAAATCACCTGTACAAACCCGCTCCCGGTGCTGAAATGAACTGAGACCCACCAGTCATAGGTGTGTTTCCGAGGCACCTTCAGACGATCACAGGAATTTTCACAAGGATATTTTAAGTGTTTTACCTCATGTTCCACAAAAACTTAAGGGGCCAGAGAGACAATACAGGTGGTAAGATGCTTTGTGCATGCCAGGCTATATCTCTGAAACTATTTAGGGTCCCCCCAGAGCCAAGAAAAGCCCCTCATCTCTCTGGGAAAGGACCCAAACCTCTCTCCATTCCACATCTCCCCTCTCACCCCTGCAACCACCAAAAAACAGAAAATCAAAAAACAGGAACACACCAGCTTGAACACTCTAAGAACCGACTATAGATCACAACGAAAGTGTCCAACTTACCATCTGAAACAAGTAGGCCATGCACAAATATATCAGATAGGCTGCACCATCCAGGGGTGTAGATCGTGCTGCATCCTCGATGTCTGTTTCCAGCTGCCTGCCAGCCCCAATGACATCAGCAGGTGAACCCTCAGGGGCGAGCATCCCTGCAATCCAAGAGGACAAGGAGTATTGGGCCTTATACTTACTTCCCAGGCAGAGGTCTGTTCTGGTTCTAAATAGCCAATGAGCATCCACAACACAGCACTCACAGAGAAACATGAGTTTGGTTTCTCTTATGGAAAATTAGACAAAAGAAAAAAAACCAGAATTCCCTACTGGCACCCTTAGACCCCCCAACTCTGAGACATACCATTTCCCACCCATGCTCCAGGCCCAGGTCCCAGCCCATGAGCTGCTCTGACCCCGGGCTCAAGGGTAAGCTTCCCAAAACCACAGGGAGACCACGGCCACCTCTCTAGGGCGGGCGAAGCATGGAGCAGGAAACCAGAGGCTGTCGGCAAGGAAGGAAGGGGAAGACTCTTAGGGGGTACACCTAGGTTTAGCCTGGTACCTAGCAGCTGGCAGGCACCCATCACTGCCCACTGCATGATACAGACAAGCCACACAAACCAGCATGTAGCCGCCACGAGGAGCGACTGTGGGGAAAGTGCATGAAAGTCCCACGAGAGGGGGTGGAAGGGAGGGACTGTCTGCACCCCAGGGCACGACCACAGGCAGAGCCCCTCACTGTTGATGTCTGTGCCCACACCTGGGCTCCAGAATGTCAGGGTGTGCTGGGCAGCCCGCCCGAGGTGCAGGAAGAACATGGAGGAGATGCACCTGGAGAGGCCGCTCTGTGTCCACAGGGACTCCCGGAAGACAGTGAGTGACAGGAGTGGTGCCCAGCGTGGCGGGGCCAGACTCAGAGTGACAGGCAGGCACGAGACAGCACATGGCCGGCTCCAAGCTCAGGACATGGAGGCCTGTGGACTGCATCCTCGGTGGGCAACAGAGGCCGGGCCCATTGGCATCATGGGGACAGCTGCACCTGACCATATCATGCCTCTATGACACTGTGGTGGACACACAAAACCAGCTCCACAGAAACTAGAGAGCTGCCAATATCATCGGCCCACCAGGCCGTGGGCGTGTTAACATTTTCATTTGGGGGTCAGAACAATAGTAGAGTGAGAAGGGCACTTGCCTTGCACACAGCCGACCTGGGTTCACTTCCTGGGTGCCCCCAAACTCCGCCGCAAGTGATGTACATGAGCCAAGAGTTAGCCCTGAGCACCACCGGAAAGTGGGGGGGGGGAAACTCCAAAAATCAAAATAAATGAAGAAATACGACTTTCTGTTTTAAAACAACTCTCTCGATTCAGAAAGCTCCACCCTGCCACCAGACGTTTGTCATGGTCCCTCTTGGGTAAATACCACACCACACATGCAACAGCCCAGGGCACATTCCCTCTGATCCAGTGGGACGAAGGTACCGACACGGGAAAACCCCCCTCCTGGTTTTAAGAAACCTCTCCCGCATCCAGGCAGCCAGATGCCTGAGGGCGGACATATCCGAGGCCAGTGCAGGACTGCAACGTGGAGGATTAGGGACGGGCCCCGGCACCAGGGGGCCCCCGAGCACTGCTCCTAGAGACTGCTGCTCACACATGTGGGAGCAGCCCCTGAGCACCTGTGGGTATACCCCCTGTAGCACCCCCTACCCCCAAAACTGACCATCACTCTATTCTGCTGGTTGGGGGGTAGAGGAAGGGTGACAAGACTGGAGAGTCTCCAATCAGTGGTTTCTCAACCTTCGACTTGCAATGAAAATCTTAAGTTCTGGAGGGGAGCTGTGTGACAACAGTGGCTAGCTGTCACCCCCAAGATTCTGAGGCTGCTGGTATGACGGAGAGCTACACTCCACTCTCAGGGCAGCAGGCTACTGGGAAAAAGCTTCACCAGAAGCCACGGCAGCCTAGCATGGCTCTGAAGGTCCGTGGGGGGGGGGGGGGGGGGGGGGGGGGCGGGGGGGGGGCAGGGGGGAGGCGTGTTCATCTGTCTGAAAGTCTGCACTGCTCTCGTCTCCTTCGTGATGGGCCTCTGGACCCATGCACACCTGTTCCTCTCCTTTCCTTCCTAACCCCAGGCGGGCTTCTTCCTGGCATGGTCCCACCTCATGGGGCAAAGCCACAGGCATACCTGCATCCGCATCTTCCTCAGGACTCGACTCTGGGGACACTTCTGTGGCAACCGTGGCGCTCTCCCCGGGTGCGTCCACGGGACTGAGCTCTCCGGGAACCGGCTCGGGCGCCAGATCCTCCACCTTTTCTTCTGGAAAGTCCTCTTCAATGGGCGGCTGTAGTTCTACAGGAAAGGACGGATGGACCCCTTGGCTTCCCGCAGAGTGCAGGGGCCCGGACCCACTCAGCTCCTCCCCCGGGACCACCCTCCCTCCCTCACTCCAGCTCCCCCCACCATGCCCCAGCCCCCTGCAGTCCATGCCAGGCACCAGGGCACTGAGTGTTTCAACTGTCCTGACCCCCTCAGGAGAGGCAGCGAGACAGTGCAGGGACCACAGCTCTTTCTATAAAGTTCCCTTTTGAAAATGCCAGTTTGTATGTTCCTAAGCAGAAACAGGCAGGATCTGCCTCCAAGCAAGGCAGAAAGAAGGGACCAAGGGCGCCTACTGCAGATAGCACCTTGCATACTGGCGTGAGCCCCTTCTCCCCTCCTTTCTCACCGCCCCCCCACAAGGCCATACCACGAGCTTTACCTTCCACGAGTCCCTCCCAGGCATCCCTGGGAGGCGGTGGCGTGGCCGGGGGCGCAGGCAGCTCTGCCGCAGAGTGCTGGTACCGGACGAAGTAGATCAGATCTTGGACATCGTCGAGCACGGCCGCCTCCTCGAACACCTGGCTGTCCCTGGCACTCGGGTCCCCGCTGTTGGACGCCCGGGCGTCGAGCATCTGCTCGGCCGCGCTGAGGATATGGGCCTCAGCGGCACGGAAGACCTTGTCCAGGACCTTCTCGGCATTGTAGGGCAGACTCTCGCGCTGGGCGGCCGCCAGCCGTGCGGACAGGTCCTGTAGGAGGGCCTCCAGCTCGGACACCTCCACGTGCTTCTGGAACCGCTGCCACGACCGCAGGTCCTTGAAGAAGCTGCCGATGATGGGCAGATGCTGCGGGGGCCAGTGGGCCAGACCGTCACTGCCGTGCTCTGGGTCAGGTGTCCCCACAGCCTTCGTGTCCGTGAGCTCCCCGGAACCTGCAGGGACCTCCTCCTGGTGGTCTCCCTCCCCAGCAGCCACCTCTGGGGCCGGTTGAGGGGTCTCTGTGCCAGAGACGTCCCACCCCAGGGCCAGGCTCTGGGCTCCAGGGCCTGTAAGGGCCCTGCCTCCCTCGGGTGACACAGGGCCACCTGGCGCCCTGCCAGCGGCATCTACCCCGGTGCCCCCCCATTTCGCTTCTTCTCCCAGCTTCTTCTCTGTGTCCTTGAGTTTCCAGAACGCTGCTGGGAGTGCCCGGAGCAGCACCCCTGGGGCCCTGCGGGTCGGCGCCTGGGGGCCAGTCCTGCATCTCAGAACTAGCAGGGCTGGAGCCTCTGGCCTGCTGGGCACTGAGCGCATTTTCATCCTCCAGCTGTTCTTCGGGGGTGTATTCATCGGCTTCTGCCTCTGCCTCTGCTTCTCCAGGATGGGAATCCGGGGCCTCTGCACCCCCGGTCTGGCCGGTGGGGTCGGCTTCCAGGGGGCCAGGCCCTGCTTCTTCCTCCTGGAAGTCCTCCTCTGCCTTCTCCTCCCAGAGCCTCCCCTTCCCCGTGCCCAGCTGCTCCTTCTCAGTGGCAACGGCCTGTTCCAGCTGCCCGGGGCCATCTCTCCCCTGGGTGGGGGCCCCTTCCTCCAGCCCGGGCGGCTGTGGGTGAGGAGCTGGGGGCTGCTGCTCCTCTGACGCCTCCTTCGGGGCCGCCCTGCTAAGAGTGTCCAGTGGCCTGAAGGAGCCCAGGACACCGTCCTTCTCCGCTCTGGGCACGTCCTGCTGCTTATTCTCTCCCTGGACAGGTGCTGAGGACACATTTGGGGATCTGTCCCCCCCAGGACCCCCTGTCAGGGTGGGCTCTCCCCCGGACTCTTCCTTCGAGACGTGGACAACCGCGTCTGCAGCGTTCCCATCCTTGCTGGCAGCGGCTGATGGGATGGCGTCTGCCCCCTGCCCGACCGCCAGCCCCGAGGGCTGCTGGCTGCCCAGAGCAACGCTGGGTGGGGCGGCCCCGCGCTCTGGGGGCTGCTCGCTCTCTGCTTCTGTCGTGCCCAGGACTGGCCCCCTCTCAGCTGCCACTTTCCCAGGGACGTGAATGTCCGCGTCCACTTTGGAGGCTTTGGCTTTGCTTGCTTGGAAGACCCCACGGATCCCAAGAGCACCCAGTGCCCCTACTGGGCCTGTGAGTTCCGGCGCAGCTGGCGGCGGTGGGTCCAGCCCGAGGCTCCCTGCAGCTGAGAGGCCACCTGCGTCCTCTGAGTTCAGGTGCTCAGCCTGCTGCTCTGACCCATCCCTCGGTCTGTGGCTACTGCTGGTGGCGCCACCCAGTGCCTGCGGGACCTGCTCCCGGGCCTCCTCGCTGGAATTCTGTTCCCGCCCCGCTGCGCCTCCCCCAACTCCTGTCCTCCGGGGGCTCGGCCCATCGGCCCCGTCATCCGCATCCTCAAAGGTGAGCAACGGCTGGTCCTCAATGCCATCCTCCTCCTCTTCCTCTTCCTCCTGCCCCATCATGTAATACTCAGCCTCTAGGTCCTCATCGAAATCCTCCTCCAGCGACGTCACCAGCCTGGTGGTTTCGTCGTCCGACACCAGTGCATCTGCCGTGGAGCCAAACTTGGTTTTCAAGTCCAGGGTCATATCCTGTTTCAAAAGCTTATAGGCGTCCATCCGCTCTGGCTGCTCCCCAGGACCTTGGGAACTGTTGCTGGTCCTGTTGCTGTCACCTGCGGGCACCTGGGGTGCATCCTGCTGCACAGTTTCTGGCTCAGAAGGTGGCGTTGCCTGGGCCTGCCCCATCGGAGCCTCCACGCCATCCTCTGGCACCTGGGTGCTGGCTGCGGCCGCAGTGTCGCTGCTCTCTGAGCTGGAGTCCGGGGGGGACGGAGGGCCACGGTTCTCAGATACCTCAGTGGGGGGTTCCACATGCCGAGAAGCCTTTTCTATAGCTTCCTCCGAATCTTTCGATGCGGGACTGGGCAACTCCAAATACGCTAAGAGCTCCTCCACGCTGTAATTAGTGAAATCGTCTCTGCCCCCATTGAAGCAGACGAAGTCCGTCTCCTATAAGATAAAGAAAACACTTGTGCCACAAAGTCAAGCCTCTGCCTGTGCAGAGGGGCGGGCAACTCAAATTCATTCCTAGTTTTGTAAGGGGGGACCCCCAAAGCAATGCTCAGAGGCCACTTTCAGGGATACTCAGCCCCCTGGGCAGGCAATTCAGTGCTAAGGCCTGAGGCTGCAATGCTGGTTGGTGGGGGCACACCAGGGCCAGCCCAACCTTGCTCAAGAGCTTCCAAGCTCACATCCAGGGATGCTCCCCACAAACAAATTCACTGTAGAGAAGCCCTGGCTGGTTGCGCCAGCCCTTTGTTTCTGAGCTTCCTGTTCTATGCCCAGTGATGCTCAGAGCTTAACTGCTGGCTCTGAGCTCAGGAGTTACTCCTGGAAAGCTCGGGAGATTTTATAGGGTGCTAGGGATTGAACCCTGGTCAGCGTGTGCAAAGCAAGTGCCCTGTCTGCTGTACTGTCTCTCAAGCCCCTGCCACAAGCTTTTCACAGAGTACTGTGACTAGGAGGAAGGACCACGGCCTGAGGAACGCTCCTGAGGCTTCCCTCAGCCCAGGGCAAGGCTGTGGAGGGGGTCAAGCTGCACCATGCCCGTTCTCCACTTTGAACCTGCCAGCAGGAAGACACAGCCTCTGGCGTCCATCTGCACTGTCAGCTGGACAAGGATGGTCCCCCTGGGAACACTCACTGGCTAGCTGGCCCTGTCCTTGTCTGGAAGAGTCTTACTCCAACAGAAAGGGTGCTTGCCCTGCATGCAGCCAACTCAGGTTCAATGCCCAGCACCACATGTGGTGCCCAAGCACTATAAGGAATGATCTCAGGGACAAGCCCTCAGCATCTCCAGGTTGCTCAAAAAAACAACAAAAGAAAGTGTCCTGTTGGCCTCCACCCTGGTTTCTGACTCTCTCCATCTGTCCTCAGCACAGGCAGTTACAAACCACATACCCTTTATGGCTGCCCCAGGCCCCTCCCAGGTGTCTGCTTGAGGTTCTGGGAATTGCCCTGGAGATAAGACTCTGACGAGGACAGCTCCAAGTCAGGGTTCCGGCAATCCTGAAGGTTTGCTTTCAGGGACCTCCACCAAGCAAGTCTTTCCTTGCCTCTAAGAACAAACAGGCTCAGGGGCTGGAGCGATAGCACAGCAGGTAGGGCATTTGCCTTGCACACAGCCAACCCAGGTTCGATTCCCAGCATCCCATATGGTCCCCTGAGCACCGCCAGGAGTTAATTCCTGAGTGCAGAGCCAGGAATAATCCCTGTGCATTTCCAGGTGTGACCCAAAAAGCAAAAAAAAAAAAAAGAACAAAAGAGCTCAAAGGGGGATGATTTTATAATTCTTAGGGGAGACTCAGCTGGAGCAGCGAGAATGGGTAATCTCTTTCCACCACACGCATCTGTAAACCACTCTCTTATTGCTGTTGAGAAAGCCATATCTGCCAGGCACTAGGGGCCATACAGAACGGGAGATCCAGTCCAGGCACCCACACGTGCAAGACCTGTGATCTGCCAATGGAGCCAGACCTCAGGTCAAGTCACTTCTTCCTCCAGAATGGAAGATGCAGGGAGCCTGCAGTGACAAGGCGGACACCAACACAAGGGGTCAGTGTGTGCCACATGCCAGCCCCCATGCTCTCTTCATGAGGCACAAAACCCAGCTGGAACTGGGTCTGAGGTAGGAACAGAAACATGTGAACAGTCTGGGCCCTGTGGCCATCCCTTCTGCTGACTTCAGTTCAGAATAGCCCTTGACTAGCAGAGTGCTTGCAAACCCATGCCACAGCTGCTCAGAGAACTATGAAAGAAGGTGGGACTGAAAACTCCAGAAAAGAGGGGCTGGAGCAACAGTACAGCAGGGAGGGCGTTCGCCTTGCATGCGCCGAACCTTGTTCGATTTCCAGCATCCCATATGGCCCCTCAAGCACTGCCAGGAGCAATTCCTGAGTGCAGAGCCAGGAGTAACCCCTGTGCATCACTGGGTGTGACTCAAAAAGAAAAAAAAAAAACTCCAGAAAAAAAATCAGCTAGAATGAGGATGCCAGAACCCAGAATCCTTTTCTTCACAAAAATCACCTGGACTAGAAATGGGGAATGTCAAGCCCCAGGGGCACCTAAGGTCCATGAAATTGTGTGCCCTGGCCCAAGAGAGGCCAGGCAAGGATGCGACTCAGCAAATCAGCTGCCCCCAGCCCATCAGCCGATAATGCACAGCCTGCAAAAGATGGTATAAATAGCCAAATGGGAGGGATGGAAAAGTAGTAAAAGGCCTAAGGCACTTGCTTTGCATGTCCTAACCTAGTTCAATCACCCAGATCACTTATCATTCCCTGAGCACAGTCAGGGGGATGATTCGGAGCCCAGAGTCAGAAGCAGCCCCTGTGTTCTACTAGGTATGACTTAAAAATTTTTTATTAAAAAAATAAATAAATAATGAAACAGTTATTGGCAGTAAAAGGGCCCCCAGCCCTGATCCTCAATGAATGTGTCATCACTGTTCACTTTGTACCTAACAAACTGTACCTACCTTGCCCTTATCTGAAACTCTCCGGCTCCCGTTCCCAACTCTAGAATGTGACAAGAATCCCCCAAATCACGAAAGGACCTTACTAGAATAGAAAATCCTTGTGAACCTGTAGTTCCAGACTAGTACATAACTTAGGGCTTAATTTATTTACTGTTTCAGTGTACATACATGTCGCATAGCTTATCCAATAAGGAGTGTAGAAACTACGACAATTACTCAAAAAATCATTAAATTGCAGAATACAAAAATAGCAAATTCTTCATTTTTCACATATGAAGCAACAAAGAGAAAAATTTTTTAAAAGTAAGTTGCCTTTGGGGCATGAGATGCCCTGCAGGAGTTAAGTGGCTTCTTTGCAAGCAGCTGACACTGATTCAATCCCTGATCCAATGGTTCTCTGAGCATCACTTGGGAGACCACACCCTCTGCATCCCCCCCCCCCCAAGAGTAACTGCTTATTTAAGAACAACTGTTCTAACTGTTCCAATACGTTATCATCAGATTGTGCCATAAAGTCTCTTCTAAGTCCTTTTCAACTTTTTGTTCCTGTTCCTCTATTTTTAAAGGTAGTCTGATTAAAATCTGGCTAAATTTTTAAAAAGTAAATTAAAAACTTTTTGATTAAAAGCTGGCTAAAATATGGCTTAAATTAAAACGTAAGTTAAAATCCAGAACACAAATGTACCTAGCTCCTTATTCCTGACCGTAGCACATTAAAAGACTTTCAAAAATAGCTCACTGAACATAACTGATAAATTCAGAAGCCAATTTACAACTGCTAACAGCTCAAAAAAAACCCCACAACTTACATCTGCCGGGACTTGTAGTTCTTCTTTAGTATATTCATGGGCAACTCGGATGAAATCCTTTGGAAAGTATCCAAAAGCCTGCCCAACCTATATGGAAGAATGAAGAGACAATATTCAAGTAAAATGTTACACCACAAACATAATCAAGAGTCTCAGCTATTGGAGCAAATACACGGGGATGCGGGCAAGTGTGATGACAAGAGGTGGCTGCTGTCCTGGTCACGCAGACATAATCCCAGTGGAAATGAAGCATGAAACCTCATGAGGCAATTTTCCTAAAACCACTCAAGTTTTCTTTCAGCATCCAGGTTCAACCTAAACGTGGGCATATACAGTAGATCAAAGATCTGTACAAGTGGGTCAAAGAGACCGTATAGCGGGGAGGGCATTTGCCTTGTATGCAGCTGACCCGGGTTCGATTCCCAGCTCACACATGCTCCCCTGGGCCTGCCAGTAGTGATTCCTGAGCGCAGAGCCAGGAGTAAGCCCCGAGCACCACCAGGTGAAGCCCCCAAAGATCCCACCCACACCCCCCCAAAAAAGATCTGTACAAGACAAAATCATTTTTCTATTCTATAATTAACACTATCAATCAAGGATGGCTCGAAATACAATTCCAAATCACCTGTAACAAAGACTCAACCTGTACAGACTCAGAGAATTGCTCATAAGTCAGTATTTTGAAGTCTCTTACAACAATAAGCAGTCATAAGGGTTAGGAGTAAGGGCTGGAGAGATAGTACAGTGGGTAAGATAATACAGTCAGCCTTGTACCGGGATGGCTTTGATTCCTATTTGATTCCTTTTTTATTTTTTTATTTTGATTTTGACTATTTGATTCCTGGCACCCCATATGATTCCTTGAGCCCACTAGGAGTAATCCCAGAGTGCAGAACCAAGAGTCAGCCCTGAGTATCTCTGGGTGTGGCCCAGAAAAAAAAATAAGGGGGCAGGAGTGATAATATAGGGGATAGAGCACTTGCATGCAGCCAACCTGTGTTCAATCCCCAGCATTTCATTCATACAGTCCCCAAGCACTGCCGGGAGTGATTCCTGAGTGCAAAGCCAGGAGTAGCCCCTGAGCATCACCAGGTATAGCTCCCAAAACAAAAATAAATAAATAAAAGTAAAGTAAGAATCAGGAAGCAAAACGAACACAAAGTTTCTGTAATATGCAAGCACTCCCATATAAAGCAAATTAGTATTATTTACAGAACAGGTTTGTACTAGCTTTTTCATGCACAGATTCTCAAATACTTGGGGAGACAACAAATTCATAATAATCTGACAATGGGCTTCATTTTTTAGTCTCAATCAAAGTAAGCCTCTATAGAAGTCAATTCCACTTATCCCCCTGCTAATAGCCAAGGGATCCGAATATGTCTCTTTGGGACATGTCCATTGTCTTTTATTAGCAAGAGTCTCAAAGGGAGATCTCTTCCCTGGGCATGGACGGGGAGATAGGGGAGATACTAACATACAAATAGGGGGAAAGACTATCTTATCGCCAACTCCTAGAATAGCCTCATTACAGAGGCTCCTTATAATCCAAAACCACCTGAGAGCCTGTGTTAGTGCAGAATACTGCCCTGAAGATTAGATAAGAAGGAACAATAAAAAGAGCCACACTGGCAGGTCAAGTCTGAAACTCGGAGAAAACAAAAGTAAAAGCAACAACAAACAAAACAAAACAAAACCAGCATGACAAAAACTAGGAAAGAGAAGAACCCGATCAGAGTTCGAGTGTGGTAGGTCTGGCACCTGCCTTGCTTGGGGCTGGCCTGGGTCTAATTCGTGTCATCCCATATGGTGCCCTGAGTTCCCCCCCTCCCCCCCCCCCCCCCCCCCGGGCACAGAGCCAGGAGTAAGCCTTGAGCACTGCTGGGTGTGGCCCCCAAACAAAGGGTTGGGGGGGAGAGTCACTTCAAGGGGCCAGAGAGGGTACTAAGAGGCCGACTCGGCTCTGCTCATAGGGAGTCTGGGTTCTGTCACCAGCACTGCTAGGAGCAGCGGCTGAGCACTGTTGTGAGGAGCCCCCAGCAGCCTTGAGTGATGCCTTCCCCAAGGGCGGGGGGGGGGGTACTATGAAAAAGAATCACTTTGAGGGGCTGAAGAGATAATTCAATGGAGCACATGCTTGGCATGTACAGGGTCCAGGCTCAACCCCCGGAATGGAACAGTCCCCGGAAATGAGCAGTCCCCTAAGCACAGCCAGGAGTGCTCCTAAGCACCCCGAGGATATGGATCCTTCCCTCTCCCCAAAAAATATCACTTTGAAAGCTAATATGAGCAAGAGAGAGAGAGAGAGAGAGTGTGTTTCTGATTCCCTAGAATATAAGATCCCTGAAATGAGAGGTGAAACGAAGAGAAAATATCCTTTACCCCTAGGAAAAACTTTACTGAGAAAGTCAGGAAAGGGTACAGAAATCATATATCTAAAGGACAGACATTTATCTTCATATAGTATTTGCCAAGGCCACTTAAATTATCTAAAACTCCTTATTTTTGCATGGGTGGTGTTGTGTTTCTTATTTTAAAAAGGCTACAGAATCATGGGCCTTCACACTAGAAATAATCTTTTTGGTGTGGCTGGATTCTTTGGGGACCACACCCACAAGTGCAGAGGGGTGAATCCCAACTCTGCGCCAGGGCTGGAAGCAGGCCACCTGCATGCAAAGCCTGAGCTCTGCCCTTTGAGCTCTGCTTGTTTCAGTGCTAGAAATTATCATTAGGTTTAATTTTGTTTCCATCCTGCAAAGGAAGTGTTGCTTTGATTTGAAAACAGAAGTAGCACATTGTTTCAAGGGAATGAATTCTGCTGGTAGGGGCTAGAGAGAGTACACTCGGTAGGGCACGTGCCTTGCACTAGCCAACCGGGGTTCAACCCCCCAGCATCCCATATGGTCTCCATGCACTGCTGAGGAACATTTCCTGAGAACAGAGCCGGGAGTAACTCCTGAGCACTACTGGATATAGCGACAAGGATAATAACAACAACAACATAAAAAAAAGAAAAGGAATGAATTCTGCTATAGGCACAATCGGGGCAAATAGAAGTACCACAGGTCTGAAAGAAAATACTCCAAAGGAAGACAGGGAAGACAGTGGCCTGCCCTTACAATAGAGCTCTTGGCCTTCTCCTCCTCCCCTCATCCCCCTCCCCTGCTCTTGCCTTCTAGGACCTGAAACCAGGCACCCACCACCTGCAGCAGAAAGCAGTGACAGGTAAGCCACAGGTTCAGCGACAGGCAGGAGAGATGGTACAGCAGGAAGGGCACTTGCCCTTGCAAGCAGCTGACCCGGGTTCAATCCCCCACACCCCATATTGTCCCCCAAGCCCACCAGGAGTGGTCCATGAGTAGAGAGCCAGGAGTAATCCCTGAGCATTCCAGGTGTGCCCCAAAAATAAAACCCCCAAAATAAATAAATAAAGCAGAGGGGCTGGCTCTCAAGAAGTGAAGGAGGTTACAGGCACTGGTGAGGACAGAGGGAAACTGAGTCCTGCTTCCTTCCCCAGCTGCCCAGACCTAACCACTGAGAGAGAAAGGCAGCCCCGGGGCTGGGGGAAGGATAACTTCCAAGACAGAAGACTGAGAGCTCTCACTAGGCAGGCTGACAAGAAACAATCTATCCTGCTCTATGCCCGCTGATTCACTGGGCTGCTGCTTCCATGACAGTTAGCCTTTGCTACTCGCACCCAGAAACCTGCACTCCACACACACAAATCTACTGTTTCAGTGCAGCTTCTGAAGCCTCCTGTTCCACCGTTTGCTCTTTTGTTGAGTGGAAGATTCTGCAACTGGCACTGGGTGTTTCTCTCGGGATGACAATCCTTGGGACATCAGGAACTGTTAGTGCTTCGCGCACATACCCAGGCCACGCCTCATTGAGTCTCTGGTTCAGGCCACTCCTGGCAAGTCTTCCATTACAAACACTAAAGCCTGATCCATTAGTCCATGCTCAAGTCTCATCTCAGATACCCATGAAAGGAGCTGGGTACAGAGCAGGGGAACAGGTCAGGGTTCCTGAATGCCTGCCTGGCAATGCAGGGTAAGCTTCATCCCCAAGGTTGCCCCATGCTCCTAGCACCTAGCACAGTACTGGCAACTGTGCCAGATGTGCCTGTAGCTCTGCTGTGCTGACCCCCAGCCCCAAAGGAGATTTGCAGCCACCTGGCAGGTAGGTGCATATACGCACCCCAAGAAAGGATGTAGCTCCCCACAACCCTATAACCCCATCCCCATCTGCTCCATAGCTCCACAAGGTGCATACACCATGGCCAGGAAGTATGACCCTTAGCACTACGAGCACCACAGCAAACTCTGGGGAGCACTACGCCAGCCTGTTGTGAACAGCCCACAATGCACACCACAACTGTGAGACCAACAGAGACGGGCATGTGCGCAATCACTGCAACAAAGGGAGAAGGGCGGGGATGAGAAACTCTGGCCAGAAACAGAGCTGGGGGTCAAGGAAAGGAACAGGTGTCTGGAAAGTGGAGAAAGGATGAACGAGACACTGCAAACATGAGCAGGGAGGAGGGCGGCAGTAACGTGCAACAAAGTGATGGTGACACTTTGCTCTGAGACTGAAGGCAGCCCCTGCAATGGAGTGGCAGGTCCTGAAGCTGCCAGTTTTTCACTGCTATTGATAATTTAGAAAACACATCCATGAAACCAACTTTCCACATGAATGCCTGAAGCAACATCCCACACATGGTTTACGGGATCCAATCCACGTATTCATGAATCCGCCTTTCTTCAGACAATGATGTTGAAGAGTGGTTCAAAACTGGGCCAGAAAGATGGTACAGCAGGCAGGGGGATTGACTGCCTTGCATGCGGCTGACCCGGGTTCAATTCCAGGCAGCATGTGTGGTCCCCGGAGCCTATCATGGATGATTCCTGAGAGCAGAGCCAAGAGTAACCCATGAGGGGTCTGAGAGATCGAACAGCAGGGAGGGCACTTATATTGCATGAGGCTGACCCCGGTTCAATCCCCAGCATTCCATATGGCCCCTGAGCACTGCCGGGTGTGATTCCCGAGTGCAGAGTGAGAAATAATTCCTGAGTGCCACAAAGTGTGGCCCAAAAAGGTTATCTGAACATAAACACTTTCCCAAAGAAAATGGCCAGTGGCCACATAAAAAGCATGTGTTGCGTTACTATGATCAGGGAAATGCAAGTCAAACCATAAAAATTACTTCATGCCTATGAGAATGGCCTGGATCAGAAAGAACAGAAATATCATCGTGGGTGACACTGTGGAGGAAAGACAACTCCAGCATGCAGTGAGCAGCGGGGCTGGGGGCTGGTACCGTCTCTATGGAACACTGTGTATCAGCCCCTTAAACAGTTAAAACCAGGGACCACCTCCTGTCCACTCCTCTGCCCTGGAGCTGAGGCAGCTACTGAAGTTTGGAAACTTCAGCCTCTTTAGGACAGTATCGGCTCCAGGCCCTCCCCTGCTCCCTAGGCCTTAAACAACACCTCTCCTTTCCCAAACAAGCAGGTGCCAAAAGTCTGATCACAGAGGCAAAGGTGTGGAGTTGACAGCCCCCGCCTCCCTTCCGGCAAGTGAACAGGCCGCTGCCCATGTGGAAGGATGGTCTTCGGACCCAAAACCGCTAGGCTTTGGGCCACAGGAGTGCAATTGTGGAGTCAGCCCCGGGCTTGACATTGGGACTATCCAGTCAAAATGGTTTGCTCATCTTTACCAAAGCCTGGGGCCCATGGTGCTGTCGGAGCTTGTGAGCCACCTTATGCCTTTCCCCGCGTCCCTGGTAGGCTCCCCTGCAGGATGCTTTGCCACATCACTGCCACCACTGTGGTGGCCCGGCTAAACTCCTGAGGGCACAGGCATGCTTTGGGGCCAATGGTGATTTCCCTTTCCTCAAGCAGCCTGTACCAGCCCACCCATTAGGCCTCAGATACTCCCTAGCCTGGACTTTTCAAGATTTTGTGAAATAAAATAGAGAGTTCTAAGAAACAGAAAAAAATTTTTTAAAAAGTTAAAACCAGGGGTTGGAGAGATAGGACAGAATGTAACGCACTGGTCTTGCACACAACTGACCCTGGTTCAATCCCAGAACCACAGATGGTCCCAGGAGCATCACCAGGAGGGATTCCTGAGCACAGAGCTAGACGTAAGCCCTAAGCATAGACAGCTGTTGGCCCCAACACCCAAAACCTAAAAAGTGAAACTTGATCTACTGTGTGAGCCAGCAAGTCCACCCCTGAGCATCAGTACAAAGAATACAAGAGCACCACTCCTAAAAGATCCAGGACTCCCAGGCTCATCTCAGTTCTACTCACAACAGAAGTGGCCTGGGAGAGGAGAGTGGATCACAACGATGTGGTATATATGGAGTATGATAGTGGAGCATGACTCAACCATAAGAAATAAGGCATTTGACATTTGCAACAACAGGAATCTGGAAAGAATTAAGCTAAGCAAGATCAGAAGGAGGGAGACATATAAATGACAGATGATTTCCCTCTAAGTGAGACATAAAGAAACCTAACAAAGCAACGAAGATAAGCCAAAATGAACTGCTGGATTCTGGTTGCAGAACTGAGGTTACTATGGCGGGGAGGGACGATGGAAGCAGAGGGCAGAGCTGCCCAGTGAACTGGAGTGCAGGATTACTGATCTCACAGTGGAGGGGCTGGTAATGACATACACAGTTGAGGGACAGAGCGACAGTACAAGCAGGTAAGGCATTTGCCTTGTATGAGGCTGACCCGGATTCAATCCTCATCCCATATGATCCCCTGAACATCACCAAGAGTAATTCCTAAGTGCAGAACAAAGAGTAACCCCTGAATATCTCTGGGTGTGACCCCCCCCAAAAAAGAAATACACATCTGAAAATATATCTGTACATACATATGCAGTGTTTTATATATAGTGTTTTATATGCACAATATTATAAACCAGTGCTACCTTGATTAACATATATATGCAATGTTAATATGCCAATGAACAGTAAGAAAATTAAATATGTTAAATTTTAACTTACACTTCCGGCCCAAACTTCAGGCAATATCCCAGTCAGTTTATAGTAGACAAATACTGAATCACCTTTTTTGAAATTCACAAAACGACAATCTGGGCCTTTGAAGTCTTCAAGAGCTTCACCCTGGTACATTAACACTGTACATTAAAGAGAGAAAAAGAACACCAAATGAGGATCAACTTTCACCACTTACATGGATTTATCAAGCAACATGAGAATCAAAAAAGCAACTTTCTCCAGCCCTCTCTGGAATCAAAAGCTTTCCATTCATTCGCTCCTGCAGTGGGCAAAGGTTTGCAATTCTATACCATGATGCCCCCTTCAGAGAGGACAGTGGAACGCTACCCTAATTCACTTGATGGAGAGAGCCAAGAGATGAAAAGCTACATGTCCACCACTCATGGCTGGCCTCAGTAAAACTCTTGGTTTCCTACTCAACCTTTTTGTTTCATAATCACCAGAGCTTTTCCTTTTATAGTTAGTGAAACGTAAGCACAGATGTTACCTGGCTTCAGCGTGACTACATCTAGAGGGAACAGAAACCCACAACAAGCGCCCAGGAACCCCCATGGGGTCAATTAACTTGAACGAACCACCAAAAGGTAAGCTCTGGGAATAACTACCTCGCAGCTGTAAACACTGTCAACTTCATTTGTGGCCAAGTTGTCCTCTCTCTTCCTTAGCTGGATACACTGAGCTCACTCCTGATGTGGCTCCAACTACATTACAAAGCAATCTTCTGATATCAAATAATTTTGGCTGTAGGAAATTTCAGAATAAAAAAGGGGTGCTCCTCTATAAACAATCAAAATTAAACATACGAGGCCCAAGACATAGTATAGTGGGTAGGGGACTTGTGTGATACACAGCAGGCCAAGGTTTGATCCTTGGCACAGCAGAAGATCCCGTTAGCCCAGCGAGCAGTGATCCCTGAACACAAAGGCAGAAGTAAGCCCTGAGCACCACTGTGTGAGTCCCCAAACAAAACGAAACAAATAAGAATGCACGTAATCAAAACTCTGAGAATTGCACAATAATAACCTGTTTTAATCTTAAAACACAGGACTTAAAAAGTCACAGGGAACCTAGAAACTGGTAGAAGTGGTATTTTTCTTTGCATTGGACAAATGGTTTCTTTTTTGTTGTTGTTAGTTTTGGAAAGGTTGTTTTGGGATCACACCCAGTGGTGTTCAGGACTTACTCCTGGCTCTGTGCTCAGGAACTCCTGGTGGTGCTCTGGGGGAACTATATGGAATGTCAGGGATGAAACCCAAGTCGGCTGCATGCAAGGCAAGTACCCCACCTGTTGCACGTTCTCTCTGGCCCAACAGTCTCTGATGTAAGATGAAATGAACAGCAAAAACAGTTAAAGAGCAGAGAATAGGGAGGAAGGGAAAGCAATACTTTTTTTAGAAGTCAACTAGCAATAAAGACATTATAACCTATCTTGAATTATGTATGGGAGGAGTAAGCATAGAGCTCTGAAGAGGGTTAATTGAATTCTGAAGCTAAAATCTAATGGTTTCATAACATTTCATTTTGTTCTGTTTTGATTTTGGCTTCTGGGCCACACCCTGAAGTGCTCAGGGCTTAGGGATCATTCCTGGCTGGTTCATGGGACCATATAAGGTGCCAGGGTTAAAATCAGGTCAGCCATGTGCAAGGCACACACCTGACCAGCTGTACTACCTCTCTGGCTCCTAAAATCTAATGACTTTAATACATGTCAATATTCTAATTCAGAAAAAAAACTGAATGGGAAGCCAGGCTGAAGGTGGTGGAGAATTTAAGAAGGGGATTCTACTGGAACTGGAAAAGGGTTTTTTGTTCCCCTATTGAAGAGATCGCTGAGATTCATAATTACATATAAAAATGACAACATAATACACACACACAGCCCTTACTAAACACTCTGCACAGCCTCACACATGTGAGCATGTCGGCAGCTGCCTGTGTGTTTGGTTACATCTGTTTGGACATATGCCACTTCTCAAGTTCTAGGACATGGTTTTGAGGAACCCACTGGGAGGTGCCTGAAAGCAAAGCGTGACCTTTTGCAGGATCAGCCCCAGGTCCTTGTAACCTGCGATGGCCTAGTGGGAACCGGAGAGAAAAGACGCCATCCTTCCGGCTGTTTTTTTGTGGCATTTCATTCACATTGGCCTTAGACTTACCTCCTGGAATGGCTTGAACACAGAGCACACCCTACTTTCATTCCTTTCTTTGACAATGTTGTATAGATGTAAACTTCAATTATGGAATCTCTGCATTAACATCAATTTGAGTTATGAATCTCTCTATACGTAGGTGTACAGAGATTCTCAGACGTTTCCCAAAGCTGGTCTCAGTACAGGGATGCGGGAAGACGATGTTGGCCAGACAGACAGACGGGAAAGGTTTCCCACAAAACAAGTGACTAAGGCTAAAACTGGTTCGTCTTATAAAACCTTTGGAGTATTTATTATTTACTTGATCATCTCTACACAAGAGCTCGCCTGTCCGGGCCGCCCACAGTCCACTGCCCGTCGGGAACGAGGGACCAATTCCACTTCCTGCGCACGGCGGGGGAGCCGCTGGCCCCAAGGGGTCCCTTGCAGCTCTCGGCCTCTTTAAAGAGCTGTGGATCGTGGCCTTCCGTGTCGCCCTGCCTGCCTGGCCGTGTGTGCAGGGACACCTTCCAAATCCCGATGACAGCACCTAAGCAGAGCCCGGGGATGGGAAGGCGGTGGCGGGGTGGGGGGACGTGGGGGCCACTGCGTCCCGGGTCCTGAACCTAAACTCCAATTCCCATTCCAAAGTCCTCCCAACCCCGATGGAAGGGAACGGCCAAGGAGCCGGCGCCAGGGCGCCCTTCCCGAGCCCGCCCGGGGGGTCCCGGCGCATCTGCCCAGGGCCGCACCCCGCGGGGTCGCGAGGCGAGGCGGCGGGGGCAGCCCGGGCGCGCACGCCAGCGGCCCTGGCGCCGGGAGAGCGCACGTTGGGACCGTCCCCCGGGGAGTCCTGGGGGCCGGGGGGGGTGGGGGGGACGACCCCCAACCCCCCGCAGCCGCCGGCCTCGGCCAAATCCGGGGCCAGGAGCCGCTGGCAACAAGTGGGAGCTCAGCGAGCGGCCGGGCGGGCGGCGGGTACCGGGCCCCTCGCCGCCCCCGCGCCCCGCGCCCCGCGCCCCGCGCCCCCCGCCGCCACTCACGGCTGCACTCGGCGTCGCCGCAGACTTTGTGCTCCGAGAAGCGCCGGTCGCCGCCCGCGGGCCCGGGCGACTGCGGCGCGGCGGGCGGCGCGAGCAGCGGCAGCAGCAGCAGCAGCGGCAGCGGCGGGAGCGGCCGCGGCGGCAGCGGCAGCCCCGGCGCCGCAGCCATGTTGAGGCCGCGTCGGAGCCGGGACGCGGCGGACGCGGAGGCCGCGGGCAGCGGGCGGCGGGCGGCGCCGGGGCGGGGCGCGGGGCGGCGCGCTGCGACACGTCAGCGCGGGACGGGGACCCGCGCGCCCCCCGCCGCGCCGCGCCGCGCCCGCCGCGGCTCTCCCCGCGCCCATCGCCGCAGTTCGGGGGTCCAGCCCGGGCGCCCCCTCGTCCCCGCGACGAGCCGCCCCCACCCCCGGGCGCGTGCTGCGGGCGCCCCCCGTTCGGGGCTGCCACGTCCCACCCAGGGCTGGCGGCTCCTACCTTGGCGTGGCCGATCCCTGCGTGGTGCAACCCCCGGCCCGAGCGATGGGGGTGCGGTGGGCTCTGGATGCCCCGCAGAATCCCCGGGTTGCGTGCCAGTGGGAAAGTGATTTCTTTCAGAACCAGATGCTCAGCATCTGTGTCGCCTGCCAGATCCTGGACCAGGCCCCGCGAGGGAAACAGTGAGGGTGGCAAACCAGGTAACGCTCTAGTAGACGCCCACCGACAGAGAAACGCGGAATAAACGACTCAAGAATAAGTGTTGCTGGGGCTTCCAGGCATAGGAAGACGGGGTAGGGCGCTTGTCAGATAAGCAAGCGGGTTTGACCGGGTTTGATCCCCGTCACAGATGAGGGTCCCCTGAGCCCTGCCAGGAGTTGAAGCCCGAGCACAGACTCAGGAGTAAGCCTCGGACACAGCTGCCTATGGATTTAAAAAAAAAAAGGAAAGAAATGTCAGCGTAAGGGGATACAAGTAACAGCAAATATTCTTGCGTGTTATTCTAACCTTATGTGTCTGTTCCTTGGTTCTTCAAAATAGTAGGTTCCGTTATTGTCTCCATTCTAGAGATATGAATGTAGGGTCGTTCTTGCAGTTTGCAGGGTATTGGAGCCGAGATTCAAATCCAGCTAGGACCCTCCCTTGGTTCTTTATTGGGGCCACACAGGGAGACACTCTGGGAACTTATTCAGGAGACACTCCTGGTGTCATTCTGGAGTTGGGGATGGGGGAAGCTAAAGGGGAGGACCACTGCTTGGAAAGATGGAACGGGAGCCTGCTAGGTGCACACAAGTGCTCAGCCTCCTCCCTTTCCCCAACTCAGTAAAGCCAGACCAGGCAACAAATGTTTGTTCTTTGACAAGAGGGGAGTCCTATTTAAATCATGTGACTGAATTGTGAATATACACGATAAATATTACCCCCCATAAAAAGGGGGGGCCACAAACCCACAGGTCAACCCAGGGAAGATGACCACAGTGTTCCGGCCCTGACGACCATGTTCTGTACTTGTCTGTGACTTTAAGCTTCTTTGCACCATCTGTTCTTCAGAAGCAAAAAGATGCAGGCCAGAGAGGTCGTACTCTAGCTAAAGCACTTGCCATGCCACACAGCTGACCCTGGGCACTGCAGATGGTTCCCCAGCACCACCAGGGGTCACTTCTGAACAGAGCCCAGAGTAATCCCTGAGCACTGCTCAGTGGGGTGCCGGAACACTGCCCTCTGCCAATAAAGAAATAAAGCAAGAGGAGCTGGGACAGTAGCTCGAAGGAGAAGAGCACAGACTTTACACATGGGAGGTTGACTTCAACTCCTAGCACCTCAGGGGCCCCAAGAGTAGCTCTGGAAGGGGCCCCAGAGCACTCCTGGTGGGGCCTCAAATATAAAACTCCACAACTAGCATAAAAGCAAGAATTCTGTAACCCATCCATGTACTCTTGATCTTTTTTTTTTTGGAGAGGGGAGGGGAACAGGTCACATCCAGCAGTGCTCAGGATTTATTCCTGGCTTGGCCCTAGGGAACCAGTCCTAGAGGTGTGCAGGGGATAGCAGGGATTGAACCTGGGTCAGCCGCATGCATGGCAAAAGCCTCCCCAGTGGAGAATTGCTCCAGCCCCATACTCTGATGTTGAATAAGGGAGAGACAAAGAGATGTTCCCGGAGGCTGGTCTATAGGGTCCTGAGGCAGCTCATTGGTCCAGTGTAGTTAGTTCTGGCTGAGCAGTGCAAAGGCACAATGCCTTAGAATCGTAGTTGTGTTAAATAGGCCTTGCCAAATTCCTGTGTTAATTACCATATGGAGCCGGGGAACTTGAAGACAGTTTAAGTGCTGGGACGCATGCTTTGAATACAGGAGGCTTGGAGCTGAGCACCACCAGGTGTGACATCCCCAAAAAACAAACAAAAAAAAAAAAGGAAAAGGGAAGATGCTATTTTCCTTTTCAACACCTGCTCCCTGTTGCCTGGCAACTGAAGTTCCTGTCTTCCAGGTGCTCACAGAAAGATCTTATGAATCGGCTTTGTCTCACTCCAAACCCAGCCCATTTGACAGTCATCTCTTTTTTGGTTCAATAGCTTCATTGTGGGGCCAGAGGAGTAGTACAGAAGGGAGGGTACTTGCTTTACGTGCAGCTGACCCAGATTTTGATCCCTAGCACCTTATATAATCCTCTGAGCACTGAGAGGAGTACTTCCTGAATGCAGAGACAGGAATAACTGTAACACCTAAATATCGCCGGGTGTGGGAAAAACAAACAAAGAAACACCAGTATCTTCATTGAGGAATCCCTGATAGAACAATGCCCCCCGTGTTGGAAGCTTGCCGTGCATTCCATCCATGAGAGCCTCACCACCATCAGGCTATCTTCCGCGGTCACCCCAGCATCTGTGTGCTCCTGTTGTCCTGCCTGCTCCTTTCTGTTTCCTAACAGCCTTGGGTGGCAATAGACTGGCACTACTTTAGGATTTGCTCTCAGTGGAATCTCACAGAATGACTTTAAGTTTCTTTTTTGGACTAACTTCTTTCACTTTGCATACGTCTTTGAAATACATCTGGAATGGACCAGTTCTCAGCCCATCCTGTGCTGACACAGCAAGCTCAGCTACCATCACCTGTCACCTATAGGTCACAGTTGCTCCTTTGCCCTGGCCCCCCCAAAATCCTGCTGCCATAGTAGCTTCTAGCGTGGTTCTGTGCATTCAAACAAGTATACTTCAATGAAGGTGAAAACTAAAACTCACCGAGACGTAACAACCTAATCACACTGTCTCAGTCTTCCCCCAGGAATGCAGTCCCAACTGGTCAGGAAAGAATTTTCTGGTTAGAAGCCATGAGATCATCTTTTTTGCAAGCCAAAGGAAAAAATAATCCATCACAAGACCTTTATCCATTTCCCATAAGTAGGTTACCTGAGCCTGCAACCGTTCCTTCTTCCCTTATCTTTTCCTTTCCTGGCCTATAAATGTTTAATTTTGAATAGTCAGGAATTAAACCCTGGCTCTTACACATTCTAACCATGTATGTGAGCCACTTCACCTTGAATAGTTTTCTTTTTAATTTTTTTAAATATCTTTTAGACAGCCAGAGAGTGGGTTGGGCACTTACCTTTAATGGGGCCAACCCTGGTTTAATCCCTAGCACCCCAAACAGTCCCCACATGCCTGCCACAAGTAAGCTCTTAGCACAGCTTGGTGTGGTCCAAAACAAAAAACAAATTAAAAACAAAAATATTTCTGGGGAAGGAGTGCTTACTTAGCCTATACCCAGTGGTGCTTAAAATGGTCCCTGGTTTTGTACTCTAGGAGTGCCCCCCATCCAGTGCTCAGGGGACCATATGTGCCGCTAAGAATTCAAAACAGGGTCTGTGGGCTTAAAGGCAAGTGCCTCCTCCCCTATACTGTCTCTCTATCCCTGGCAAACTTTTCACAACACCTTCCTACTTGCTTACCCAAAGTGAGAATTTTATAATTCTGTTAGCAATACATTAGAGTTCCAATTTCTCCTCATCCTTGCCAACACTTGTTATCTTCCTGTTATTAATTATTATTAATCCTATTTATCCTACTGTATATGAAGTCATATGGCATTGTGTTTTGGGATTCCATTTTCTTAATAACTACTCGGATTAACTATCTTTTAATCCCTTTTATAGTTTTTGAGAAATAAATGTCATTGCCTATTTCAGAAGATAATCAACTTAAAAATAAAATGTATTGTGATATATGTGTATAAATTACAAACATATGAGTAAATTTCATGAGCACAAGAAAATCAATATAGGAGAAATGGCAGTGTGCTTGTGTAAACTATCAGAGAAGTAATAAAATGTGACATAAAGATATACTGGAATAAGTAAAAGATGCATTTTACAGACTATGCAGCAAGAACATCAATAAAACCACAGTTATAGCTGGTGAATCAACAAAGGAAATTAACATATTCTTAACCCAAAAGGAAATCCAAGAGGAAAGAGAAAAAAAAAAGATGAGGGGCTGGAGCAATAGTACAGCGGGTAGGATGTTTGCCCTGCATGCGGCTGACCCGGGTTCGATTCCAAGCATCCCATATGGTCCCCTGACCACCAACAGGGATAATTCCTGAGTGCAAAGCCAGGAGTAACCCCCGTGCATTGCCGGGTGTGACCCAAAAAGAAAAAAAATAGATGAGAGGCCAGAGCAATAGTACAGTGGGTAGGGTGCATGCCTTATACACAGCTGACAAGGTTCATTCCCTGACATCCCATATGGTTCCCCTGAGCTCTGCCAGGCAAAATTCCTGAACACAGAGCCAGAAGTAAGCCCTTAGTACTACCAGTGTACCCCCAATCCCCCGCCCCCCAAAGGTGAAACAGATAAAAAGCAAATAGTAAGACCCGAGATTTAAACCTAATCCCAGTATTTAAATCAGTGATTTTTCAGACATTTTACACCCACTAACCCCCTCTGCACACCAGTAGTTGAAAACCACTAGTTTAAGCCGTATCAATAAGCAGTTGGAGAGACAGTACAAAGGTTAAAGTGCTTGTCTAGCATGTGGCTGTGGTTCAGATACTGGCACTGCATGTGGTCCCTCAGCATCATCAAGAGTGATCCCTAAGCACAGAGCCAAGAGTAAGCGCTGAGCACAGCAGTGTGTGGCCAAAAGTCAAAGGGGATAAAAGAGAACCCAGGATAGGGCCATGGAAAAAGCAAAAAGGACTGGAGATCATGATCT